TCTTTAAATAATTGGAATAAAATGATAAAATAAAAGCTGAAGACTGAATATGCAGTCTCGTAGATAATGCGCCATATTCTGTGTACATTTTCTATTTCTCGATTGGTCTAAGAGAGGTTACATGGAAATTTTTAAATGAAATTACAGCCATTAGTGTACGGATAACTGTAGTTGATTAATGACGGTCAACTCATTTCAATCTGCCCCTGACTACAGTGCTCCATTAGACATGATGCACTTTCCTTTTCTTGCTATAATTTTGTTGCTGTGTTAATAAACACATATTGGAGAATTTTCATGTTTAAAATGATTGATTAGAAAAGCGGGTAACCTAAATTTACAGGAGAACTATAGCAAATGAGCATGATGAGTCGGTTTTCTTTAATGCATGTAAACTGGAAACCCTAACTCCAACCGCAATCTAAGCGGTAAACTGAAACAGAGCCGTCCCTAAAACGTTTGATTAACACTGTTTTGACCAGTGAAAACTTTTCACCGTCCATAAAGCAAGATTTAGTTAATTTTAGTGTTCACAATTAGTGTGGCAAATTCTTACACACACCCCGTTTATATTTGTCGTTGTCTTTTTTTTTGAATTTCCTTTTCCTCTGGTCTGCTAGTTACGTCCTGGCCGCCATGTTGGATGATTTTGGTGAAGGATCTTAGTCAATAATTCAGTTCATAATACAAATGTTATCCAACACGGTGAAATCTCGAGCGCGTTTTCACTGTCAAGAGAGTAGTTTCACATGTTAAACCACAGTATAGAAATAAACTGTAGTCCCACTCCATTGAATTTTTTGTGTAGCGCATATCTTATTACGTATGTTATTAGCAAGTGGCAGCCAGTCAATTGTTTTTTTGACCAATAGGAGCCCTCAGATGGCTACCCACAGTCAGTAAGCTAATTAAATATACTGCACCAAGTTGCACAATGGAGTGAGACTACTGTTTGTTTCTATACTGTGATCAAACGTCAGTCAGTTTAGCTATTTAAAAAATGATAAGGTTTGTATGGAATAAGAATTTATTACATCCAACTTCAAAAGAAATATTTTAGTAATCGAACTTAGCTAAAGGATCGAACAAGAAATATATAATGCTTTATATTCTGAAAAAAAAATATTAATGACAAAAGGTAGAGGGAGGGTAGCGAGCTGTTTTAAATGACAAATGTTTAAGCCCCGTTTTGTACAAAAAGATTTACAATTGAGAATTACCAGCATTTTAACTTAATCGATTTATGCAAATTTTTCTGTATTTTCTCCATTCAAAAACAAAAGAGGTTTTAGAAGTGAATAATAATACTTTTCATTTACATAACAGGACTGTATTTGTGAACTGAAATCAGTTCACTGACACTAAATTCAGAGCTACAGACGTATTTGAAATTCTTTCCAGTTTCGAAAATCAATTGCTCGACAGTCTTCAAAGCAATGTTTTCTACAGAAAACACAACTCAATTCAAGAGCTGTTACACTGAATTTACAGCAACCGACAAATTTCAAGTTTATTCAATGTGAAATAATACATCGCAAAGTTAAACATACATCCGAATCACGTACACTATACTGTGTCTTTATCAAGTGTTATTGAGAGAAATTTTATTTTATCGTGAGAACGCGTGTCATCAATGATCAACTAATCATCATGTGATGGTCTCTCTCTTCAGGTAAACATTTAAACACTAAAGTAAAGTATCAACGAGTTAAGTTGTGTTTATTGTGTGCATTGCGATTTGCAAATTTGCCTTTTTATTTTTTGACTTTTGCTTTCTTGAAATGCGCAAATGAGTAACAAAAACATTTTGGAAAGCAAAATGTTTGTTTAGGCGAAAATTGAGGGATTTGAATGCCAAAAGAAAAATATAAGCTTGAATATAAAAGATAAAACATAATTTGTGGCCTTAAAGTGCCGATGCATGCAGCGAAGTATTTGTACTCTGTTTTATTGGCTAATTTAAAAGCGAGTACACACACTAAATCATTTTTTGCAAACAGATTTGAAGTTGGTATTTTCAAACTGATTTTATAGCCGTCAAAAGTGGCGATTTTTGACCATTTTAAACAATTCCTGTGTAATTTTTTTGCAGCCATGTTTGCTGCATTGACGTCATTGCGACTACACATTCTCAACATGACAATAGATATTAGGGATCTTTAGCAAGAGTACGAATACGACAACGAGTACGAAGTTTGACCGTGTAAGGGAATGGCACGAGGAAGTTTGTTGTCGTTGTCGCTTCGTCAAAATTTTGTTTTAGCTATAAACAACAGAACGAGCCTTTTTATTGTGAAAAATACCGACGTTTGCGAAGCAGCTACGGCTCTATTTGTCAATAATGATATCAACAAATCGGTAATACTGATTTTGCAAGAATATAGGACTCTTTGGACTGAGAAGTCTTCACTATTTAAGTTTTATGTACGATATATTTGTACTACTTTATTGTTTGTTTACCTTTCACTTTGCGTACGAAATACATGAAAGTTTTGCAGGTCATATTTTTCTTTTTAATGTACATCTGCGCTCAAAAAAGGTTCTAAATTAAAGCCTGGATGCTCGAAAATAGTACTGTCAACAATTTCTTACAGAATGAAGAAATATATCTACTTTCTTTGCTTAAAAAGACATCGTAGTCGCGACTACGAATTTTTTACAAAACAGATTGATGACGGCTACGTGTTTTTGTTGTCGCAACAATGTTTTTGCGCCAAAATGACGTAAATCGTACTCGTAGTCGTACTTGTAGTCTTTGCTAAGGCTTCCTACTATTTCACTGTCGACTTCCGTATTACTTATGACGTCAAATGAGCAAACATAGTGGCCAAAAAAAGGTTTGCTCTCGAGGACAACTTTTGGAGTCAAAATTTGTGAACTTCCACTCAACGTAAAATGGTCATAAATACATCAAACTGCTTACCAAAATCTAAATACATGTTTAAGCGAATAGAAAAGAGTACGAAAATTTCAATTCATAAACAATTTAAGCTCGACAGATAAGGTTCTCGTTGAATGAAAAGTCTGGTCGTAGTTGAACTCGATATGAATTTCAAATCCTGGTAACAAGTGTGTTTGAAACTTTGTAAACAGTAAACACAGCAAACTACTTTTAAGTCGATTCAACTCCCTTTGGACCCAGTGTAGCTACTGACTGAATGTTATTGTGACGTTGTCTGCACAAGTATTAAGTTTCAAGCAAATTCAAATCGTTTTTTTTAAAAAGCTTCTTTGTGCTCGATACAAATAACCTTTTTGCAACTAAAGTTAATTTTATGCAACAAGAAGTGATTTTCAACAGCTCAAATAGAATTTTCAATTCAGCGTTTTGAATCCCTCATTAGCTAATTGAAGAGTTCAATAATCTTGGATTCAATCCTCTGAAGAAGGACTTTACCTCAACTGTTCAACTGAAAACAGTTGTTCTTATCGTGAAGAGGTGTCTTGCATGAGAATCTATCTTTGCTACTTTAAGGCTTCAAAAAGTTGATAGTCGAAAATCAGCCGGCTTTTACATGACTGAAAAAAGAGTCGTATTTTCATATTTTATCAAAGTGCTTTACATTTGCTGACATCATATAGTTCATACGAAGTCCATTCCGCGAATTATGTGATATTTCTTGATAAATAAAATGTTGCTATTATACTTGACAGGAATATTTTATTATTTCAATAAAAAACTATTTTTAACTATTCTTGAGAGGTACTTACATAAAATGTACTCTTTATTTCCTGACCTATGTAGATATAAAAAGCTTTCAAAGAAAATTTATAGTAACATCGTCTCAAGGAATTCGATATATTTCCTTTCAAAAATAGACGGGAAACAGTTTGATCTGATAAATTCACCCGAATGGCAATAAATAGATTTCCAACTGCAAAACTGTGATTAGAAATACTTGAATAATTATGTAAACAACGTGAACTATTTTTAATAGATATTTATGGAGTCTAAAGAGACCACCTACAAAACCAAAACATCAATATATATTTACAAAGCTTCTTTTTGTAAATTTACATGTCAGCATACTCTGCTGTTTAGCTGTTCTCATAATCGTTGCTTTCCGAAAAAAAATAGTTATTGGAAAATGTAGTTGATCAATTAAACCCTCAAAAAAATTTCCACCATTTTTGATAAAATTTGCATCAACCAATGACTTTATGACTTTCCTTATAATCAATAATCACAAAGCCAACGCATTCCATTTTATATTATCCTATTGTGGTGTCTACCATTGCGAAGCGAACCATTTACCAAAGACGTATTGTTTTCTAATCCGCGTGACATCCCGCTGTATGGAAATTCTTTCCAGGTAACTCTATACAAAAACTTACGTCAGCAAATACCATTGTAATGCGTTTAGACAATACAGAATATTTTTATGACAAAACTGTATCATGGAAATCGCCAAAGACAAAACAATGGCGGTTTTCTATTGTTTTTAGATTTGTATCTTTAGAAAGACTTTGGCATTGTCGCAAAATGGGACGTTCTGTTACTGCTATGCTTCAAAACATCGTCGAACTCTTTCACCCTAAAGCATTTTCTTCTCATCATAACTGCCGACATTTTCATTTGCGCAACAAATTCTTCCATTACGAAAATCTTATCTTTAAGCATTTGCGCGAGACATAAAGTCTTGCTGATCAAATCAACGTCGGTGTCTTTTGTTTGACGCTGTTAAAACGCAGTGAGATATTTTGAAGCCGTTACGTAAGGACAGATACATTGTTGCGCTTCTTCCGACTCATCCGGATATGCTAAATTTTTCAATCACTACCTCAAGGGGTATATAAACACGAAATACTACGCCAGCACGTTCTTACGCACATAGCAGCAACTCGTGTTTATAAATTATGAACGGTAATTAAAGCAACGTGTGTTAAGCAGCCCTACAGCTCTGTTTAAAGTAGGTGTGTGCTAGTTTTGGTGAGTATTTCTCCAATCAACGTCGATTGTTGGGAAACCTTTGACCTGTATGACCTACTGTGATGTAGCCAAGCAATTTGTAATAAAACCACTGGGCATTCGAGTTTAGCACTTACTCTCTGACGGTGAAATGTGTTGACCGTATCGATCGATGTCGTATTATTCACAAATACGGAAATAAGCGCGTACAAAGTGTTGAAATCACGCGCATGAAAGTAGATACATCTTTGTAAGGCTTTTATGAGAGCACATAATACAAGCTTTCATTCCACCGAAATCCCAAGCATCCTTCGATGATACTATCTCAATAATGGGCAGTTGTGTTACTCGTAGTAAACAAATTGAACCTATCTCAACCAGCAGTCGAGAGAGATGGAAAAACGAAGCGAAGATTGAGCAAGTTTACAGCAGAGTTACCGATGGAGGTCTTGACAAACGCGCCGTTTATGTTAATCAGTTCATCAAAGAGCGATATGAAATATTCACTTCCATCGGTAAGGAGAGTTTGGTCATGTCGTTAGAGCTCAGGACAAACACAACAAAATGCCTTACGCAATTAAAGTGATTGAACTGACGCCAGACATTCGCGCTAAATCAAAAGTCGAGTTGCAAATCCTGAGGAAAGTCAACCATAAGTATGTCATTCGTTTGTACGAAGTTTACGCAACAACACGCCGGCTTTATCTTGTAATGGATTTGGCTACTGGTGGAGAGCTTATGGACAGGATTTCCCTGTTGGGAAACTTCAATGAACGCGATGCATCACATGTTCTGTACATGATCCTCGATGGTCTACGCTACCTGCACTCCAATGGTATCACCCATCGAGATCTCAAACCACAAAACATCCTTTACTATCATCCTGGAAGCAATTCGAGGATTATTATTACGGATTTTGGTCTTTCTGCCATGAGTGACTCGTCTCAAAATCCTGCAAATTACCTCATGAAGACGGACTGTGGTACTGTGGAGTACATGGCACCAGAAGTCATCACTCGCGCGCATTACACCAATGCAGTTGATATGTGGTCAATGGGTGTGATTGCATACATCGTACTGAGCGGCCGCCTGCCTTTCCCGCTCAATGGAAACATTCTGTCCACATTGCGAATGATTTGCTTTTGCAAGTACTCTTTTGAAGAGGAGGTAAGCATGTTTAACGTGTAATTTTACCGATGCTTTGGTACGTGTTAAAAAGGATCCCCCATAGAAAAGAAAAGTTGCACAAAAACATGCATGCCTTTTAAAAGATTGTGTCTGTAAAGACGTGGGAGTAAACTTGTCGTGTTAAAGAATGCACTTGTCGCTATTAATATCTTCATCATAAAATCATGAAAAACAGTTCATCGCAACTGTTTTCTACATTTCACTGGTTTTGCTAATTGCACAAAGCGTTTTCGATCATTTGGTCATAGTATAGACGTCTATCTAAAAGACAAAACATTCCTTCATTCCTTCCATATAAGGGTTGCTTGAGACAGCTACGAAGATAAACGCAATATTTCTTAACTTTTTAATAAGCAGGCAAATGAATCATCAATTCTGTCGAGTTCAAATGAGCAAGCTAAAGACTAACTCGTACCATACTGTAATACTGAACATAATATCATTGCATAACTAATTGAGTTAACGCCAGTTTTGCGTGATCAACAGGTTTTTGTGTGTTTCTTGAGTTGCCAGTTGAAAAAGAAATACCTGCGAATCGTGCAAATCAAGCGTTTCAATACACATCACACGATAAAGAAACCACTGTTCAACCTTACAGAAAAGAAAAATCTGTTTTCTTAATGTGCTGAAGGCATAAAGGGTAATTCAACTTCCGTCAGGTCACTTCAGTACGTTTAAAGTAATGTACGATATGAAACATATGTCGACTTTGATTTAACCATTTACATTGTCGTTGCTTGTATTACCTATTGCTTGATTTTGAAACAAATAAAATGATTCAGGCTGGTTGAAACAGTGTTGGAAACCTTTTTAAAATCGCTCGAGATGCTCAAGATAATGACGTCAGTATCTGCAAAAAATGCGAATGTAATTTTCGAAAAAATTCTTTTTCATTTCCTGAGCATAAAACAAAAGCGAATGAAATAATTTCCTCTAAATATTCGCCATGAGGAACTTACAATGTAACAAGGATATCACACGCTCATTTTACAACATGGCGAAGAAAATTTAAGCACACCTTCTCAAAACTATATATTGAATCCTTTTTGTAAGCTAGGATTTTAGCATGTTCAATGATTTCCATCGATTATGTTTAAAAAATGTTTAAAGTCTCGCCCCCCTTTGCCTTTGAAATGTTGAATACTGCCATGTATCTGTTAACAGCCTTAACTTGAAAAAATCCTTTTTTCGTCTCTTGTTGCACATATGTGTATAAAACCGTTGAACTTATGTTATCTGCAAAGAATACTCTTGTTTGTAAACTTATCTCTTAAAACTTCAGTTGTGAGAGATGGAAGTTGGATACAAACAGGAAATTTAAAGCCTCGTCCACTGAGACAATTTTAATGAAGAAACGTGCAAATTTTTTTTCGTTGTCATCTAGGAAAGTGTCTTAAATACTTCCTATATCGAATATCTCATTGTAAGATAAGGGTTGTTGATCAATGTAGGAAAAACCTTGTCAAATTTGACGTTATTTAGGAAGTCTAATTGTAGCTGACTGTTGCTAGAACCGTTGATGTGAAAAGAGTAAGAAGCTGAATGCATCAACATCATAACAACAAATTGCATTTAATGTTGTGATTTTTAGGAATACTATTTGTATGTACCGTTGTTTTTTGGCTTTGAAAATTCGAGTGAATTTGGCCAAATAATTCCCGGAAACGCGTGGGTTGAAATCTCTTGCATCCAAAGTTATTGTCCATGAAAGCCAGTCGTGTTTTTTGCCGGCCAAATAAGATTACATCTCGATGATTCTTGCACACTATGTGCAGTGAAATTTAATTTTTCGTTGACTTGCAATGGGATAACTGAGCTATATAGAACTAAACATCAAACTTCAGGAAGTCCTTTAGAAACCGTAAAAATAATGTCTCAGTTTCAAGTTTGTGTTTAGACTCATCAACCTTCCCTTTGGGCAATTTTAACCCCGCAGAGATCAGAGAATTCGAGAAATGAAGTAGAGAACGAAAGAGCTTGTTTTGACATAGAACAGGTTCCTTGCTAAGCTGAGCTAGATTTACAAATTCCTCATTTCAAATTTCTACGGTGCTTAGCAAGATTTCAGACTTTAAAACGTGGGTGTTTTATGAGAAACTATTTTTCTGTATTTTGCCAAAAGGACAAGTTATTACTCAGATGTATCATATTTTTCAAAAAAACTGATCACCAGACTATGTGACGCTTATTCACAAATGGTTTAAACTTTGCTCCAAATTCTCGGAAACTTAAGAAGCCGCAGAAACTTTTAGGCCCTGTTTACATAAAAGATAGACATTATGAAATTAGTCGCAATTAAAGGAAGATATTTCTCAGAGAGCCTGACTTATATTTGTTTTTAGAAGATTTTTTTGAATCTTCGTGGGAAGCGCTATCGATTCTCAATTCGGACAAACAATCGGCTGAAGATAAGACTTCTCAGTGTTTTTAGAAAAACCTAGACTAATTGCCAGACTGTACCAATTATTAAGTCGAAAAACAACTTTTCTTTGAGTATTTTTTCCGTTTTTCTACACAAAATCAGCAGGTGAACGCGTTTTGTAGCCATAAAAAATGTGACGGCATTTTTGTGTTTTCATCGAGTTTGTTTATTTATTCAAATCTTTCCGCAAATTTTCATATTTTTGAAAACGGTCAAGCAATGTCATATGGATGAAATAATTGCCCTTCTCGCGTTTCTCGTAATTTTAGGTTTGTTTTTGCTGCTTTTCGTGCTGTCGGTGTATCAAAATATGAACTATCACCACAGGAAGATTATAGTTTGTCTTTCCCAATTTCCGTTACTGAAATGGCTGGCTTATCGGGATGACAACTTATCCGAAACGAAATCATTTTATACAGTTTCAGGCTATCTTTTCACGTCTGCAGATCGATTCCGGTTTAAAATAAATAGTGTTTTTCTTGTTTTCTTGTGTGTTTTGGCTGAAAGTGGGGTATATATCAAATTCTTTACAAATCATCGATTTTCCCGGATGTTGAAATAAAATTCTTTGTTCAATAAGGTGAAATTTGAAAACAAAATGTTCTTTGAGAAGTTTCGGCATGATCATGTGGGCAGCGCATCGCGTATAGATAAGGCGTTCTCTTTGCTTTCAACAGCTTTGAAATGCTTCTATAATTGAGTCAAAGTATCTCCATCATATACGACGAACTTATTTTCCCATGAGATTAACTAACCTTTTTGGCCTTTAATTAATTAATGCATGGTCATATTAGCTACAAATTATTTTCTTTCCCTCGTAACCATGTTTAAAGTTGGTTCTAGAACATTATGTCACAATTACCAAATATTAAAATACTTTGAATTTTTGAACTTGACACTCAGTGTAACCGGTCATTACAGCGCATTGGCGAGCAGATCAAATTAAAAAAGCGTGTTTTGAAAACAGATTTAAAACAATAGGACACGTGGAATGTGGTGTCATTAAAGTGAGTGCGTGCGTGCGATTTAATTTCTTTAGCGCGTCATAAGCAAATAGTTTCAACAAGGCCGCAAAACGTTTCGTGATCAACCATGAGCTTTCCATATGCAAACGATTTTGAGTGAATTGAAACAATGCCCATAAATCAAAGTACAAAGTTTCTCTTCGCAATTACGCAATCAATGATTGCAGTCATTTGCGCATGCGCGAGTTCTGGACAGAAGTGATAACCAATGAGTGTTGAGTGCGATGCTCACTACAATTAAACTGGATTTTCGCTGAAGTTTGTTGTTGTATTTCATTCATACGAGCTTATCTTTTGTTTCATGTTGGACTTTGAGCGATACGTGAGGCTTAAGAAAGCAGTTTTATGAAATGAAAGGATATGTAATGAACTATCCACTCTGCATTATTGCTGATAGGCTTGCGTTGAAGATTTTTTGCTTTTACTACCCCCAATTCTTCAGTCGTAACGATTTTCATAAATCGTAAAATGCTAAAATTTTATCCCTTGTTGTGTGGGTTGTTTAATCCTTTATCGAATACGATGATAATGGAGATTAATTTTACGGAACACAATGATGAAAAATTGTCATTTCTGTACGAGGGCCCAACATCATTGGAAGCATTTATTTTTCATTTGCAATTCTTTCCACTGTTATAAATTATGCTTTCTGTGCTTATATTTCAACATTTGTATGACTATTTGCTTAATTTAACATATTTTTTCTGTAAACATTGATGGAACTTTTATTTTTTGATTATACAACGCTCATGTGAATGCTAGCTACTAGTTTAAACCTATCGCTTTGTAAACAACTTTGTTTACGATAAATGTATGTTGACTTTATAGCTGTAGTTAAGAAGATTAGATTTTCTACACATGGCTCACGATTCATATGAATGATACCTGTAAACATCTGACGTCAACTACTTCTTTTCCTTTTCAGCCGTGGAATGCGGTTTCCGACGAGGCAAAGACCTTCATCAGATCGTTGCTTGTTGTTGAGCCTGCGAAGCGTTTGACCGCTGCTCAAGCTCTCAAACATCGCTGGATAAAACGGAAGACTCACAATAAACAGAACCTGCAGAAATCCATCAGCTCCAATTGGAACGACTCTAGAACTTCGCTACAAAATGAAAAGGGCTTAAAATGCCAAGCTCGGGAAATCTTACAAAAGTCGAAGCCCAGAACAAGCCATAGGCCAAGCACAAACACAGCAAGATTGCACAGAAAGCCTTTGGACTCGATAAGCTGGGCAAGAAGTCCAGAAGGACACACCAAAGATCGTAAAAACAGAGTTAGGAGTCACGTGTCAAGAAAGGGATCGAACAAAAAACACCAAGAGAAGAAAATAAGAAGAAGTACAAGAACTTCAAGGAGTAAGATAAGTAATGTAAGGTACACCAAGGGATTTAAATTGTTAAAAGAAAGCGGGAAAAGGGATAGCGAGAAACTGACGTCAAAGGTCAATACAAATGACGTGGCCGGCGTTCAGTTGAGGAAAAAACAACTTTCGTCAACTCTGAGCACGAATTCAAGCACAAATGACAGTCTGTACTCGGAGTCAATCAATCAGAAAATTACCGTTAACGCAACCGTGAATGTGAGAACTTCATGCAAAGAATTGCTCAAGACAAACTTAAACATGTCAATGGTTGAAAAAACCAATGAAATCGATGTCAATGGTAATTTAGCCTGTGAAAATGAAACATCGTCGTCCTTATAGCAACTATAGAGTACGGCTACTTTAGTCGATAAGAAGGCGAGCGTTGAAAATATACTCCTACCTGTTTAAGGTTATGGTTTGAGAACTCATCAACGTTTATATGGCGCTTATTGTATACATGGAGAGCAGACAATTTAAGGCAAGGTCCCTCTCTCGTTCTTCTATGTAAAGAATTTCAACTTTCTACTTCATTGAACAGTAACATTGTATATAGTAATGGCTTAAAAAGACAAAAACTTGGAATACGGAATGAGCGTCATTTTTCCATTTCTGTTTGCTCTTATTGTCAAGATTATAGAAAATGCCCGTACCAATTCACGTACAATGGTAAGTAATCTTAAAATTGTTAATTATTTTCGATAGAGAAACAAAACACGAAACTTTACTATTTCATCCCCATTTCATCATGTGCAATAACAAAGCCTGCTATATATGTAATGAAATTCTACGACAGATATGTAAAATCTTGCAACTTCTTTTTGTGACTTTAAGATTTTCTGGATCAAAAGTTGTATCGCCCTCTTGCTGCTCGTACCTTGCATATATTTGGTTGTAACGCTTCATTACTACAGAAATGAAGAGAGGGAAACTCCAGAAGGACGCAAGACTTTTTGCCGTTTTCTTGAAGAGTCGCATAAATCTGTCGACTGTGATAGTCTTGTGACCCCTTCAGTAAGTTTCAGCTACATATGTCTTCATTACGAAAAATTGTTCGTTAATTATTGAAAACGACAAGACACTTAGTTTTTTTCAGAAGTTCGTCTGAAGTTCTCTTATTTATTCACTCGTTTTCTCTTCATTCTTTCTAGGTCCTTTTCTTCCTTTCTGCATTGATTTTGTTCGTCGAGGCTTGGATTGTAAGTGACCATTTATACATATGTTGCGTCCATAGTAAAAACATTATGGTGGTCGACAAGTCTATAATACCAAAAATAAATAAAAGTACAAAAATTAATCATATGACAGCCGGAAATAAAATTTTTGAAGCAGCCAGAACGATAAAGGTTTATTTAACGCCGTTTTATTTTTAGATTAACACATCTTCATATATTAAATAATAAATATATATATTCGTATGCTTTAATCTTTGGTAATCCATAACCAAAATTGATTTCAATAGAAGCTTCTAAGGTAGAAGATGCATATATGAATAGTTGCCGCCGCCGCCCCCACCCCCAATATTGTGCCGAAGACAGTTTTCCGTATGAGAGAGAAATTTCCAAGTATTCTGACACTCGCCGGTGTCGAGATAACACGTGGTTTCACCCACATACGATGCAGAACATGCTGTTCACCAAATGAGCGTACAATTTCATGAGTGAGGAAAAAAAATGAGAGCTTTATACACCTTGAAAATAGATAATTATAGTTTGCTATATATTTAAAGTCTCGTCGAACTATGTATTATTTAATGAGAAAATATCTTTGTTAAAAATAAATTTAGCGTCATCTACGATAACTGTACCTAAAAACAAATAATTGTCTATTTACAATTTCAGCGAAATTTCTCTACTTACAATTGAATTACGAGCTTCAGATTTCTATGAGATGACGATTGAAGAGGGCTAAGCTTGAATTAACTATTGTTTTATGGAAAACGGGAACGACTATTCTAACTGTTTTCGTAGAATCATACGGTAAACAAAGTTTTTTTGCTTGTTAGTTGTCTCAGGTAACGGTCAATTAATTGCTGCTCGTAAAGCTTCAGCAAAGAAATTTTAAAAACGTCCAATTTTTCTACCGAACTCTTGCGTATAAAACAGCCGCCAACATTTATTTAGACGGTCTTAAATGTTCTTCGATAACAGTGTTGAATTTGTCTTGACTTGCAAAAAGTCATTCCTTCTTTTCCTTATCATTAATCACGTTTTAATGTTACTTGCAGACAAGATAGGATGATCCTGACAGCAATGAAGGCACGAGGTATAGCTTTTTGACTAAATTACGTAAATTTATATAGCCAATTTTTACTGAGCTTAGTCAACAATTTCCACCAAAGCAGCAGTAAATCTATTACAATTAACAGTAAATATTGCACATTCACACTGATAAAGTGCACAATTCATAACATTTTAAGAACCTCGTATTTAGTTATTGTATATGTAATCGTATTATCTTTAAATAATTTCAATTTAATGATAAAATAAAAGCTGAAGACTTAATATGCAGTCTCGTAGATAATGCGCCATATTCTGTGTATCTTTTCTATTTCTCGATTGGTCTACGTGAGGTTACATGGAAATTTTTTATTGAAATTACAGCCATTAGTGTACGGATAACTGTAGTTGATTAATGACGGCCAATTCATTTCAATCTCCCCCTGACTACAGTGCTCCATTAGACATGATGCACTTTTCTCCTCTTGTGTTCATGTCCTGTCCTATAGAAACTATTACTATAATTTTGTTGCTGTGTTAATAAACATGTATTGGACAATTTTCTTGTTTAAAATGATTGAGTAGAAAAGCGGGTAACTTAAATTTACAGGACGACTATAGCAAATGAGCATGATGAGTCGGTTTTCTTTAATGCATGTTAACTGGAAACCCTAAATCCAACCGCAATCTAAGCGGTAAACTGAGACAGAGCCGTCCCAAAAACGCTTGATTAACACTGTTTTGACCAGTGAAAACCTTTCACCGTCCATAAAGCAAGATTTGGTTAATTTTAGTGTTCACAATTAGTGTGGCAAATTCTTACAAACACCCCGTTTATATTTGTCGTTGTCTTTTTTTTGAATTTCCTATTCCTCTGGTCTGCTAGTTACGTCATGGCCGCCATGTTGCATGATTTTGGTGAAGGATCTTAGTCAATATTTCAGTTCATAATACAAATGTCATCGAACACGGTGAAAATTTGAGCGGGTTTTCACTGTCAAGAAAGTAGTTTCACACCACATATATTACAATTTTTACCAATGTCTAACCACAGTATAGAAACAAACAGTAGTCCCGCTCTAATGAATTTTTTTGTAGCTCATATCTCATTTACGCATGTGAGTAGCATAGTGGCAGCCAGTCAATTGCTTTCTTTGACTAATAGGAGCCCTCACATGGCTAGCCAAAGCCAGTAATCTTGTTAAATATACAGCATCAAGTTGCACAATGTAGTGTGACTACTGTTTGCTTCTATACTGTGATCAAACGTCAGTCAGTTTAGCTGTTCAAAAGATGATAAGGTTTGTATGGAATGAAAATGTATTACATCCAACTTCAAAAGAAATATTTTTGTAATCGAACTTATCCAAAGAATCGAACAAGAAATATATACTGCTTTATATTCTGAAAAAGAAAAATATTAATGACAAAAGGTAGATGGAGGGTAGCGAGCTGTTTTAAATGACAAACGTTTAAAGCCCGTTTTGTACAAAAAAGATTTACAATTGAGAATTACCAGCCTGTTAATTTAATCCTTTTATGCAAATGTTTCTGTATTTCCTCCCTTCAAAAACAAAAGAGGCTTTAGATGTGAATAATAGTGCTTTTCATTTGCATAACAGGACTGTATTTGTGAATTGAAAACAGTTCACTGACCCTAAATTCAGAGGTACAGACGTATTTAGAATTCTTTACAGTTTCTAAAATCAATTGCTCGACAGTCTTCAAAGCAATGTTTTCGACAGAAAACACAACTCAATTCAAGAGCTGTTACTCGGAATTTACAGCAACCGACAAATTTCAAGTTTATTCAATCTGAAATAATACATCGCAAAGTTAAACATACATCCAAATCACGTACACTATACGTTCTTTTTATCAAGTGTTATTGAAAGAAATTTTATTTTATCGTGAGAACGCGTGTCATCAATGATCAATTAATCATCATATGATGGTCTCTCTCTTCAGGTAAACCATTAAATACTTCAGTAGAGTATCAATTAGTTAAGTTGTGATTATTATTGTGTGCATTGCGATTTGGAAATTTGCCTTTTTATCTTTTGACTTTTGCTTTCTTGAAATGTGCAAATGAGTAACAAAAACATTTTGGAAAGCAAAATGTATGTTTAGGCGAAAATTGAGGGATTGTGAATACCAAAAGAATAAATATAAGCTTGAATATAAAACATAAACATAATTTGTGGCCTTAAAGTGCAGTGAAGTATTTGTACTCTGTTTTATTGGCTAATTTAAAAGCGAGTACACACACAAAATCATTTTATGCAAACAGATTTGAAGTTGGTATTTTCAAACTGATTTTATAGCCGTCAAAGTGGCGATTTTTGACCATTTTAAACAATTCTTGTGTAATTTTTTTGGCAGCCATGTTTGCTGCATTGACGTCATTGCAAGTACACATTCTCGACATGACAGTAGATATTAGGGATCTTTAGCAAGAGTACGAATACGACAACGAGTACGAAGTTTGACCGTGTAAGGGAATGGCACGAGAAAGTTTGTTGTCGTTGTCGCGTCATCAAAATTTTGTTTTAGCTATAAACAACAGAACGAACCTTTTTATTTTGAAAAATACCGACGTTTGCGAAGCAGCTACGGCTCGATTTGTTAATAATGATATCAACAAATAGGTAATACTGATTTTGCGAGAATATAGGACTCTTTAGAGTGAAAAATCTTCCCTATTTTAAGTTTTATGTACGATATTTGTACTATTTTATTGTTTGTTTACCTTTCACTTTGCGTTCGAAATATATGAAAGTTTTGCAGGTCATATTTTCCTTTTTAATGTACATCTGCGCTCAAAAAGGTTCTAAATTAAAGCCTGGATGCTCGAAAATAGTACTGTCGACAATTTCTTACAGAATGAAGAAATATATCTACTTTCTTTGCTTAAAAAAACATCGTAGTCGCGACTACGAATTTTTTACAAAACATCGTACTCAGATTGATGACGGCTACGTGTTTTTGTTGTCGCAACAATGTTTTTGCGCCAAAATGACGTAAATCGTACTCGTAGTCGTACTTGTAGTCTTTGCTAAAGCTTCCTACTATTTCACTGTCGACTTCCGTATTACTTATGACGTCAAATGAGCAAACATAGTGGCCAAAAAAAGGTTTGCTCTCGAGGACGACTTTTGGAGTTAAAATTTGTCAACTTCGACTCAACGTAAAATGGTCATAAATACATCAAACTGCTTACCAAAATCTAAATACATGTTTAAACGAGTAGAAAAGAGTACGGAAATTTCAATTCATAAACAATTTAAGCTCGGCAGGTAAGATTCTCGTTGAATAAAAAGTCTGGTCGTAGTTGAACTCGATATGACCTTCAAATCCTAAAAACAAGTGTGCTTGAAACTTTGTAAACAGTAAACACAGCAAACTAGTTTTAAGTCGATTTAACTCCCTTTGGACCCAGTGTAGCTACTGACTGTATATTATTGGGACTTTGATCTGCACTAGAAGTATTAAGTTTCAAGCAAATTCAAATCGACTTTTTCAAAAAGCTTCTTTGTGTTCGATACGAATAACCTTTTTGCAACTAAATATAATTTTATGCAACAAGAAGTGATTTTCAACAGCTTAAATAGAATTTTCAATTCAGCGTTTTGAATCCCTTATTAGCTAATTGAAGAGTTCAATAATCTTGGATTCAATCCTCTGAAGAAGGACTTTACTTCAACCGTTCAACTGAAAACAGTTGTTCTTATCGTAAAGAGATGTCTTGCATGAGAATCTATCTTTGCCACTTCAATGCTTCAACAAAATTGATGGTCGAAAATCAGCCAGCTTTTACATGACTGAAAAAAGACTCGTATTTTCATATTTTATCAAAGTGCTTTACTTTTGCTGACATCATATAGTTCATACGGAGTCCATTCCGCGAATTGTGTGATATTTATTGACAAATAAAATGTTGCTATTATACTTGACAGAAATATTTTATTATTTGAATAAAAAACTATTTTTAACTTTTCTTGAGAGGTACTTACATAGAATGCACGCTTTATTTTCTGACCGATGTAGATATAAAAAGCTTTCAAAGAAAATTTATAGTAACATCGTCTCAAGGAATTCGATATATTTCCTTTCAAAAATAGACGGGAAACAGTTTGATCTGATAACTTCACCCGAATGGCAAAAATAGATTTCCAACTGCAAAACTGTGATTAGAAATACTTGAATAATTATGTAAACAACGTGAACTATTTTTAATAGATATTTATGGAGACTAAAGAGACCACCTACAAAACCAAAACATCAATATATATTTACAAAGCTTCTTTTTGTAAATTTTCATGTCAGCATACTCTGCTGTTTAGCTGTTCTCATAATCTTTGCTTTCCGGAAAAAAAATAGTTATTGGAAAATGTAGTTGATCAATTAAGCCCTCAAAAAAATTTCCACCGTTTTTAATAAAATATGCATCAACCACTGACTTTATGACTTTCATTATAATCGATAATCGCAAAGCCAACGCATTCCATTTTATATTATCCTATTGTAGTGTCTACCATTGCGAAGCGGACCATTTACCAAAGACGTATTGTTTTATAATCTGCGTGACATCCCGCTGTATGGAAATTCTTTCCAGGTAACTCTATACAGAAACATACGTCAGCAAATACCATTGTAATGCGTTTAGACAATACAGAATTTTTTTATGCCAAAACTGTATCATGGAAATCGCCAAAGACAAAACAATGGCGGTTTTCTATTGTTTTTTAGATTTGTATCTTTAGAAAGACTTTGGCATTGTCGCAAAATGGGACGTTCTGTTACTGCTATGCTTCAAAAACATAGTCGAACTCTTTCACCCTAAAGCATTTTCTTCTCATCATAACTGCCGACATTTTTATTTGCGCAACAAATTCTTCCATTACGAAAATCTTATCTTTAAGCATTTGCGCGAGACATAAAGTCTTGCTGATCAAATCAACGTCGGTGTCTTTTGTTTGACGTTGTTAAAACGCAGTGAGATTTTTTGAAGCCGTTACGTAAGGACAGATACATTGTTGCGCTTCTTCCGACTCATCCGGATATGCTAAATTTTTCAATCACTACCTCAAGGGGTATATAAACACGAAATACTACGCCAGCACGTTCTTACGCACATAGCAGCAACTCGTGTTTATAAATTATGAACGGTAATTAAAGCAACGTGTGTTAAGCAGCCCTACAGCTCTGTTTAAAGTAGGTGTGTGCTAGTTTTGGGTGAGTATTTCTCCAATCAACGTCGATTGTTGGGAAACCTTTGACCTGTATGACCTACTGTGATGTAGCCAAGCAATTTGTAATAAAACCACTGGGCATTCGAGTTTAGCACTTACTCTCTGACGGTGAAATGTGTTGACCGTATCGATCGATGTCGTATTATTCACAAATACGGAAATAAGCGCGTACAAAGTGTTGAAATCACGCGCATGAAAGTAGATACATCTTTGTAAGGCTTTTATGAGAGCACATAATACAAGCTTTCATTCCACCGAAATCCCAAGCATCCTTCGATGATACTATCTCAATAATGGGCAGTTGTGTTACTCGTAGTAAACAAATTGAACCTATCTCAACCAGCAGTCGAGAGAGATGGAAAAACGAAGCGAAGATTGAGCAAGTTTACAGCAGAGTTACCGATGGAGGTCTTGACAAACGCGCCGTTTATGTTAATCAGTTCATCAAAGAGCGATATGAAATATTCACTTCCATCGGTAAAGGAGAGTTTGGTCATGTCGTTAGAGCTCAGGACAAACACAACAAAATGCCTTACGCAATTAAAGTGATTGAACTGACGCCAGACATTCGCGCTAAATCAAAAGTCGAGTTGCAAATCCTGAGGAAAGTCAACCATAAGTATGTCATTCGTTTGTACGAAGTTTACGCAACAACACGCCGGCTTTATCTTGTAATGGATTTGGCTACTGGTGGAGAGCTTATGGACAGGATTTCCCTGTTGGGAAACTTCAATGAACGCGATGCATCACATGTTCTGTACATGATCCTCGATGGTCTACGCTACCTGCACTCCAATGGTATCACCCATCGAGATCTCAAACCACAAAACATCCTTTACTATCATCCTGGAAGCAATTCGAGGATTATTATTACGGATTTTGGTCTTTCTGCCATGAGTGACTCGTCTCAAAATCCTGCAAATTACCTCATGAAGACGGACTGTGGTACTGTGGAGTACATGGCACCAGAAGTCATCACTCGCGCGCATTACACCAATGCAGTTGATATGTGGTCAATGGGTGTGATTGCATACATCGTACTGAGCGGCCGCCTGCCTTTCCCGCTCAATGGAAACATTCTGTCCACATTGCGAATGATTTGCTTTTGCAAGTACTCTTTTGAAGAGGAGGTAAGCATGTTTAACGTGTAATTTTACCGATGTTTTGGTACGTGTTAAAAAGGATCCCCCATAGAAAAAAATGTTGCACAAAACTATGCATGCTTTTTCAAAGATTTTGTCTGTAAAGGCGTGGGAGTAAACTTGTCGTGTTAAAGAATGCACTTGTCACTATTAATATCTTCATCATAAAATCATGAAAAACCGTTCATCGCAATTGTTTTCTACATTTCACTGGTTTTGCTAATTGCACAAAGCGTTTTCGATCGTTTGGTCATAGTATAGACGTCTATCTAAAAGACAAAACATTCCTTCATTCCTTCCATATAAGGGTTGCTTGAGACAGCTACGAAGATAAACGCAATATTTCTTGACTTTTTAATAAGCAGGCAAATGAATCATCAATTCTGTCGAGTTCGAATGAGCAAGCTAAAGACTAACTCGTACCATACTGTAATACTGAACATAATATCATTGCATAACTAATTGAGTTAACGCCAGTTTTGCGTGATCAATAGGTTTTTGTGTGTTTCTTGAGTTGCCAGTTGAAAAAGAAATACCTGCAAATCGTGCAAATCAAGCGTTTCAATACACATCACACGATAAAGAAACCTTTGTTCAACCTTACAGAAAAGAAAAATCTGTTTTCTTAATGTGCTGAAGGCATAATGGGTAATTCAACTTCCGTCAGGTCACTTCAGTACGTTTAAAGTAATGTACGATATGAAACATATGTCGACTTTGATTTAACCATTTACATTGTCGTTGCTTGTATTACCTATTGCTTGATTTTGAAACAAATAATATAATTCAGGCTGGTTGAAACAGTGTTGGAAACCTTTTAAAATCGCTCGAGATGCTCAAGATAATGACGTCAGTATCTGCAAAAAATGCGAATGTAATTTTCGAAAAAATTCTTTTTCATTTCCTGAGCATAAAACAAAAGCGAATGAAATAATTTCCTCTAAATATTCGCCATGAGGAACTTACAATGTAACAAGGATATCACACGCTCATTTTACAACATGGCGAAGAAAATTTAAGCACACCTTCTCAAAACTATATATTGAATCCTTTTTGTAAGTTAGGATTTAAGCATGTTCAATGATTTCCATCGATTATGTTTAAAAATGTTTAAAGTCTCGCCCCTTTGCCTTTAAAATGTTGAATACTGTCATGTATCTGTTAACAGCCTTAACTTGAACAAATCCTTTTTTCGTCTCTTGTTGCACATATGTATATAAAACCGTCGAACTTATGTTATTTGCAAAGAATACTCTTGTTTGTAAACTTATCTCGTAAAACTTCAGTTGTGAGAGATGGAAGTTGGATACAAACAGGAAATTTAAAGCCGCGTCCACTGAGACAATTTTAATGAAGAAACGTGCAAATTTTTTTTCGTTGTCATCTAGGAAAGTGTCTTAAATACTTCCTATATCGAATATCTCATTGTAAGATAAGGGTTGTTGATCAATGTAAGAAAAACCTTGTCAAATTTGACGTTATTTAGGAAGTCTAATTGTAGCTGACTGTTGCTAGAACCGTTGATGTGAAAAGAGTAAGAAGCTGAATGCATCAACATCATAAGAACAAATTGCATTTAATGTTGTGATTTTTAGGAATACTATTTGTATGTACCGTTGTTTTTTGACTTTGAAAATTCGAGTGAATTTGGCCAAATAATTCCCGGAAGCGCGTGGGTTGAAATCTTTTGCATCCAAAGTTATTGTCGATGAAAGCCAGTCGTATTTTTTGCCGGCCAAATAAGATTACATCTCGATGATTCTTGCACACTATGTGCAGTGAAATTTAATTTTTCGTTGACTTACAATGGGATAACTGAGCTATATAGAACTAAACATCAAACTTCAGGAAGTCCTTTGGAAACCTTAAAAATAATGTCTCAGTTTCAAGTTTGTGTTTAGACTCATCAACCTTCCCCTTTGGGCAATTTTTAACCCCGCAGAGATCAGAGAATTCGAGAAATGAAGTAGAGAACGAAAGAGCTTGTTTTGACATAGAACAGGTTCCTTGCTAAGCTGGGCTAGATTTACAAATTCCTCATTTCAAATTTCTACGGTGCTTAGCAAGATTTCAGACTTTAAAACGTGGGTGTTTTTATGAGAAACTATTTTTTCTGTATTTTGCCAAAAGGGACATGTTATTACTCAGATGTATCATATTTTTCAAAAAAACTGATCACCAGACTATGTGACGCTTATTCACAAATGGTTTAAACTTTGCTCCAAATTCTCGGAAACTTAAGAAGCCGCAGAAACTTTTAGGCCCTGTTTACATAAAAGATAGACATTATGAAATTAGTCGCAATTAAAGGAAGATATTTCTCAGAGCCCTGACTTATATTTGTTTTAGAAGATTTTTGAATCTTCGTGGGAAGCGCTATCGATTCTCAATTCGGACAAACAATCGGCTGAAGATAAGACTTCTCAGTGTTTTAGAAAAACCTAGACTAATTGCCAGACTGTACCAATTATTAAGTCGAAAAACAACTTTTCTTTGAGTATTTTTTCCGTTTTTCTACACAAAATCAGCAGGTGAACGCGTTTTGTAGCCATAAAAAATGTGACGGCATTTTTGTGTTTTCATCGAGTATTGTTTGTTTATTCAAGTCTTTCCGCAAATTTTCATATTTCTGAAAACGGTCAAGCAATGTCATATGGATGAAATAATTGTCCTTCTCGCGTTTCTCGTAATTTTCGGTTTGTTTTTGCTGCTTTTCGTGCTGTCGGTGTATCAAAATATGAACTATCGCCACAGGAAGATTATAGTTTGTCTTTCCCAATTTCCGTTACTGAAATGGCTGGCTTATCGGGATGACAACTTATCCGAAACGAAATCATTTTATACAGTTTCAGGCTATCTTTTCACGTCTGCAGATCGATTCCGGTTTAAAATAAATAGTGTTTTTCTTGTTTTCTTGTGTGTTTTGGCTGAAAGTGGGGTATATATCAAATTCTTTACAAATCATCGATTTTCCCGGATATTGAAATAAAATTCTTTGTTCAATAAGGTGAAATTTGAAAACAAAATGTTCTTTGAGAAGTTTCGGCATGATCGTGTGGGCAGCGCATCGCGTTTAGATAAGGCGTTCTTTTTGCTTTCAACAGCTTTGAAATGCTTTCATAATTGAGTAAAAGTATCTCCATCATATACGACGAACTTATTTTCCCATGAGATTAACTAACCTTTTTGGCCTTTAATTAATTAATGCATGGTCATATTAGCTACAAATTATTTTCTTTCCCTCGTAACCATGTTTAAGGTTGGTTCTAGAACATTATGTCACAATTACCAAATATTAAAATACTTTGAATTTTTGAACTTGACACTCAGTTTAACCGGTCATTACAGCACATTGGCGAGCAGATCAAATTAAAAACCGTGTTTTGAAAACAGATTTAAAACAATAGGACACGTGGAATGTGGTGTCATTAAAATGAGTGAGTGCGATTTAATTTCTTTAGCGCGTCATAAGCAAATAGTTTCAACAAGGCCGCAAAACGTTTCGTGATCAACCATGAGCTTTCCATATGCAAACGATTTTTGAGTGAATTGAAACAATGCCCATAAATCAAAGTACAAAGTTTCTCTTCGCAATTACGCAATCAATGATTGCAGTCATTTGCGCATGCGCGAGATCTGGACAGAAGTGATAACCAATGAGTGTTGAGTGCGATGCTCACTACAATTAAACTGGATTTTCGCTGAAGTTTGTTGTTGTATTTCATTCATACGAGCTTATCTTTTGTTTCATGTTGGACTTTGAGCGATACGTCAGGCTTAAGCAAGCAGTTTTATGAAATGAAAGGATCTTTAATGAACTATCCATTCCGTATTATTGCTGATAGGCTTGCATTGAAGATTTTTCGGTTTTACTACCCCCACAATTCTTCTGTCGTAACGATTTTCATAAATTGTGAAATGCTAAAATTTTATCTCTTGTTGTGTGGTTTGTTTAATCCTTTATTGAATACGATGATAATGGAGATTAATATTTCGGAACACAATGATGAAGAATTGTCATTTCTGTACGAGAGCCCAACATCATTGGAAGCATTTATTTTTCATTTGCAATTCTTTCCACTGCTATAAATCGTGCTTTCTGTGCTTATATTTCAACACTTGTATGATTATTTGTTTTATTTAATATATTTATCCTCTAAACATTGATGGAACTTCCATTTTTTTGGTTATACAACGCTCATGCAAATGCTAGCTACTAGTTCAAACCTATCGCTTTGTAAACAACTTTGTTTACGACAAATGTATGTTGACTTTATAGCTGTAGTTAAGAAGATTAGATTTTCTACACATGCTTCACGATTCATATGAATGATATCTGTAAACATCTGACGTCAACTACTTCTTTTCCTTTTCAGCCGTGGAATGCGGTTTCCGACGAGGCAAAGACCTTCATTAGATCGTTGCTTGTTGTTGAGCCCGCGAAGCGTTTGACCGCTGCTCAAGCTCTTAAACATCGCTGGATAAGACGGAAGACTCACAATAAACAAAACCTACAGAAATCCATCAGCTCCAATTGGAACGATTCTAGAACTTCGCTAAAAAATGAAAAGGGCTTAAAATGCCAAGCTCGGGAAATCTTACAAAAGTCGAAGCCCAGAACAAGCCATAGGTCAAGCACAAACACAGCAAGATTGCACAGAAAGCCTTTGGACTCGATAAGCTGGGCAAGAAGTCCAGAAGGACACACCAAAGATCGTAAAAGCAAAGTTAGGAGTCACGTGTCGAGAAAGGGATCGAACAAAAAACACCAAGAGAAGAAAATAAGAAGAAGTACAAGAACTTCAAGGAGTAAGATAAGTAATGTAAGGTACACCAAGGGATTTAAATTGTTAAAAGAAGCGGGAAAAGGGATAGCGAGAAACTGACGTCAAAGGTCAATACAAATGACGTGGCCGGCGTTCAGTTGAGGAAAAAACAACTTTCGTCAACTCTGAGCACGAATTCAAGCACAAATGACAGTCTGTACTCGGAGTCAATCAATCAGAAAATTACCGTTAACGCAACCGTGAATGTGAGAACTTCATGCAAAGAATTGCTCAAGACAAACTTAAACATGTCAATGGTTGAAAAAACCAATGAAATCGATGTCAATGGTAATTTAGCCTGTGAAAATGAAACATCGTCGTCCTTATAGCAACTATAGAGTACGGCTAGTAAAGTACTTTAGTCGATAAGAAGGCGAGCGTTGAAAATATACTCCTACCTGTTTAAGGTTATGGTTTGAGAACTCATCAACGTTTATATGGCGCTTATTGTATACATGGAGAGCAGACAATTTAAGGCAAGGTCCCTCTCTCGTTCTTCTATGTAAAGAATTTCAACTTTCTACTTTATTGAACAGTAACATTGTATATAGTAATGGCTTAAGAAAAGTATGATAATTTTTTTAAGCAGTGAGATGAGAAATGAGAAAGTCTGCTTAAACATAGCATGAATGAAAAACAACATTCAATTTACAATCTACCAAATGTGGTGTGTTGTATTTTCGAAAATTATCAAAGTATCATTGCTTACGTTCATGCAAAAATAAAGCAGGTTCGTAGCGGTCAATTTTGAAATATGTGTATAAGATGTAAATTCACGAACTTTTTGCTTTTATTGATTTTTTTTCCTTTGTAAAATGTAAATACTTGTCAATATTTTATATATTTGTAATAATAAACAAAAAATCTACAAATAACTGAACAAAATCACCTTAAATTATATTTACAGTATCGTAAACTTTGTATACTATGAAAATCTTTAACAAAAATGCTTTAAATCTTGTGTACATAACTATTTTTGATTTTTTGCTTGCTTTGAAATATTTGAACGCGATTTAAGAAATAAAAAAGAGCAGTTAAACTTGTGTATATATTGAGCTTTTATTCGTTTCTTCAAATAGATCTGTTTTCAGATAATTATACTTGTGTGAGTTTCGGGAATCAAGCATTTTTTTGATTACAAAAGTAATGGCAAGTAAACTTTTTCTTTGCGTAGTTAACCGTCCTGCACAAATTGAAAGTCACACACGAGATATTGACGCTGAAAGACTTCTTTTTCTGGTGATTTTTTTTGTGAATAAAATAAAAACGGACGAAGCCAAAATCCACAACTATTTGCATCGACAATCATCGAGAAAAATTTAGAAGCGCAAAATATATATTTCAGATAATTTAAATCAAATATAAAATACACACTATTACTACATATTACTACAGCTAAATTAGTTGCGAACTAAAATGAGTTCTGTATACGGAGAACCAAATCAAATTTTAATCTGTCAGTGGAAAAATGAAAGCCAATCTTTCATCATCAGTCATTTACAATTCTTTATTTATCACAAAACTTTGTTTCTTCTTCTCAACACCGTAAACTTTGGTTCCACCAGATCTTTCGTTAGGGGGCGGGGGGCGGGGCTATACTTTCAAGACACTATACTGAGCATGCGCAAACTTGATGACATCGCGTTCATCATTCAAAAATGTTAAAAAATTTGTCGACAATAATCAAGTCCATCTCTTGGCTGTTGTTGTGACGACAAACATCATAGTTGCTAAGCCAGCGGACAACGCCCAAAATGCATATTTTGCAAACACTCCCGAAGGATCATAGCTGATATAATCACTTTGTAATCCTTCCGTGGTTTGATCTATACCTAACCGTTTTCTTTCGCGCAGAACACTGTCGGGACGTTGTCTCAATAACTGTTTCACAAACTCGTCATGAGCATTTACGGCTGAGCTGGAAAAATGATTGAAATCATCATGTTCGCAAACGTATTTCAAACTTTCTTTTGAGGCAGCTTGTGTGAGCAACTATTCGTGAATCTACTTGGTTTGGTTGTCCAACAGATGTTTTAATATATAGGTATTTTCATAATAATATTTTAAGCTTTCTTTTCTGGCAGCTAATGTGAGCAACTAATCATGAATCTACTTGGTTTGGTTGTCCAACAGATGTTTTAATATATAGGTATTTTTATAATAATATTTTAAGCTTTCTTTTCTGGCAGCGTGTGAGCAGCTAATCATGAATATGCTTGCTTTGGTTGTCCTAAAGGTATTTTGAAAGACTTAGGAAAGAAATTAAATTTTACGACAAAGATATTACATTAGCTATGTTGGCTAATACGTGAAGCTAAATGAAATCAATTCAAAGAAACTTAACGAAAGACGATGGAAGTTATTGATTCAAGACAGTAAGCATTGGCTTTGTAACAATCACCTTTCTCTGAGGCATCTCTTGTAAGCAGAATTCAGCTTTTGCGGTGAATAGCGTTTGAAGAGACTGTGGGCTTTTTCAACAAGCGCTTCCAAATTGGACGGAATATGCGTCGGTAATGAACATAGAAAATGATGAACAGAACTCATTTCGCAGTCACAGGTCAACAGTTCTTGACGAAAATATATAACGAGCTGAAAGAAGACGGAAGAATCTGTCAAAAAAACTGTGGTGAGCTTTCGTATTGATATAAGGTATCACTCAATGTTAATATTCTTTAATGAGAAGATCAGAAACGAAAAATCAACTCAGTTTTTAGCACCGTGAGCTATCCAAAAGTTCGACTGTAAAATGATGACAATACAAACAAGATTTCGGAAACGTTGCGGTAATGCATTACTAGTCACTAGTCACTAATTATTTTTCACAATTTAAAAAGTAATTTTCGAATAAAATTTGAAAACAGAATACTTGACTTGCACTCGATTAAACCATGATATATAGTCTAGTTCAACTAAGGCAGGTTGTTTTTAATCAATTTTTCACGAAATCATGCCATAGTGGCTGTACTTAGGTCACATATGAAATGTACTATAAGTAATATTTTCAGGATTGAGTATTTCAATAAAATACAGAACAACGGTTACTCCATATAAAGTAAGCATTTTGGTTCAACGTTTCGATTTTATTAAGTCACCATCAGAAATGACAATGACTGAATAGACATGATGACTAAATTAAGTCGAAACGTTGAGTCAAAATGCTTACATTATTTGAAGTAACCGCTGTTGTGTATACTATGAGTAAATATACTAATTATTTCTTCTTGACCTTACACGACAACAAAAGCAAATGAAACTATTATTGCTCAACTGTTTCAAGAATAAAATAAATGAAACCTTTGTGTTTACAAAACCCCCAATGTGCAAAGCAACATAAGATGAAAGTAGCTTTGTTAATGTGTTAAATAAACAAAAATATAGAACCCAGTCCTCCCGATTCTTACAGCAGCTCCCAGGTAGATTGGCATCAGTGGATGCGTACCAAGGAACAAATCAAATATCCGGTAAATGGAAACGGGATCGTTGATGACGTGAGCAAACCACGTGATGAACCAACTCAACGCGAACATGTGACCAACATCGGATCTGTAGAAAGAAAGAAAAAGATTGATTAAAACACTTTGAATTCAAATTTCACGACACAATATCGAAAGTCAGTAGGAATCGACTTTTTAAGCAACAGATATTTACAAACAGAATCCTCCACGAACCAACAGTTGAGTACAATGCTCACCGTCTCAAAAACAGCTCAAGTTCACCGTCGGCCTCTTCAATTATGGAGTGGATGAATGAAAGCATTTGACTCGTCCGTTCCATGTTACGATCCATGAAATCTCTTAAATTATCAAAGTCATTTATCAGTTTTCTTGTGGAATTGAAGATTGTGAAGAACTACGACAAAACATCAAAGAACCTTAAGTAATGCAAGGATATTTTCTCGAGCAGAACCGTCGCTAAATCTTCTCCGTTGACCAGTAATAAAGTGACAGCTATATCATGGTAGCCCTGAATATTTAAAAGAAATTAGTGGTTGAAACTTCGATTAAACGACCTCAACAAAAATCCCACAGTGATCTCGTTATTTTCTAGAAAGGGTACATGTTCGAGGTGAGCTTACCTGATAATAATGTAAGTCAGGATGACGACACAGAACTCTCATGATTATGTTTATAACCTGTCGTTGCATGGCTCTTCGTTTTGAAAGTCGTAGATCTAAACGGGTTGTTTTGTTTTTCAAGAAAAGAACGATAACATAAAACAATATAAAGGGATGACAATATAGCAACAAAAGTACTAGCTGGTATGTACTATGTTGTCCATATGCGTAGCCATACACCTAGAGGAAAGCGACATAGTGTACTACTATGTACTATTTTATCCATATAAATACCTAGAGGAAAGCGACGTTTTGTACTACTATGTACTATGTTATCCATATAAATACCTAGAGGAAAGCGACGTTGTGTACTACTATGTACTATGTTATCCATATAAATACCTAGAGGAAAGCGACGTTGTGTACTACTATGTACTATGTTATCCATATAAAGACCTAGAGGAAAGCGACGTTGTGTACTACTGTGTACTATGTTATCCATATAAATACCTGGAGGAAAGCGACGTTGCGAGCGCTTGACGTCTAAATGAACTTGATTCCAATATTTGTTTTTTCTGAACATTTCCTCCTCTTCAAGTGCTGAAACGAAACGTATTATAAGAAAATAGCGCGACCTTGCAGGCAAGTTTGATAGTGCTAAGTAAATAACTACAAAATCTTTGCTTGTTATTAAATATTGATTTTGCAGAGTCAAAAAGAGACATAGTTCCCTATACGGACTAAATACATCGCTAGCCACTCAATTGTAGACCCATAAAGTAAGCAGTTCCTTCGTAATACATAGTCAATGGTATGTGTTTATAGATTTAAAACGCTATACTTCATGTTATGCTTTGATTGTTGATAAATGTTTACTGAAATAAAATGTCAACATAAGCCTTCCTTGATGACCTAAACACCATGAGATTAATGTGCTAAGATTTTAATTTTAATCAATGTGGAAACCAAGAAAAATAAACATGATTGTATCTGATTTAATGGCCCTCGTTTAAGTTTAATATTTATTAATCTTTACATTGTTTTTTTCGTTTCTTTGAACCTCCAGTTGCCTTGGTAATGTTGTAGATATTGACTTGAAGTAATTTTGGCCAGACCTTTGTACGGATGTCATTATTTATCAAACCATCACCGGTTGTTGCTAAGTAACCTAATGTTTTCACATCAACTGGGTCCGCCTCCAGAGCATTCTCGATTCGACGTATCTTCCCACGAAGACGGGATTCTGAGGCTTTATGAGAAAGAGAAAGTAAATGGTTGTTTATATTATGAGAATTTCTAATGACTTTACAAATTTAAATATTCTTATCAAAAGTGATCTGATGTTGAAACTTGAGTTCTTATACACTCCAGTCTAATGTCTTCATCAGGAGTGATCTGATGTTGAAACTTGAGTCCTTATATACTCCAGTCTAGTGTCTTCATCAGAAGTGATCTGATGTTGAAACTTGAGTTCTTATACACTAATGTCTTCATCAGTGATCTGATGTTGAAACTTGAGTCATATACTCCAGTCTAATGTCTTCATCAGGAGTGATCTGATGTTGAAACTTGAGTCGTCTAATGTCTTCATCAGAGTGATCTGATGTTGAAACTTGAGTCCTATATACTCCAGTCTAATGTCTTCATCAGGAGTGATCTGATGTTGAAACTTGAGTTTTTATATACTCCAGTCTAGTGTCTTCATCAGAAGTGATCTGATGTTGAATCTTGAGTTCTTATATACTCCAGTCTAATGTCTTCATCAGGAGTGATCTGATGTTGAAACTTGAGTTCTTATATACTCCAGTCTAGTGTCTTCATCAGAAGTGATCTGATGTTGAAACTTGAGTTCTTATATACTCCAGTCTAATGTCTTCATCAGGAGTGATCTGATGTTAAAACTTGAGTTTTTATATACTCCAGTCTAGTGTCTTCATCAGAAGTGATCTGATGTTGAATCTTTAGTTCTTATATACTCCAGTCTAATGTCTTCATCAGGAGTGATCTGATGTTGAAACTTGAGTTATATACTCCAGTCTAGTGTCTTCATCAGAAGTGATCTGATGTTGAATCTTTAGTTCTTAGTCTAATGTCTTCATCAGGTGATCTGATGCTGATGACTTCTTAAGTCTAGTGTCTTCATCAGGAGTGATCTGATGTTGAAACTTGAGTCCTAATGTACTCCAGTCTTGTGTCTTCATGAGTGAGATACTCCAGTCTTCATCATTTCAGCGTGATCAGAATTTTAATTGAAAGACCTAAAACATTTCTATACTACTTCGTCATAACATAAATCTCTCTTCCCAAAATATTTTCAAGAAAAACAGGGCATTTCCGTGACCCTACGTCCTTACCATAATATACAATCTGTGCCATGATACCTCCACTCTGCACTATCGTGTTTTTCTCGCTCTCTTTTGGTCGAAAGCAAAAATTCCCATTAGACCATACGTATGTATCGTCATTTACTGTACTATTTGAATCAGTCTGCCCAGAGGACATTGCATTTGAAGCACGAAACAAGGAATACGGAAATTCATCTAAAAATTCTTTCTTCTTTACGCCGCGATAAAAATATGTCGATGTATACATAGAACATGTAATTTAAAACAGGAAAAGTTTAAAATATTGGCACAAAGTTAAACGACCGACGATGCCGCGGCATAACGATAAAACCTTCTTTGTTTTTGTTGATCTTCGCAGACGTCCATATTGACTTTTAATAAGGTTAAATTATGATGCCGGGGGGAGGGATGTGACGTACTTACTATCACGGGGGGAGGACTGAAGAAAATCCTCAGTCCACAAACACAAATATGTCGTTATTATAAAAGGTTTTAAAGTTAGTTTTGTTAGCCGAATTTGCACTGTTTACGTTCTAGATTTCTCTGTAATTCCTTCTTCTTTGTCTTATGGCTGATAATGACTACAGATTTCTGAATATTTGAAATTATGACTGCCCACACAATTGGCGGGCTTTCCAGTTTCAAACAGCTTCATTACTTCCGTGCAGTAAATGTCCGTATATATGAATGAAGGTAAGCAAGACATCTTTTACATGGCAAAGTTGCTTTGATATTTAATGTTCACGACTACGAAATATGTCCGTGAGTAAATGTGTGAAACATTTCGTGACAATCGAAAATTATATAAAGTTCTTTGTAAATAAATTTTATCAATACCTCCCCCGTGATTACATATCATTTACGTAAATCTGTGGTTTATTTGACATTGGCATAAAATATTTAGAATGAACTTGCAAATTTTTCTGTGAAACAAAGTTGGGGGTCTAGTATTGTTGAATTAAATATCGACTGTTGTGAATTGTTTTGATTTATGCTGAATTCTCAATTGACATGAATTTTTGAATCATCTATGAATTTTCTACCTAGAAAGACATCAGTTACATGTCAGAGTTTAAACTAAAGATGCAAGGACAAGCAATGACATCAAAATCAAATGTTCAGGTACAAAATACAACTCATTTGTAACGTCTGCTTTATAATACAGGTGTTAGGAACCTGTTTGCTGTTGTATAGCATCACATTCTAACATTCTTGTTGTCTTCAATCAAAGTTTCTGTGATCAATAAGCAGATCATGGAAATATTTTAATGAGAGAGACTTTAAATCATGCAATTTGATTGGTTAATGCTGATGTAAAGCAGCAAATGATAAATCATGCAATTTGATTGGTTAATGCTGATGTAAATCAGCAAATGATAAATCGTGCAGTTTGATTGGTTAATGCTGATGTAAATCAGCAAATGATAAATCGTGCAGTTTGATTGGTTAATGCTGATGTAAATCAGCAAATGATAAATCGTGCAATTTGATTGGTTAATGCTGATGTAAATCAGCAAAGACCACACCCAACCTTAATCACATGCAAAGTTGATGTAAATTTTAGCTTCCATTACAGTAAGTAACCAAATATTTAATGGTTTAACGCTGCATAATGCATGAAACAGTATGGAATATTAATCACATTTTAACATCAATGGCGGGAGCTAATTGACATAGTTCTCGAATATTTTTATGAATTTTAATAATTTATCAAGGGAGCCTATTATTGGCGATTGCTAATGCAAAGTTCGACGGTTAATCGAAATGCGCTTTTGAAATCTAGTGTCCTCATTTAAAATACAATGTTTCATATGTGAACATGCGAATTGGCTTTTGAATAAAAGTGAACACGCGCTAAAACATCGATTCACAGCAGTTTGCCTGTGTACATCTTCTACTTAAATATCCTCATCTTCAAAACGAAATCAGCCAAAGTTACTGACACGTTTATGAGATGCTGTGGCGAATTGATTTATGGCTAATTAATTTTCCGCCAATTAATCCCTAATTGCTTTGTTAATTACGATGTTTCGGTCGCTATTATGACTAATTTGATTCGAGTAATTTCGGCTGTTGTCATGGCAGATGTTTCTGCTGTATGAAGACTGCTGCAACTAGCGTTGAAGCTGATGGACGGACAAATATAATCTGTTTGCCATTATTCTTTAAAATCGATAACCAAAAATATTTTCGTGAATGTAGCTGTCTTCAAGTTTGATTGCTATAATTTATTGTGACTAACGTAGGAATTTCTATTGTTCTGTGTAACAAATGAGTAGCCGTGATGAAAACGATGCGCGGTTTTCTGTTTGCAAATCTTCATCATTCCCTTTCATCCTTCATGTTGTCCCGCAGGTCCTAGTTTCTAAGTTCCTCAGCCTCACTCGCTAAAACTCTTCCTCGTGATTATGTATTGACGAAATTTCAAAACTAAATAATTTTTTCTTCACATACACAACACAGAGAACGACGAAGGAACTTGATGATTTTTTTTTATTTAATTATTCGTCACGCGTCTTGTTATGGTTAAAATTCTCCCACGAGATTTTATCTCTCGTCTTTTAAGCACAGTTATGTTACAAATCAACAACGCATATGAATTATCGATCTTCCAGTATTTCATTAATATAATCACAACAGACAAAGATGATGAATCTTTATCTGCTTTTAAATAAACCGTGTTTTTATCTGCCTCTGTGACGTTCAGTGGCGCGCAGCATTAGATGTTTTAGTATATGAATAAAAGACAGATTTTCGTATTACCGAATGCTCTTTACTTTCATACAGAGAGTGTTTTATTTAATACCATACAATTATCTTAATACGTCTATTAAATAGTAATCGGATGCTTTAGAATATTTGTTATTTCATCACGTATCTTTTGCATTCTGAAGAAGGCTTGAAGCACTGAATTCGTAGCTCAAAAAATCCCGTAATTTCAATCCAGTGAAATCTTCACTCAAATATCAAGTATACTGTGCTACACAAAACAGCGTGTCGTCCAATTATTTGTTTTCTGGTATTTTGAAATTACTTCTTCAGCTGTACATCTATCACTACGATTATATATCGAGATTTTCTCCTGTAGTCTGGAAAAGTGATCATTTTTAATGTTTTAGCATATTAAGCGTTTCGCGATAAGAAATAAACGACTATTTCCCTTTACAATCAATTTTTGTCGGCTATAACTTTTTTACTTATTATTCTGAAGTGCTTTCAAAGATTCGTAGTTGTAAATACACGTTTCTGACAACCTACATCCATAATCATTTTGCAAATCTGTGATCAGAGCCGCTAACAATTGACACGAGTGTCATATGTTGAGATCCCAGGTATTCCTACTATCTCCAAGTGCCCGAAGCTAACTGCAAACTGTGATCAATTGAACTTATACATACACATGGTAAATAAATGTATAAAATTTCAATTTCTTCCGTGACGTTTTGCAATATTTATCGAGCATAATTTCTTGGCAATTGGATTTGAATGAATTAAAACAAAGAATCAGACTTGCTAGTTTGCACTACGCTTTAGACCGAGGCGAGTTTACCGGAAATTTTTTTGACTGCCTTAAAAAATACCACCAAACATATAAGCATGGTATGAGAACTTGATAACAAATATCGGAACCTTTGCACAAAATCTACAAAATGCAGACGAGCAAAAGTAGCGCAAAATTTACTGTGTTATAACGGGATTTAATAAATCTTTTCCTCTGAATAAGTTTAATGAAAATAAAGTCATTGCGTTGTTGTATAAAACGTATGGCAAACACATCAGCATAAACGCACGAATCTTCATGAAAATCCAAGAAGTTTGTTTTTAATAATTTCTGGCTGCTATGGCAGCTGAGTTGATAACAGGCAAACAAAGATCTTATCTATACAATATTAAAAGGTCTCATGATGTGTATTAGGCTTTAAATATCAACGCCACCCAAACTTGGTCTACAATCTGTCGTCTCCTAGTTGCTAGTTTAAAGATGTTTAAAGAAAGACAAGATTAGTTCGTGCTCTTAATTGGATTCATGTTCCAAACTAAGATGAATGTCTTAGGAAACAGAGAACATGAATGTCTTAGGAAACAGAGAACATGAATATCTTAAGAAACAGAGAACATGAATATCCTTAGGAAACAGAGAACATGAATATCTTAGGAAACAGAGAACATGAATATCCTTAGGAAACAGAGAACATGAATATCTTAGGAAACAGAGAACATGAATATCTTAGGAAACAGAGAACATGAATATCTTAGGAAACAGAGAACATGAATACCTTAGGAAACAGAGAACATGAATATCTTAGGAAACAGAGAACATGAATACATTAGGAAACAGAGAACATGAATACCTTAGGAAACAGAGAACATGAATATCTTAGGAAACAGAGAACATGAATACCTTAGGAAACAGAGAACATGAATATCCTTAGGAAACAGAGAACATGAATACATGAGGAAACAGAGAAATACTTTAAGAAAAAGTAGATGAACTACTTTGGAAAAGCAGTGATACACTTCATAAAAAATGAAATGAAATATTTTAAGAAAACAAGGACATAAACTCCTTAAGAAAAACTGAAAAAGAAATGCAACAAGGATTTCAAACACTTTTTCACTCCATGAAACGATAATGGCTTTGTGCAAATTCCATATTCCAAACATGAATAAAATGTATTATTTAATGCTATTTTTTGTGATTAGAGTCATCTGGTTTTCTTTTAAAGTTCATCATTGTTCACTTAACGTCTACAAACAACTATATCGTATTAGTCGCATTTTGCGGCTTTGCCATCATTTAATTGAATTACAAGATTAGCCTATTGTTGTTCAGTCTTCGTTTGTTAGTACAGCAAAACTTGCTCTCTTCGACTGAAGCCGTATTCGTTAAGATAATCATTAATTGCGTCAGTTAAAGTTAAAACTGAAAGTGGAATTTGACAATCACTAAGCTTCGATGAACAAATGTTTGTTGATGTGAGTTTATTTCAGTCGTCCAATCTGCCTCTTTTTTATTGAAATTACAAATTCACATGTCTGTATTCCATCATTTCCATGGCAACAGAAAAAGCAATTTGAGAGCAATTGTCTTGTCTCGAAAAGAAGCACTAGCGGTGCTCTTTGTCAGAAATAATCCCTTTCGACAAAAAATTGTATTTCAATCAACACAGTGTACTTTTTGTATAAGCTGTCCGTTCCTGTCGATTCAGGCTGTGTTTAGCTATTTTACAGCGTTCTTGTCGTATATTTCTTTGTAAAACGGTTATAGACAGCAATTCTAGTTTGTTTGTATTCATTTGACAGCTAAAATTACATTTGCATGAAAAACCATTTTAAGTAACGCAAACAAAGCTGCATAATTCTTTCAACGAAAGGTAATTTTAGAGAATCTGCAATTTTTTTTAAGGACGACTGATTTCTGTCTTTGACACCCTTACGTCAATTTAAAGTGCCTACGGATTAGTGGAGCGTCTTTGTCATGTGTTCATTGGTGGGTTGATGTATTCGTAATTGATATTTTCGCAGGTTATCTCAAAACTTTCTCTTGGCCCAACGAAGCTTTGTACAATTTGTCATTTGAGTATCTTGGAAATTCGTAATAGAAAATCATTTCCTATTGATCATGTTGCGATGCTAAACGGTGTCGACAGATACGAATCAAACAATTCAACAAGATTGTAAAAAATAAGGTTATCTGTTTTCTATTTTCCTCTCTTTGCTGTGACTCCGATCAGCTTTGCGTTTGGTTGTTCGCTGGCCACACACGAGCGCTCTAATGAGAATTCGAAATTGCTCGTTTATCATTTTGTGCAATTAATTGGACCGAGTTGTTAATGCGAATATGTTTGCACCGAATATCGACGCTGTTTGAAGATTTCATGAAGAATTGAAGAACATATTTTGTGTTATTGATATCCTATTTTGGTTATTCGCCGACCCTATTGGAATCCGCTGTTCAAAGATAGGGCGAATGGTGTAAAAACGAAAAAATTCATGTCTGCTGTTTTTTCTCACTATTTTAAATATTAATGGAAGCATTTAATTGATGGCGGGTGATTTATTGATTCGATTCCTACGACGGGAGGATAGAAATCGTGCAAGGAGAAAGTTTATCTAGAACAGCAGCTAATCCTTCAAGGTGAGGTTGAGACCTGACGTCGAGAAAACAGATTGCAAGGAATCCAAATCATTTCCATTTTTGAATTAACATCACTCAACGTCATCATCTTTTAAATTGCCGTTCAGTATACGAGACGCTATCTTAAACGCACGAACACACACAGGGTCTGTAGATGACTCAAAGACTCAAGACTGTGGAATAAGCCGAACGGGGAACGATTGACTGAAAAGAAAATCAAGCCATCGACAAATTTTGAGGTTTGGAAGTGTTATGTAGCTAATTCAACATAAATATCTTGCTCTTGAATGGTCAGATTATGAAAAGAGTTGCTGTTGTTTTTTTCCCAACAAGATTAGAGTAATTTTGTGTCTTTAAGTGCATTACCTACATCAAGTAGACAAATAGCGCAAGGTACTTTGATAAAGGGGAAATGTTTTTCTGCATGTAAAAATACATCTGGAATTTTACGTTTGTGTTATGTTGAACAGGATTAATCTCAGGTGATTAAGCCTGCTTGTAAATGACCTAGAGTGACAAACCTTTCCAAACTAACAGGCCTTCTGGTTTTTCTCCACTTTAGTGCCAACTCTGGGACCTCTCGTTGCGTGGCAAACCATGGATTCAAACAATTCGACAAGTCAGAGCAATACTTGCGGCAAGCAAGCGTCCACGGAATGGATCATTACCACGGTCTATTTAATCGTTATATTTTTTTTGACGGTTTGTGGTAACTTGCTTGTCATCTTAGTGGTTGTACGTTACAGAAAACTTCAACAAGTAACCAACTATTTCATCGTGTCGCTGGCCATCGCTGATCTGCTCATAGCTGCGACAACGCTCCCTTTGACAATACATGTTAACATTCACAACGGGTTTTGGTGTTTAAGTCTGCCAGCGTGTGGTTTTTGGCTTGCTATGGACGCCACCTGCGCCTTTGCCTCCATTGCAAATCTTGCCGCGATATCGATAGACCGTCTAATAGCAATCACGATGCCTCTTCGCTATCGTGATATTGTGACAAACAGTCGTGTTTTTCGTGTTATCACTGCTATTTGGCTCTTTTGTATCGTCTGGGGCTGCCTCGTTTTGTTGGACTGGACAAACCCGAAGGAACTTGGTGTACAGGCCTATGTTAACGGAGTAAATGATGTTTGCCAGCACACCGAACCAATATACTACACTGTTTCCATAGTGATCGCTTTTTTTGTACCGCTTTTGATCATAATCACCGCCTATACTGTCATCCTCAAGGTTGCCATAACGCAAGCAAAAGCTGTTGCTGCTTTGAACCCGAATCGCGATCAAGAGAAAAAGAGTTTCTTTCGTGAAACGAAAGCAACAAAAATGGTCGCTCTGGTGATTGGCGCGTTTGTAATATCGTGGTTGCCTGTCTTCATTTTGCTTTTAATCGGCTTGTGGGATCCCGAAAGCACTAAGAAATTCCGTGAAAACAAGCCCAAAGCCCATAAGTTCGTGTTCTTTACGTTTTTACGCGTTCTTCCCCCCCTGAACAGCTGTGTCAATCCCATAATATACGCTGTGTTCAATAAGAATTTCCGGTCGGCGTTCAAACTTTTCTTATGCCGTTTTAAACCCATGAAGGATGATATGAATCTTAGCATGATTTCCTATTCAACAAGAATGTCACTTACGCGTCGAAAAACGTCCCTTTGCACGGTGCTATCTGACACAGATGTCAAAGAAAATACCGCTGCATAACTGTACAGTCGTCTAGCGTTTTTAATAGATGACAATAAAGACATTGTAGAATGTCTCTGTCGGTCGGAGTGGGTTTATTTATCAAAGCACGGGAGCACATTATTCAAAGTTGAGATAGCTAACCTCTGAGACAAAGAGGATTATCAGATTATTAAGTAAGGATTAAAATAAAGGCTTAACTTGTGTAGAATGCGGTTTTATCTTTCATATCTTTGTTAAGGAGCATGTTTGAATCAGTCTATTCATCTAACGTAAAGTAGGTTTAAGTCAAAATTGTCCCAAGTTTTTCGTTGATTATTTGTTCTCTGTAGCACCAGCCTCGTTTCCAGGCGCTTTGTTGCAATCCTTTTTATTCGAGTTGTACCTACTCACGCAACTATGTTAGGCCTGGTGACGAGGCTGGATTAGCACGGACATAAACGGTGGTATTTGGGAACTGGAAAATGTAAAAACCGTGCGAGGGTGTTAGTGTGACCAGACTCGGCAATTTTTATTACTATATCCGCTCTGGTGAGCTTAGACAGTCCCCCCTGATTAAATAATTACAACATTTGGAACAGGGGGACGCATTCTGCTTGGGTCAACGCATTTTTTATATGAAAGATTGTTATATGCAGTGCGGTGTTTGAAATTGAATGAAGATATGATCTTCGCACTTTGCTGGACAATTCAAGTAATTGTCTCATGAACCTGAAAAATTCAGGTGACTCAACTTCATTCAAGCATTTTTGATAGTAAATTATTTAAAAAATAAAAGATGTTTACTGTGTTTGCACAGGCTTATGCAAACCGAGGAGACCTTTGGGTGAACTCGAGAGCAGATCAGTGCAAGCCCGAGACCGAAGGTCGAGAGTTGCACATGCTCGAGAGTTCTCACTAACGTCTCTGGGGTTTGCATAAGCCTGTGCAAACACGAAAAAGATAAACATTTAATTTTTCCTCTAAAATGTATTCATGATCGATTTGCAAATTCTTATTGACTGATTGATTGTTTTGATTGATTTGATTGGTTGACCTCGGATGTGCTTTGCACAGACTAATGCAAACACAGCTCTGAACCAATCAGCGCACGCATTTCATTGTGTTTATTTTATAATCACGTTTGTCAGGCTGGAGGGAGTTTATCCCTATATGTAATGTATTAATGAGTAATCCAATCAGTGATGCAAACACTATTGTCCACTTTTATCCATTGCCAACACTATTATCCACTATTATCCCTCGTTGCACAACTAACATTTGCACCTTTGCATTACGAACATTTGCACCATTATAGTACTAACATTTACACTGTTGCACAACTAACTACAGCAGCCTCTTTCATTAAAGCTCCGCGATGCTCAAGTTTCAGTCAAGTTTCCATAAGTCGAGTCGCTTTTTCGAGGAGCAATCGTTTTAAAGCATAGGTTTTGGCGTTTTTAGCTTGCAAACATAAGAAGAAAAATATTTGACTTATTTGTTATTCGTGGAAAGCATATCAATGAGAAATGAATAATATTGGTCAGTGTTGAAGAGTATGTCAGTTGAGTATGTCACAAGCTTCGTTGTTCACTAGGCGCACATGGACCACTGGACTAGATAGATCATTTCGAGGCACTCCATTTATCGCGTTTGAGGCTCCAAAGTTTGGCTTTTTGAAAATTTCCTTGATCAAACTTGGAAGAAAATTTTATTTCAAATTTTTGATACTCGTGAAGCTTTGACAGTCACGTTATCGACCTTAGGTAAGGCGAAACTTTATATGGATTATTCAAAGCTGTTTTCTATTTCAATGACAGCTTGTTCTGAGAATGTTTACTACCATATTTGGTTATGTGGGGAATAACCTAGAAATCAACGACCATCAACGACCATCAACGACAGTCGGATGATCACAAAATCTTCCTTTTCTTCGCGACGTATGGACCTATGGCGACAAATGTTTTCAATGGAACAATCTAAATATTCTTTTAGGAAAAAACATTTTTCTTGTACTCGAATAAAATATTTAAAACGTCTTAGTAAGCATGAATTTGTTGTCTTGAAGTAATCGGGGATTTCCTTAGGGAATACCCTTCTGGAGCATATAACTAAAATCTAACAGCACCCTCGTCATAAGAAAGAAGTTCTTCATAAGAAGTACTATCTACGTAAAGATTGAAGAAAGTTATAAAATAGCACAGGATATTTGTGTTCACTGCGTTGGAGAAGTTTGAAAATATAGCTTCGTCGACTTTCATTCATAGGTATGTAGGTCTCAGTTCTTTCTTAGACCTAAGTTCTTCATGTATCTTGCAAATGGTTATTCTGTTCTTTGTTGGGAAAAGATCAAAACATATCTTATAGTTCACTTGTGTTTTTATAATTCCTTATTGTGAATCAGCACGTAAGACGCGTTTACTGGAGAAATTTTTCCACTTGCCTCTCAATGTAATACTGTACCGTCTGTACGCGAAATCTCAGGTTGAGGATTCGGCTCAATGGCGTCGAAACACAAGCTTTGGCAATAGTTGTGTGCACTCTTTAAACATTAAGCTTTAAATATGAAGCAAGTCATACTAAGTTCAATCAATGAGAGGAGGCATGTGGGATATTAATGAGGACCCGTTTCCAGATATTTCTCTTTGTTCAATAATCTTGTTGATATTAATGCATCGACAACTTGAGCTAGGTACCAGTCTCGCCCTTTCTTTATCCTTTTAGCAATTGTCACGACGTCATTATTCATCAAAAGTATCTTTCCATCTTTTCTGTTTTCTCTCACTAATTTATTCTTCAACCGTCACTAATTTATGCTTCAACTCTCATCAATTATGCGTCAACTCTTTCTAATTTATGCTTCAACTCTCACTAATTATGCGTCAACTCTTTCTAATTTATGCTTCGACTCTTACTAATTTATGCTTCAATTCGTGTTAAATTAACAGTTAATTCAAGGAGGTTTTTTCTTTCTTCATACAGTCATGGCATTTCCAACCAAATTGACACTATCCCATTTCCTGATTTGCTTTTTGCTGTTGTTAATCCTCACGGAGTGTCTGGCGTCGACTAGCAAGGCAGCATCATTTTGGATGATGTTATAGAAGTCATTGAGCAATCACTGACAGTCGGTACCGGTGTTACCGTTGGCTTAAAGATTTTAAGGAATATATTTTAGGACTAAAAATAGAACCTACAATCTCATTAAAGATAATTTGTGTCAATATAGTTAAGAAAGTGGCGTATATTTTTGACTTTGTAAATGATTTTGTTCTAGTTGATTCGAAAGTTTGAGAGAAAATTGCTGACTGTTGTTCTTTCGTTGCTTTCAAAAATAAATATTCGTGAGTGGTTGGATTGATCTTTTATGATCATGACATATAGATGAACGACACAACACAGTAATGTGGAGTAACACAGGCTGCAACAGAATAACTCGGAGTAATTGAGCAACACTGTGTAACAAAGGCAAGCACGAAGAAAGCAAGAAAAGAGTAAGACAGAGTAACACTAACACAGGGTAACACAGAGTAACACCGAGTAACGTAGTGGCCACCAGAAGTTTAGTAACCTAAGTAAAACATCGTAAAGTTATTCGGTGGCACATATTGTTACACGAAAACATAAAGTAAGTTATGAGGAACACACAAGAACAGAGCAGCACGAGATAAGTATCGTGAGTAAAGTATCGTCTGTAAAATAATACACTGTAACACACAAGGTAACACAGAGTAACACCAAAGGTAGTACAAATGAACACAGTAACATTAGAGTAACATTAAAGCTTAACAAAAATTAACAGAAGCTAACATATATTAACACAGAGTTATACACAAGGTAATGCAGAAAGTAATACATAAGGTAATGCACAGAGTAATACACAAGGTAATACACAAGGTAATACACAGAGTAATACACAGCGTAATACACAAGGTAATACACAAGGTAATACACAAGGTAATACACAAGGTAATACACAAGGTAATACACAAGGTAATACACAAGGTAATACACAAGGTAATACACAAGGTAATACACAAGGTAATACACAAGGTAATACACAAGGTAATACACAAGGTAATACAAAGAGCACGGAGCTCATTTGAAAATAGAGAATCTTTCGTGTGATATTTTTCCTGACTGCTTAACAAAGGCACGTGCTAAAAGTGTCACTCCGGAATTAGTAGATATTTTAATTGAATCAGGGGGGTGACGTATTGGGATTTCTTAAAATAGTATATTTTGAGGAATGAAATTATTTTTACAACATGACATAAAGTGGCTTTTCAAATTAGCTTAAATTACAAAATGAATTAATTTTGAATAAATTGGTATAATATATGCGATAGCTCGAACGGATGTGACGTTGGATCTATTACTATCACTCTCGGGACGAGGCCACGCAATGTTTTCACCTTTGTGGCTTGGACTCCGGAAACGGAAGTGAAAATTTCAGGATATTTGAATGAGAAAGCTTATTTAGAATTGTTGCTAAAGTAAGCACCATAAAACATCATGTTCTTCATCATTCTGGTGTAGCCTGTCCGCAGGTTTTGATCCTGTTTTGTAAATTTTAGATTATCAACAGTATTTATTCCTCCAGCAAAAATTTATATCACTAAATCCCATTGGTTGGTTAGATCTTATGACGTAGGATTAAAGGCTTTTTTAATTAATAATTGATTTTACATAACCCTGAATCAGCTGCTGTTTGTTTTCACATTGAGTGAACACAAAAATTACATAGTGGGACTAAACAAACTTTCTGGCTGAACCCAGGACTCTGGCCACACCCAGGGCTCTGGACATTCCCAGGACTCTGGCCACACCCAGGACCCTGGCCACACCCAGGACCCTGGCTACACCCAGGGCTCTGGCCACAACGTGGGCTCTAGACACATTCAGGACTTTGGCCACACCCATACTCTTGCCACACCCAGGACTCTGACTACATCAAAGCTCCGGACACTCTCAGGGCTCTGGACACTCCAAGGACTCAGGCCACACCAAGGGCTCTGGACACACCTAGGGCTCTGGCTACACCCAGGGCTCTGCACACACCCAGGGCTCTGGACACACTCAGGGCTCTGGACACACCTAAGGCTCTGGCCGCACCGAGGGCTCTGGACACACCCAGGGCCCTGGTTACACCCAGGGCTCTGCACACACGCAGGGCTCTGGACACACTCAGGGCTCTGGACACACCTAGGGCTCTGGCCACACTCAGGGCTCTGGACACACCCAGGGCTCTGACTACACCCAGGGCTCTGACTACACCCAGGGCTCTGCACACACCCAGGGCTCTGGCCACACCGAGGGCTCTGGACATACCCAGGGCTCTGGCTACACCCAGGGCTCTGCACACACCCAGGGCTCTGGCCACACCGAGGGCTTTGGAAACACCCAGGGCTCTGGACACACCCAGGGCTCTGGACACACCCAGGGCTCTTGACACACCCAGGACCCTGGACACACCCAGGACTCTGGCTACAACGAGGGCTCTGGACACACCCAGAGCTCTGGACACACCCAGGGCTCTGGACACACCCAGGGCTCTGGCTACACCGAGGGCTCTGCACACACCCAGAGCTCTGGACACACCCAGGGCTCTGGACACACCCAGGGCTCTGGACACACCAAGGGTTCTGGCCACACCGAGGGCTCTAGGATGATCGATAATTAGAGGGCTCATATTTATTACATGCATGATATGGCGTATTAAGTTTCTTTGCAAACTATTGTTTCTGCAGATTTTAACGTTCATATAGGAGTGTGCCCCCAGTGACGAAGCCAGAGGGGGGCTCAGCGCCCAGACACCCCTATCAAAATTCTTGCCCCCAAAATGCTTTGTTTTAGATATATTATATTGTTTAAATGACAGTTATGGCTCCCTTCCCTTTTGACTGCCCTTCCCCCCAACAGAAAATTCTTGCCACCCCACTGGAGCACCCCTCCTTCAGCACAGGCAATACCACTGTATATATACATAGTACATTACAGCAAGCTGCAGAGATTTTCTTAAAGTAGAACCTGTTCTTTTTTGTGTAGCTTGAAGATGTCATACACGTAGTTGCTTTGCCTGCGAACAGGTTTACATCGAGTGCCCAAATATTGAATCATTACCGTCATTCATTTCTTTAGAGAAATTTATGGAAACAAGAATATAAACGTGGCGTGAATATAAATGCTACGGTATGCGACGTTTCCTATACCGAACGAGTAGTAGTTTTATTAACGCCGGCACAAACAAAAATATCCAACAAACCTTTGATCAAAGCGTGAAATGATGTTTTGCCAAGTGATATCATTAATATCCCTGTGTTTTTATCTCTGTTTTAACTGAGTTGCAAGTCCCTTAATGATCTGTGTATTTCAACGACCTATGCATTTTAATTAGACTTAATTTTAATTGAGGAATGCGTCGAAAAAGTATGTTGATTGTTTAGCTCGACTGGAGACTAACTGCATAACGACGCAATAAAACTCTGTTTTCTTTCTGTGGTGTTTAATGAACAGTAAAAGCGATATTATGTAAGTTGAAATTTTATGTATATGAATGTGCTCAGTTGGAGCTAGTTGCTTTTAAAAATGTGATTAGACCCTCCCCTTCAAGCTCATCCCTGCGCTAGTCAATACAAGCAGCTCTTTTTTGTATTCAAACTTTATTTTACAATATTATAGATTACGACTTTCGAATGAATAGAAATGTTAACAATTACGTTGATTTTAAAATATTTTGGTATTTAAATATACTGTAGAAAAGGTTGTTGTAGTTTGTTTTCATTTACCCTATACATCCGCCAGTGTGTGTTGAGAAGCATTCACGATTTTGATTCATCAATGTCAGCGAATCGCTACAATGACCGAAAATTACAAAAGAAAAAGTGCAATCATTTCTTAAGCTAGGAATTAGAACAATTTTAAAAAGTTTCCTTGAAAAAATATGTGATTTTTCCCAACTTTGTACATAGAACTTGTTTCCGATTCTCTTGCATATAATCTTATTGTAGTTTCCCCGTAAAGTGAAGGGCTATCCTGTAATTCATCATTTTTATCACTTAGTTTTATCTCAAAGTGTTCTGCTAAAAAAATTTACTTTTATACAGTTGTCACAATAACGGCGAATGCGTGGATACGAAACATTCTGGTTGCATTTCTCTCTCATCTGAGCGTCCTCTATTTAGGTATTCAATTATTGAGAACAACTGTTCATCTGCAATGAGGTTAGTTCAAATAAAACTTTTTAAAGAATTCCTTGCGTGTAGATTAGTCTTTCAAAATTGCAGCTGCCTGCGATTTTAAATTTACAGTGACCGCAAAAACTACTCCGCGTTTGCACTCAATTCTAAACCAAAAAATTTGTATTATAAAAGATAAAAAGGTTGCGCCTACGCAACGTCTTTATGCGCGAGGGATTGTAGTATGTATTGATTTAAAAGTTTCGTCGAGTTGCTTCATCTCCGATTCAAAATATCAAGTTATATACTAGTTATATTTTTTATCGTCATTGCATTTAACTGCTAAACTTTTCGTGATTTACAAGCATGTCAATCGTTTACCTCGTAGACATTAAACGAATCGTGAATTAAACCGACTTCTTTCTTTATTGAATGCTGAAATACGCATTGTAAATATTGAAGATGTTGTCAGTGATAAGAGACGACGCCGCGAACGAGGGTTAATGCAAAACATTCGATGTCTAACGCTTGTGTTTACTTAATAAATTTGTAGCGAGAGTTCTCTTAATTTTTTTTAATGCATTAAGTATTTAAAAAAAAAACTCAAAACATCTCAAACCGATGCTTGTTTCAAAATTTATGAAGCAACCCACCTCGTTAGAGCTAGGTTTTTTTTTCATTTTCGATTAACGAAGGATTAGAAATCGACGATTCAACGCATTCCTATACAAACTAACGTTGCACTTGTCGCATTCATCATTGAAAGCATCGCTATTCAAATCGCTTTGTTTTCGTTGCATATGTTCAACTATAAAAATAAGATATAATCATTTATTCATTGCTGTCATTGTCCTCACGGGAACATCTACATTTAAGTAGCTAGAGAGCTTTGATAAACACACACAATTTTTTATCGTCGAGCGACTTTCTGTGCCCTTTTGCGGTTTTTCGCAACTGTATCGCGAGAGGGAGCCCATCGCGCGCCTGCTGTAAATGGCGCCAGCCAAAACACAATTTCATTGTCTGTTTACGTTAAAATAAAACGCGGCCAGACGCACGGACGAAAAAACATCATTTTGCGGTATCTTGATTGTAAATAACGCCATATTTGTGACCGACTTTCTTTGCAAACATCGCCCTTTAACCAAACAAAACGCCAACAAGCAAAGAATCGAAACGCCTTTCAACTGCCTAAGTGGTCTCGTTTTTTTCCGAATCCAATGTCCAATGAGACTAATTGTGAATAATTTTTCAAAATGAATTCCAATTTGTAATGTTATCTCGCATCTTTGACATTATAAACTACTTTAGTCTCAAATCTACCGGCCTCAGCCTTCGGCTCGCTATTACATGTCTATTTTATGGCAAATTATGATAGCTAAAGCAAGCGTTGACACGAATTTCGCCTTTTATGTCTGTTGTCACAGAAAGTATACGATAAGCGTTGGTTTCGGAAAATGTACATTAATAACCTCCGTTTTATTCAATTTTCTTTGTAATAAAATGGATAAGGGGATCATTACAGTACTTCGTTCGATTTTTTGACCTATAGTTACTTTTTCCAAGGTACTTTTTAAAAGCGTTTCCACAGATATCTTTGCACGATCACATTCAAACAGTATAACTCGCAAAAACCCCCCATTTCCTTCTCATCACATTCTGCGATATATTACATTTGACAAGAACACGAAATACGGACCCCCTCCCCACTGGGGTAAGGCAATAATCAAATTTAAATGCGCAAATTTGCGTGCATGTTGCCATGCGTCTTATCAAAGCAATCTTCTTGAAAAAGGCTTCTGCCAACAACACAAGTTCAATTATACATCTGGTTTGTATCTTGTTTATGATTCTTCGAGATTATCATCGACTATCTTTTACAAAATCAAACGTTTCAATTTACTTTTCCTGTTTACATTGATTGAAGCGTAAGAAAATCACCCCGAATTGCGAAAAAACTGAAGAATTCAACTCCTTTTTCCAGTTGAATTCGTTCACAGATATCGACGTCGACGAACATTTCGTTGTCATCAATAGAGACGTTTCCATTAAGGCTACAGTATTGTTAATCGAAGTGGAAATTCATTTTTTTCTTATCTATGGTTATGCACGTCAATCTAATTAGGAAATATCTGGCCATCTTCGACATTTCTCGTCTCAGTATAAAGCCTTTGGTATCATATAAAAATTCACTTGACAGTTAATTTCACAGCTTATTCGGTGTTGTGGGGCTTATTGGACAATTACGTTTGTTGGAGGACACACCGGTCGTACGTCGACGTCAGAATAAACTACATTTCTTCCCCTTACTTATTTCTTCGTTTCTTGATATCGCGGAATGTTAACCAGCTGTGAGTGAAGTATGGAAAGGAAGGTTTTTCTTTAATTTAATCAAGAAAAGACGACGCGGAGTTTTACTGGTGAGTAAAAGCTATAGTAAGGTTTCGAACACGCATCGTGTAGTGACGAAGCCGTTCTGTTGGCATTGAGAAAGGCTTTTTATTGAGCAAACTACGTCATTCGTGACTGTTGAAACAGGATCCATTTCACTCAAAGATTTTATAATCCATGAAAAGTATACTAGCGTAATACAAACAGCATAGTACATATAAAAATTGATGTTTGAATCATACATTGTGTATAATTGCTTGTCAAATAACACACTTTGCCGAATGACCGTTGGGAACAACAGTCGGGAGGGCAGGCTACGTGCCTACTTCGAGCTGTCACTTTCAAAATTACTCCTATTTACTCTACAGTTGATAAAATTTCCTTCTATGCTTTGATTTAAACACCTTTCGACTAATTTAGATTAAAAAAACAAGCCTTCGTTTTTTCCTCATTTTCGTAAACTTGATTTGTTTTAATAATTCGATAATCGTTTTTAGATGCGGTTGTTATTCGATACATTTGCATAATTTGCGTCAGTGCGCGCTACGAAGGTGCGAAAACAGTCTGTTATTGTTGTTTTGATTGATTGCAATATATTTGCTCTTACAAAGGAGGATATTTAGCGGATCAATGTGTCTGCACATGGAAGATTTTCAAGTGCGAAGGCATTTAATCATTTTTTTTCATAGAAGTTTTAGCTCTAAGCTTCTTACTGCCGCTAGACGGTTAGACAGATCAGCAGAGAAACAGATCAGTGAACGGATTTACGTAAAGGACACCCATTTTGTTGATTTGTTTTCACAGCTCTGATGAGGACGGAGAATTTAGATAGATTTTTATTCCCATATTAATAAACAGTTGATGTGGGGCAATATTGAAGCAGGCTTAGTATATCTAACCAAAAAAGGGTTCATTCAAATTGCTTTTAAAGCGGTGAAAAACTAGCCTTGATTGAGTGGGCGTTACAGTAAATTTTGCGCTTATTTTCTTTGTCGTTAGTTGCAAAATTCGTGGAAAGTTCAAATGCTCTACGAGAAGTTCATCTACCATCTAATCAAAACACCAAAGATTGTGATGAACAGCTTCTGAGAAAATTAGGCAGAAAAGAAATTTGAAATTTAAATGTAGCGCACATAGTGAAATTTTATGAACACGAGATCCTACGAAATAATTCTTTAATGATGCTTTCAAAGCTCATTGAAGTCGCTGCTATAATTATTTCGCGCGTTAGGATAATCTTGGCCAACTGCGGGCTCAAGTAAACATTTCCTAAAACATATCTTGATAACTTAATGTCACATTACTTTGTGTTGTTTGGTTTTGTTGCGTTTGTATCTCGGACGTACGAGTCTTCAATCCTTTTTCAAATGTTGTATTTTTTTTTTCACGTACCCATTGACTACACAACATAATCATGCAGCCAGCATTTATCTTTATCTCTTCTGTCTGATCCACGGCGTCAGTACACGAAAAGCCGATTGTCGTGTTGCTAAAAACAGCCCGCATTATTTCACTTAAAATTTAGCTAATTTTATACACTTTCCGAGCGTAAAAACGCTGTTGCCAGAACGCATGGTGGTCTGTGCGTGTCAAAGAGCCAAGAGACGTCATCTGCTTTTTTAAAATTTAATTTGCACTATTTAGTGTCATTCTTTAAATTTTTATACACTGCGTGCGATCTGGCTTGACATTTTTATATTGTAAAAGGATCAATAAATAGATTCTCGCGATATGAAGTATGAGAAAAATTTAATTTACTCCGGTACACACGCAGCTGTGAACCACTGGGAAGAAGTAACCTTGTTCGAGGGTTCGGTAGAAGACGTTTATTTTCTGCATAAAATTGAAGTCTGTGGCAAAAGATAGTGAGAAATGTCTTGTCACTGAAAAACGTCTTGGTCATTTTCTATTTTCGCACAGATGGTGTTAAAATAGTTTCATAATTTAATATTTAAAATGTTTGCAACCATAACACGATACAATGGGTCCTATTAGGTCAAGGAAAATGGCCAGTCGATGGCCTTAAAACATAGGTATAGCTTAGGTTACGGAAAAAATTTCTCAGATGACTGGGAATATAGACAATACAAACAAGAAATCATCATAAAACGGGAATATCTTAGGACAAAGAGAACATGAATATTTTATGAAAAAGAGAACATGAATATCTTAGGAAAAGAGAACATGAATATCTTAGGAAACAGAGAACATGAATATCTTTGGAAACAGTGAACATGAATACCTTAGGAAACAGAACATGAATATCTTAGGAAACAGAGAACATGAATATCTTTGCAAACAGAGAACGTGAATATCTTATGAAACAGAGAACATGAATATCTTTGGAAACAGTGAACATGAATACCTTAGGAAACAGAACATGAATATCTTAGGAAACAGAGAACATGAATATCTTAGGAAACAGAGAACATGAATATCTTTGGAAACAGTGAACATGAATACCTTAGGAAACAGAACATGAATATCTTAGGAAACAGAGAACATGAATATCTTAGGAAACAGAGAACATGAATATCTTAGGAAACAGAGAACATGAATATCTTATAGGAAACAGAGAACATGAATATCTTAGGAAACAGAGAACATGAATATCTTAGGACACAGAGAACATGAATATCTTAGGAAACAGAGAACATGAATATCTTAGGACACAGAGAACATGAATATCTTAGGAAACAGAGAACATGAATATCTTAGGAAACAGAGAACATGAATATCTTAGAAAACAGAGAACATAAATATCTTAGGAACAGAGAACATGAATATCTTAGGAAACAGAACATGAATACCTTAGGAAACAGAGAACATGAATATCTTATGAAAAAGAGATATGAGTATCCTACGAAAAAGAGAACATAAATGTCTTAGGAAACAAAGACATGAATTTTACAGAGAACATGAATATCTTTGAAAACAGAGAACATGAGTACCTTGAGATAAAAATACAAAAATTATTAATTTTATTTTCTGATTCCCACGCAATATTACCATATCTCTTGATGTCATTTGCATACGTTACGACTGCGCTACAATAAACTCCTCGCGTACGTTACAAACAATAACTGCGTCGGATCCCATATAAATCTTACACGATGACAAGGCCCGGTGCGGTAACGTTTGCTTGCTATTATTGCATATCTGAATTACGTTCAGATGCGTGCTGTGTTTGATTAACTGCCGATCCATACACACACTTCATCTGCTTTCGACTACAATTGTCATGTCGTTCTGTTGTCAAAACCTCTGACAAGACAGGTTTGTTTCACTCTTAAATTTATACCATGTTACATTTATGTAAGTTTTATAAAGCCCGAGAGCCTTGCAAGGACAAAGGTTTCTTTCAAGCGGCAATTGTCGGTAGAATTATTCTACCGCATGATGTAAATCTTAAGTCATTTAAAGAAAGCATTGATGTACATAATATCAAGAATTGATGTATATAATATCAAGAATTTTGTTTGTTTAATATGTTGTTTGTCAAAAGACGATCTCATGATGTTTGTTTCTAAAGCTGATCTGGTATAACGCCTTCTCTTTGAGCGCGCACGAAGATCTAAAAATAACAATATAATTGAAAGATATGCGTCTCATATCGCTCAAAAATAGATATTTAGTTATCTCCACATACTGAGCGTTAAAAACCGACAGCTTGATGTATGCATTATTGGAACAGAAATGCATATTAAGTTTTAGAACTTAATTCAGTTAAAAGAGAAGAAAAAAGCCAATCACTTTTGCCTCAGTTGTATAATGGATGTGCTGGATCAATCTCATATTGCGAAATTCACACCAGCGTGAAACCAATTATACGTTAAAAATGGAAGTTTGTCGTTATAAAGTTCCTTCAGCTTTTTCTTACAGCGTTTCGTATTTGTTTGCAAGGCCTCACAATGGTTCATCAACGCCAGTCTCTTGCTTGCGACAAACTAACAAACTGATTGATCATTTTTGGTGCTAATGATTACGAGTTTTTAATCAACGCCAACCAATCCTTCGTCTATAGGAGCAGCTAGACGTTGACAAAAATGTTAAAAATTGCTATCTCAAAGCGTTCTTTCTAATATTTACACGTTTTTCATTATCCATCACAAATGCAATCTGGAATTACGATCAAAGACTCTTTGAAATTAAGGAATTCTTTTCTGTTGTGTCAAAGGTGCAAACGTCATCGCATTTGAAAACAAACTTTGGAAAAGAGGACTTTTCTTGGTAAATATGATATCTTATGTCTCCTTTGACAAAATAAGTTATATATATGCAAACCGTAGGGCAAGTAATTACAGCATCATCAAGGATAATTAAGTTACAAACTCCACGTTCAAAACAGATAAACTGACAGAACAGAGACGCCGACAAATTACATTTGATTGTATAAGATTTTCCCTGCATGCGATATTAAAACGAGTCAAACAACGTGAGTTTGACTACTGTCCACGAAACTCTAATCGTAGATGTTCCAGAATCATCAGTCTTTTTAGCATTCTGTTATCGTTGATTTGCTTTCATATTGGCACAGCGTGTTGTATACAAGATTGGGGTTAGTGACTTTAATTTGGTAATCACCAATTGGTTTGTATAATGCAATGCAATCTTCAGGCTTTTTCTATTAAATTTTTTGTGGGAGGGAGAGCTATACGCGAGAGATATGAACAATTTAATAGAAGAATTAAACGTCAAGATAACATAAAGGGAGATCAGAACGCTGGGCCGTTAGACACACGTTTGTAGAACTTTCTGCTTCTCTTAGTTGCTTTGTTTACAAGCAAATTAACCCCCTTGTGCGATGCTCACAACTGCCCTTGTTACAAATATGCCTTTATTTGTCATGTTGATTAAGTGATAAAGATAGTTGGAGGCTTATTATCGGATTGCTTTGATCGGATTGCTTTGAGTTTTTGTGTTCTATCAATCTTGATAAGCGAAGAAAGGTAAATTGTCGCGTCAAAAGTTGTACCCACATTTTTAGTTGAAAAAGATCCTGAGATGTTTGTTCCAGATGACAGTATTGGGTCCAGTGTTTTGGAAAAATAAATGATACTTAGCTGTAATTTTTGATTACATATATTCTTATAAAAATTCTACTGGACGCGAATGTCCAAAGAATAAAACTTTTATACGTCGATGGGCTGTAGCTAATTCATTATGCCTAACTCTGGATGCACCCTAGAGAGCAACTTTACTCGTTCCCTATTCAAGTTCTTTTTTTCCTTTTGAAAATTGAACAGTGAAATTACCTTCGAGTTTCAATATTTTATGACTTCTGTATCTGGCTTGTCTGAACTTCATCTAAACGTATGAAACATCTTGTTTTTCTATTAAAAAAACTCGAATTTTTACTTTATGTTCAACATGAGCGAATTGTTCGTGTAGCTCGTATCAAAACATCCCTAAAAACGTTTTTAAAAACATTATCATACTAAATTTTTGCTTTTTCAAAATGCTTTGACATAATCAAGTCATACAATTGACATTTTCAACTGTGCATAACTGAACACTTATTTAACGACGTCCATACAATGTTGTTATATGGTCCATTCTGGTTTTCATCCTATTTTGTCTGAAAACCGTCTCATATTTTTCAGCGAGCACAGCTGTCACTGTGTTGTGAACAAAATTGGCTTCTTCTAAAAAAAGAAGCAAGCGTTGTTTGAATTACGTCGTAGGAAAGGCTAATATAGAAAGCAACCTTTTTAAATATTTTGATTATGAAGAAGATTTCAAAGTGTAAAAGCAAAAGTTTATTGCAATAGTGCGCTAGGTTTTCTCTGACATTACAACATGCAGAACTTGCGTTTCGTATAGTTTTAATTATAACTATACAGATGTTTTTCTGCCTCAAGTGTTCATCACAATATTTACGTTAAAAAAATATTCGCCACACATGTTTAGTATTGAGTTTCATGTTTATTTTACAGCGACATCTCTTGTTTCTAACAACTGGCTTGTAATTTGTAAAAATGTTCAAATGATTACACTTGTACAATCATTATTATTTTTCATTTTTGAAACTGACAATTAATTTCTAGCGATTCCAAATGGCGACTTTGAAAATTGCACAAGTATACTCACGTGTCAATACGTCAAGTATTATGCAAACACACTTTTATATGTGTTGTGTTGCGTTTTATTGGATATTACTAAAAGCTCTTGCCCCTTTAAGAATTATTTTGGTGTGAAAAGCTCAATATTGTCTGGTCTGATTCCTTCTTTAGCTTGAAAAAGGAAAGTGGTTTGTTGGGGATAAGCTTGAGATTCTACACTGTTACCTTATTATTTCGTGGGCAAATGATTAATGCTTTTGATTGTCTGATTACGTTGTGTCTCCGACAAACACATGAGCTTATTTGCGAATGTGCTATGGCAACGGATCCTTAATGAATTTATTGTATATAATTTGAATGTGAGGCAGGTGGCGCGCGATCAGTAAAACAAGATCTTTTTTCATTGTGTTGTACGTCTTGACTTGCCACTCCGGTTTGATGAACTTTGGAGTAAACTTCTGTCCCGAAAACGACCGTCTGGAAATAACAGTTTGCCATACCTAGATACTCAGAATCATAGATTCCACAAAATCTCTTTCAAAAAGTTTGCTCTAAAAATTACTTTCGATCTTTATCAATTCACAAACTTTCTTGTAGTCGGAGTCTACTGGCATTCACGAAATGATCGCGTAAGAAGTTTGTCTTCTCTGAAGTGAAAAACGTTGTCAAATCCTTGGATTCTTCAAGTAAGTATTTAGTCGCGAAAATGGGTTTAATTATAACTGTATTCATTCGTACAGTAAATATCAATATCATATATGTTGTTCTTAAACATTATACTGTAACTTTTTCGATGTTTTGTTTTGTGTAAATTCAGTTGATTAGTGTGTTTCTCATGGATATTTAATGGATAGTTTTATTGCACATCAGTCCGATATATATACTCGATTTATTCAGAAGGTGTGAACTGCGAAAGGTTGTAACGACGCCAGCAGGCTGCGTGAATAAAAGTATTTTCTAAGCACTTTTTGAAGGATTTGAATTTTTAGATTATAATGTCTGATCCGAAGCTTTCTTTTAAAAGTCATTTTCCTAAAGTGTGTGTATAATAACACTGGACCGAACCAAATGCAATACCCGACGTTTAAGAACAGGAACAAGGATCATCGTCATGAAAAAAAAACAAATTAGTGTTCAGCTATATCCTTCAGGTGGCAGTTAGGAAAAAAAACACATTTTTGTAATCACAGATATCTCCTTGTATGAATTCACTATCAGGTATTGATTGCGAAGCAACATATTAATTTTTATCATTCTGCAGGCAGTAATGAAAAAAACCAAATAAAAAAACGACATTCAAATCAAACTCACTTCGAAGCAGTTTTTTTACTAAAACATAAAACTTTTGCATCATTAAATGTTGTACGAGTTCTTCTGGCGTTTCGCATGTATATGCAATTTTTGTACAACGTTTTTCGCGAACAAGGAGCCATCCACAAATATCGACTTGTATCAAATGCCGAACATAAATTCATTCGCAAACGCTTTGAACTTTAATTTAATATGTGCCAGCGAAAATATTTCGATTTATGACAGGTAAAAAGTAATCAAATTCTAGTTGTTGCTTTTTTAATTATCTCATCACTTGAAAAGAATTAAACAGTCCACAATGTTTTCAAGTTAAAGAATGTACAATAGTTGATTTGATATTTCACCCATATCCCTAGCAAAGGTTATCTGTATGCGAAGGTGGTTGGTAGAGGGGGGGGGTGGAGGGGTAGGGAGAAGTAAGCGTTTAATAAGTAGTCGTTGACGAAAATACTTTTGTGTGCGGGAAATGAAGAAAAGTGTCGTGCTTTAAAATTGCGAGCCGAAATTTTCTCCGATGTAAATTTTTTTCTATTCATTGCAAAAGAACAATTATTGTAAACTAGCTTTAACACTTTCCTCCAATTGATGAAGTTGTCACTTTGTCAAATTAAACCAAAAGCGTCAATGGTTATTTCTCACTGAATTTTAAATGTACTTTTTCGCGGCGTCTTGTTGTATTTATTTTCTTCATTTCCCAGGTTGATCTCTGCACTCTCAAATATACATGTTTTCTGGTTTTTCTCCAAAAGTAATCAAATGTTCTTTGTTTCATAAAGCATTAATGTTCTCTGTTTCCTAAGGTATTCATGTTCTCTTTTTCCTAAGATATTCATGTTCTCTGTTTCCTAAGATATTCATGTTCTCTCTTTCCTAAGATATTCATGTTCTCTGTTTCCTAAGATATTCATGTTCTCTGTTTCCTAAGATATTCATGTTCTCTGTTTCCTAAGATATTCATGTTCTCTTTTTCCTAAGATATTCATGTTCTCTGTTTCCTAAGATATTCATGTTCTCTGTTTCCTAAGATATTCATGTTCTCTGTTTCCTATAAGGTATTCATGTTCTCTGTTTCCTAAGATATTCATGTTCTCTGTTTCCTAAGATATTCATGTTCTCTGTTTCCTAAGATATTCATGTTCTGTTTCCTAAGATATTCATGTTCTCTGTTTCCTAAGATATTCATGTTCTCTGTGTCCTAAGGTATTCATGTTCTCTGTTTCCTAAGGTATTCATGTTCTCTGTTTCCTAAGATATTCATGTTCTCTGTTTCCTAAGATATTCATGTTCTCTGTTTCCTAAGACATTCATGTTCTCTTTCTTTTAGAATTTCAATTTAAAAAGAAAATTCAACTGAGCTGCGAAAAAATGACACTTTCCAATGAAACCAATGTCAACCTTCCTGAAGTAATCTTAAAGTCGGTGTTCATCTCAATAGTCATGGGAATGACGATTCTAGGCAACACGCTTGTCATCGCTTGCGTATGCTACTTTCCACGTTTGCATGGCCGCACTAACTACTTAATTGTCTCCTTGGCTGTTGCTGATTGGCTGGTTGGTACCACCTCCCTGCCAATGAGGTTAGCGCAGACGGCCAACAATGACACGTGGCCCTTTGCTCACGGCGTTTGTCGGTTTTGGATCTGGATGGATATGCTTTGCTCGGCTGCTTCTATCTTTAATTTAACAGCGATCTCTGTTGACCGACTTGTTGCGGTTGTTGACCCCTTGAAGTATGAAGAGCGCATGCGTCAACGTCATGTCAAGGTCATGATTGCAGGCACATGGCTGTTCGCCCTAATATGCGCCAGCTTGAGTCTTGCGGACTGGTCCGTTATAGACTCCAAACGAAGAGTGCGCAATTTTCGCAAAGGAGTATATAACATTTGTGAGTGTTGTGTGTTTTTCCTTCCTCTGTTGATCGTCCTTGTAAACTATGGTGTTATATTCCGAATCGCCATGAAACATGCTCATAAGCTGGACTTAGAAATCCGTTCGTTGGCCACCAACTACAACGCTGAGTCGCGATTGGATGGCAATCACAACGCAGATGATCTTGCATCGAAGCCTCCAAAAAGCATATTACATCGATGTGCGATCCTTCTGCGCAAATCGCCTCGAAAACATCGTCAACGAACAGCGCGGTTCTCGCTTGTAAAGCAATTGAAGGCAACAAAAACGCTGGCCGTCGTTATTGGAGTCTTTTGTGTTTGCTGGTTACCTTTTTTTGTTATTTTTTTGACTTTTCAACATTGTGGCGATGAATGCTTCAAGCCTCCCCGTCTTAGTCATTCTGCTAGAACTGTTCTCCTTGCCATTTTTCTGTATATTTTACCGGTTGTCAATAGCGCCGCGAACCCTGTCATCTACACTTGCTTTAACACGGAATTTCGCAGAGCTTTCAAGCGTGTGTTGTACACTTTCTTAAGAAAAAAAGGCAAAGATGATATTGACCAATCATCATCGTTTACTGCCGTACCAACCTCCCCTCAAACAGGCCACGAATGAAGATAGTGCAACTATGTGGAATTTGAGGGACACATTTGGAATTAAGAGGTTGGTGGTGATGATGATGGTACTTTGATCATTGATGTGTGATAATGGTGGATTGAGGTTAGGTCAGAATAAGTTAAAATAATTATTTTAAATTCATAATACTCCAACAACTAAGCGGTTTCTTAGAATTTTTAATGAACCTTTTAGGGCGAAATACGAACATCAAGATTGTTCGTAAAGTATTTTGAATTTGAAAATTATTTATTGTAGATAGAATTGTGTAGAATAGTACATAAAATTTTGTGATTTACTCCTCGTCCATTGATTATAAACCTGACTCTCAAAAAGTAGCAAGTGAACGAAGATTTCATTTTACCATATGGACAAAGTTCTGCATTATTCTATGTAAATACGTTAATTTATGAGTGAAGATGTTTCTGCCTGTTGTTAGTGTGTACTTGATGTTCCCTGTATTAATCAACAAATATTCCGCCTCTTGAATTTTCTAACTTTTTATTCAACTAACTGTTGAAACTTGAACGAGTAGATTTGTCATTGTTATGAGTGTGTATCTAAGGTACTTTTCTGTCATAAGCTTGGTGAACATGAAGATGTTGAGGGCCTTTATCGACCTGAAAGTTTGGGGATCTATATTTACATTATTCTTTAGTGTTTTCCTGTTTGCTAGCAGAGGAAACATACTTTAATAAAATCTTATTCTCAGTCGTAAATAACGAGAAATTCAGTCCCTTCTTCGGGGATCTTTTCAACTAAAAGTTCCTTTGAAATAGAAAATGACTGGTTTGCGAGAACATAAATGGACTGGGGCCATTCTACACTAGCGCAGATCCATGCCTTTTCTTATACGATAAAAAGTGCGTTAAATCGGCCAATCAAAATGTTCCTAGCCGAGTTGACAATATACAGTTTAGTCTGCTGTATTTTTCTCCAGCGGTACCTCAATGTTACCGAGGCCTTGCTTACTTCATTTAATACAAACGAGGTTTATGACGGCAAAAGAATATTTTGCAAGTAGACCTTTGAGTGTTTTAGACTGGTTGCATTCTTTTCTTTAATGTAGCATAACTTCTGTTATCCAAAGCATTACGATTTTGTTTTACAAAGATGGCTGAGGAATTTTTTAATTATCCGAGAAATATTTAGTTTTTAAACTGTGAAAGATGTTGTCTTTTGATGAAAAATACAACATATATAGAATCTTCATGCTTTTTTTTTAATATCAAAGTGTTATAAACCCGGGTGTACGGTGCAAATCCTTATATTTAGACGATTGGTTGAACAAACTGGACCTTCGGACCATTTCCTTTCCCTCCCCCCTGATAGAAAGTGCTAACCTCTCCCCCCTGTTGAAGCTTCCCGCCACATGCAGGCGAAGTAAAATGTCTCAATAATAATGTCCGTCTTGTCTTTTACTGTAAATGAGCTCACGACGTAAATTTGGCTAAGCCATGTCTTCCTCAAAGATTTCCTTGGATAAGGAGGCGTTTTTTCGCCGTGCCAAACGAATATACGCCGCTTGGAAGGTATGTGCTTGTTTAATTCGGCTGAATCAGTCCGACTTGTATCGGTCTTTTACGTGTTTTTTTTGTAAAATTGTTTGAGGATGTTTATGCCTTTGTTGTTGAACATGAAATTCTTAAGGCTTCATCGTCGGAGAACGGTACGTCATTGAAGGAAGTTGATTCAATCGTCGTCGCAGTTGGAAACGATGAAGATATATTATACAGCAAGTCAACAGCTCTACATGTGAGTATGTGACACTGAGGTTGAAAACCGCTTCCAGTGATAAGCATTGCCTTATGCTACTTGGAGTCTGTTGTGTTTTATGCTTTGAACATTGTGAAGAAATTTTCAAATCATTCCTTTGTATAGGCTCCTAGATTTGTTTTGTATCTTATTGTGGCTTGAATAGTCAACTATATGTCTTTTGTGTATTGTTTGAAATAGATGTCTATGCAGACTGATTTCGCCTCATGTTCACAAATGAGTGCATTGAAAAGCTGTAACTGAACAACTGTCTGAGGTTGAAACATGATTTCTTATGTACTTCAGTCTAATGTCTTCATCAATAGTGATCTCATGCTCAAACTTGAGTTCTTATATACTCCAGTCTAATGTCTTCATCTGGAGTGATTTGATGTTGAAACTTGAGTCCTTATATATTCTAGTCTAATGTCTTTATCAGGAGTGATCTGATGTTGAAACTTGAGTTCTTATATACTGCAGTCTAGTGTCTTCATCAGGAGTGATTTGATGTTGAAACTTGAGTCCTTATATGCTCCAGTCTAGTGTCTTTATCAGAAGTGATCTGATGTTGAAACTTGAGTCCTTATACACTCCAGTCTAATGTCTTCATCTGGAGTGATCTGATGTTGAAACTTGAGTCCTTATATACTCCAGTCTATTGTCTTCATCAGGAGTGATCTGATGTTGAAACTTGAGTCCTTATATACTCCAGTCTATTGTCTTCATCAGGAATGATCTGATGTTGAATCTTGAGTTCTTATATACTCCCGTCTAATGTCTTCATCAGAAGTGATCTAATGTTGAATCTTGCATCCTTATATACTCCAGTCTAGTGTCTTCATCTGGAGTGATTTTCACGATTAATTTCATGTCTAAACCTCTTGCTAATCTTTCATTTTATTTTCACAGCAATGGCTTCTGGGTTATGAACTCAGCGACACTCTCATGGTGTTTGCTGATAATTCGATAAATATTCTTGCAAGCAAAAAGAAGATAGACTTCCTCAAACCTTTGGTTGAGGCGAGAAAAAAGCATGAAGGTTTTCCTGAGATAAATCTCAATTTGAGAGATAAGGTAAAAGTATTTTCACATTTATAACTTGACGCATAAAGTTAAAAATCAACATATGTGCTCATTGGGTGGTGGGGGAGGGTTAAAATTCCAGCTTTTGTACAAAAGTTTTTCCAGTTAAAATTGTGCGCTTTAACATCAAAAAAATTACTCTATCCTAGTAACTCCCAGAATCCCGACCCCCAGTGTTTTTTTTGGATAGACTCCCTTGCAAATATTGGCATGATAGTTTGATTTACTGGCTGGATACTACAATGTGTTCAGGTTTATATAGCTAATGACTTGATATTTGAAATATCATCATAGTCTACAGTTGACATTTTAGTTTAGTTAGTTGAACATTGAAGACATTGATTATCTTGTTACTATACCTGAGTACATCACAACAAGGTGATGTTATTATCTATGATATAAACATATGAAACAAACTAGAACTGTATTTTAAAATATCATTATAGTCCACAGTTGATCTTGTAGTTCAGTTGTAGTTCAGCTGGTAGAACAGTGGAGACAATGATTATCTTGTTACTATACCTGAGTACATCACAACAAGGTGATGTTATTATCTATGATATAAACATATGAAACAAACTAGAACTGTATTTTAAAATATCATTACAGTCCACAGTTGATCTTGTAGTTCAGTTGTAGTTCATCTGGTAGAACAGTGGAGACAATGATTATCTTGTTACCATACCTGAGTACATCACAACAACGTGATGTTATTAACTACGTATGATATTAAGTATGAAAGAAACTAGAGCTATCTTTTGAAACATCATCATATTCTACAGTTGATCTTGTAGTTCAGTTTGTAGAACATTGAAGACAATGATTATCTTGTTACTATACCTGAGTACATCACAACAACGTGATGTTATTATCTATGATATTAAGATATGAAAGAAACTAGAACTGTGTTTTAAAATGTCATCATAGTCTACAGTTGATCTTGTAGTTTAGTTGGTAGAACATCGAAGGCAATGTTTATCTTGTTACTGTACCTGAGTACATCACAACAACGTAATGTTATTATCTATGATATTAAGACATGAAAGAAACTAGAACTGCGTTTTAAAATATCATCATAGTCTACAGTTGATCTTGTAGTTTAGTTTGTAGAACATTGGAGACTATGATTATCTTATCCATGACAATATATACCTGTGTATATATCAATATAACAATTTATAAACTGCGTATTAAGATGTTGCCACACGACCCACATCACGTTTAGATAAATTCTAAGCATCTTCAACATATTCAACACCATATATTTTTAGTCTGACAAAGATAAGACTAACATTGAAAAACTCATCAAGATCATGAAAGAAAGTAAAAAGGTGAGACGAAAGCTGCGTAAATAAGTACACTTTTATGAACAGTCAACGCGATACTAAGGAACGTTTATTTTTCTCAGGGCAAAAATATTGGCGTGTTCGTGAAAGATAATTTTCACGGTGACTTTATGGATTCCTGGAATGAAGCATTGAAAAAACTGCCTTTTGAAAAGGTAAATACTGTATTTTTAATGATCAGTGACCTTGTCGGCTGTTTCTGACGTAGCATTACGTCAAGGTCGGTAGCCGTCGGAAGTTGTCGACTTGTGCATTATTTCCCTTCCCATTGGTACAGTCATAACATTTGTTTTTATCTCAAATTGTCAATTTAAGGCCCGTTTCAAACGTCGAACTTTACATGTGTCCAATGCGTTAAAAGCAAAAGAAAATAAGATGAAATTCCTCATTATCTTTTGTTTCAAACGCATTCACATTTCAAGTTCAACTTTCGAAACAGGCCTTAGGACATGGAATTTGTGTGAATGAAAAAGTGTTGAATTTAACGTAAGTTGGAAGTATTGAGAAACAGAGCTATTGGATTGTTGAATCTTACTAAAAAACACTCCCCAAAAACGCAGCAAAGTTTTATCAACGTCAGTCCACTTCAACTGATAACGGAAATCTGACGTCTTAATCTTTAACATACGCATTTGCCTGGAATTACTTAAGGTAATATCCGTTAAGTTAAGAAAAATTAATTTAACAAGGATTTGTTTTTGATTAAATGTTTGTTTACGTCGATCGCAATCAAAATAGTTTATTCACAATGTTAATAGATATTTACTTGTGAAAACAGTCAGAGATGTTATCCTCGCAGAATTTATCTCGACATGATTAGTTCGAAAATGGAAATATAGACTTTGCGTTTTTTAGTTTATCTTCAAAAAGCGATTGCGTTTGCTTTTACAAAAGATGTTTTTATTTAGGTCGACATAAGCTCTAATATAGCATACACAATGGCTGCCAAAGAAGATGGCGAACTTAATAACGTCAAAGTGAGTCGTTCGTATTTTGCTTTGTTTGTATCAGTTTTTACTGCGGCAACTTGCTGTGTGTTGCTATTATTGTAAAAGTTTCAAGTGTTGACACAGTTACTTATTTCGACATTAAATTAGACAAAGAAAGCAGATAACCTTTACCGCCATGAAGCCCGCGAACGTTTTCGTAAATGATGCATTAAACTTATTAAGGTGCTTGTGACCGCATTTTTATCATTTCTGGCAGATCGCAAAAAGTTAGTTTTGCAACTTCTAAATCAGTTTTTGCCTACAAGGATTATTTCCAGAAATAGTGCAACTTAAGCTTAGTTTTTATCTACAACATTTCCAAAATTATACAACGTAAACACAGATAAAGCGCACTCAAAGTCCTGGATCCCATGAATATGCTTTCAACAACAATACAGAAAGTAAATTGTAAACCATGCATTTTCGTTGTGTCTTTTTTTACGAATTGTGCTTTGCTTGTAACTTCTCAAACACTGCACAGGTACAAGAAAGCTATATTTTGATATAAACTTAAATACGTTTTGTTGAATCTGTCAGAATCGATAAAAACCCGAAGTGAGTTCGTTTGTACTTTAACAGTGAACGAGAGAGTTATATTGTAAAAGATTAGGCTAATTAATAGGTTGACTCTGAAAAGCAGAAGTTGTTTGAACAGTTCTAGTTTCTTTTATGAGATAAACAAAATTCAAAAGCAAAAAACCCCGTTTTCGGTCCATGCTTCCCGATACCTGCTTAAGCCGAGGCACTAGAACGCCGCATGTTAACGTTTCGGTAGGAGATTTCGGCCCCTCCACGCTATCCTACTTGGGAGATGCAATAGCAAGCTTCCGCCCATCAGACCCCGAGATCACCTGCGATAGGCTTTGCTCGGGGTACGCAGGGAGAGTGCGGTCGCGACCCGAAACGTCTGGACCCCTAAGCCACTGCATACATATCGCACCCAGCTTCCACTGCTAGTTGACATCTACTATACCTAATATCAGCTTTATATATATATACCAAAATTCAGAGGCTTACGAAAGTTGCGGTATTATTAAAGTCACTACTGCGCATGCCCAGATGATTTCTTCGATAATTTGCAACTAAATGAGCTAATTGCCATAAATGTTGTGCAAGTACATATAGTTAGTCGTTGCCATGACTATGAACAATTAGTGGAGTGAACTGCGCAGGCTCGAGCGCATGCGCAGATGATTTTTCTATTAAATTGTTTCTAAGCATGCTATTTACTTCAAAATCGGTGCTAGTAGATGCAGTTGGTCGTTGCCATAGCCATGAACTTGGGCAGCTGGTCAAGTCGACAGCGCAAGCCTGAACAGACTGCGCATGCGCAAATGTTTTATCCGAAAATTTGTGACTGAGGGCGCTATTTACTTCATAATCGTTACTAGTACATCCAGTTGGTCATTACTACGAACTTGGAGAGTTGGTGGAGTTGACTACGCATGCTCGAGCGCATGCGCAGATGATTTCTCTATTATATTGTCACTAAGCATGCTATTTACTTCAAAATCGGTGCTGGTAGATGCAGCAGGTCGTTGCCATAACTCCGCTGCTATTCGAAATCTACTAGAAGTATTCAGCAATATATATATATATGTACACATAACTAAATGTCCGTTGCCTGTCTGTTTTTACCCCCACCAAGCCTATAAGCAAAATAGCCTATACAAAACCATAGACATTACACCATAGACGTAAAGAAAGTCGCTTACACTGTGTACAGCAACACCACAACTGCATATTTAGACGATAGCAGAAAAAGTTTCGGCGATATCTTTAGCAAACGTATTGCCTGGATTTTTTGTCTTAGGAAGTCAAAAATATTTACATCACAAGAGTAAAAGATCGAACTGATTTCGCCACCTCATTTCATTACTCTCATCAAATTTTTATTTTAATGTTTTCTGTATAGAAAGCTTCGCTTGTCACCTCTGATATCTTCAGCAAGTTTTTCAAAAACCACATAATGGAGATAGTCGATCAAGAAAAGGTGACATTTCATCACATGTACCTAGAATTGATAAAATATTTTTAGTTTCTTGCTTTCTTTTTTCCCATCTCTAATTTCCAACGCACAACATTTCTAGTTTCTAACTTTTTGCCTTTTTTAGCGGGTAAAACACACAAAAATAGCCGATAATGTTGAGGCTGCTTTGGAATCAAAGAAATACTTGGTCAGCGGCATGGATCACGAACTAACGGAAATGTGTTTCAATCCCATAATTCAAAGTGGGGAAAATTTCAGTTTAAAATTCAGTGCTCAAAGGTTTGTCGTGTTTCCATCTGTATTTTTCGCTCTGAAATACTTTTTACAATTTTTCTGCTTTTTGGGGGGATAGTGGCGGATATATGGATATAGGAGATGTTATTGTCGTCAATAAGGGGGTATTTATGGATATAAAAGGATGTTATTGTTGTGAAAAATGGTGGATATATGGATGTAGGAGATGTTATATATATGAATAAGAGGGCATGTATGGATATAAAAGGATGTTATTATTGTCAATAATGGTGGACATATGGATGTAGGAGATGTTATAGTTAATAAGAGGGCATGTGTGGACATACAAGATGTTATTACCGTCAATAATGTTGGATATATGGATATAAGAGATGTTACAGTTGTCAATAAGGGTGAATGAATGTACGATAAATTTCTTCTAGTAATTTTCAATGTCTAAACTCTTTGCGGTCGTCGATGAAATTCTGTGATAGTTTTTTGTATTGTCGTGATGTAAGATTTTCACCTTACCCCAAACGCCAGTGAAATATTCGTTTGATCTTATCGTCCAGGTTGGTATAGTCCTGAGAAGAACTGTTGTTGTTGTTGACTGACGTTTAGACAACCTTAGCGGTAGTCATCTTCAGAGTCAAAAAATTTTTTTCATTCATTTTTTTCTTGACTCTGAAGATGACTACCGCTAAGGTTGTCGAAACGTCGGTCTACATCAGCAACAACAGTCCTTCTCAGGACTCTACTAATCTGGACGATCTACATCTACAAACATGTAACGATATTTCCGGTCTCAAACCACTTCCTTAAATATAAACGTGTCAATATGTTATAAGAAAATTTATACTGTCAAGAAATGAATTAATGTTATGTCACAAAAATTCTGCTCCGAACGTCTTTTTCAGTTTTTGTTCTACTCAAGCTTTCTAACATCGGCGAATTTTTGTTATAGCAATGACGATCGTCTTGATTTTGGCGTCATAATTTGTATATTTGGTGTTCGTTACAAGTATTATTGTAGCAGTATTATAAGAACGATGCTGGTTCAACCATCAGAGGTACGTCCTTATGGATTGATAAGAATCTTAACGCTGGGCTCGTAGTGAAGTATGGAGAAGTGTATGTTATACTGTAGTCAGTCATAGAGAAGTGTATGTTATACTGTAGTCAGTCATAGAGAAGTGTATGTTATGCTGTAGTCAGTCATAGAGAAGTGTATGTTAAACTGTAGTCAGTCATAGAGAAGTGTATGTTATACTGTAGTTAGACATAGAGAAGTGTATGTTATTCTGTAGTCAGTCATAGAGAAGTGTATGTTATACTGTAGTCAGTCATAGAGAAGTGTATGTTATACTGTAGTCAGTCATAGAGAAGTGTATGTTATACTGTAGTCAGTCATAGAGAAGTGTATGTTATAGTGTAGTCAGTCATAGAGAAGTGTATGTTATTCTGTAGTCAGTCATAGAGAAGTGTATGTTATAGTGTAGTCAGTCATAGAGAAGTGTATGTTATACTGTAGTCAGTTATAGAGAAGTGTATGTTATACTGTAGTCAGTCATAGAGAAGTGTATGTTAAACTGTAGTCAGTCATAGAGAAGTGTATGTTATACTGTAGTCAGTCATAGAGAAGTGTATGTTATACTGTAGTCAGTCATAGAGAAGTGTATGTTATACTGTAGTCAGTCATAGAGAAGTGTATGTTATACTGTAGTCAGTCATAGAGAAGTGTATGTTATACTGTAGTCAGTCATAGAGAAGTGTATGTTATACTGTAGTCAGTCATAGAGAAGTGTATGTTATACTGTAGTCAGTCATAGAGAAGTGTATGTTATGCTGTAGTCAGTCATAGGGAAGTGTATGTTATACTGTAGTCAGTCATAGAGAAGTGTATGTTATACTGTAGTCAGTCGTTGAGAAGTGTATGTTATACTGTAGTCAGTCATAGAGAAGTGTATGTTATACTGTAGTCAGTCATAGAGAAGTGTATGTTATGCTGTAGTCAGTCATAAGGAAGTGTATGTTATACTGTAGTTAGTCATAGAGAAGTGTATGTTATACTGTAGTCAGTCGTTGAGAAGTGTATGTTATACTGTAGTCAGTCATAGAGAAGTGTATGTTATACTGTAGTCAGTCATAGAGAAGTGTATGTTATAGTGTAGTCAGTCATAGACAAGTGTATGTTATACTGTAGTCAGTCATAGACAAGTGTATGTTATACTGTAGTCAGTCATTGAGAAGTGTATGTTATACTGTAGTCAGTCATAGAAAAGTGTATGTTATACTGTAGTCAGTCATTGAGAAGTGTTTGCCATCCTTTAGTCAGTCACTGTAGTGTATACTATAGTGAAGTGTTCTGTAAACGTGCATAAAGCTTGATTTCGTTCGTACGTAGTTTAAAATAATATATATTAGAATAGATATGAGAAAATGAATGATGTAGCACAAAAAACTCGATTTGAAGAGAAACTTCTCGTTTTTCAGGAACAACAAGGCAACTACAACATTTTATTATCAACTCTTGACGTCGTTATCGACAAACTTAAAGATGGCGTTAAGTTGTGTGATGTTTACAATACTGCCCTGGAGCATGTTAAGGAAAAGAAACCAGACTTAGTGTCTAAGTTTGTGAAGAGTATTGGGTATGTTTATAATTTGTTCATTTGTAAAGGATATTAATTGTGTTGAAGTATTCTTTTCGTGTTAAAGTATGTGTCCATGATGTATTGAAGTATATTTTTGATGTGTGGAAGTAGATTTGTTGTCTGTTGAAGTATGTTTTTTACGTGTTAAAGTAGATTTGTTGTATGTTGAAGTATGTTTTTTACGTGTTAAAGTAGATTTGTTGTGTGTTGAAGTATGTTTTTTACGTGTTAAAGTAAATTTGTTGTGTGTTGAAGTATGTTTTACGTGTTAAAGTAGATTTGTTGTGTGTTGAAGTATGTTTTTTACGTGTTAAAGTAGATTTGTTGTTTGTTGAAGTATGTTTTTACGTGTTAAAGTAGATTTGTTGTGTGTTGAAGTATGTTTTTTACGTGTTAAAGTAGATTTGTTGTGTGTTGAAGTATGTTTTTTACGTGTTAAAGTAGATTTGTTGTGTGTTGAAGTATTCTTTTTACGTGTTAAAGTATATGTCCATGATGTGTTGAAGTATATTTTTGATGTGTGGAAGTAGATTTGTTGTCTGTTGAAGTATGTTTTTTACGTGTTAAAGTAGACTTGTTGTCTGTTGAAGTATGTTTTTTACGTGTTAAAGTAGATTTGTTGTGTGTTGAAGTATGTTTTTTTACGTGTTAAAATAGATTTGTTGTGTGTTGAAGTATGTTTTTTTACGTGTTAAAATAGATTTGTTGTGTGTTGAAGGATGTTTTTTACGTGTTAAACTATATCTTCTTCATTTGTTTAAGTATATTTTTAATGCGTTAAAGTGCATTTTAAGAATGTAAAAGTATATTGTTGTGTAATTTTGCGTGTAATTTTTCGACATGCAGCGTTCGGATCAAATTTATATTTGTTTGTGACAGATTTGTAATGGGAATCGAATTTCGCGAAAGCTCGTTGATAATAAATGCCAAGTCGAGTCACAAAGCACAGAAAGGTTCGACTTCTTTCTTTGATGAAATGCTGTAATGAAAAATATGATTGTTTTACACCTCGTGGCTATAATCTTAGGTATGGTGTTTTGTATAAGCGTCGGTTTCTCTGGCCTTTCCAATAAAGAGGAAAACTCCACAAAGGAGAAACAATACGCGTTGTTTATCGGAGACACCGTTGTTATAAATGATGTAAGAATTGGACTTTGCATTGGAAATAATCAAGAGAAACGAGTTTTTGTATTTTAATTTTGGATGTGCTCATTACGTAGCGCTAAAATAGCAACAAGAAGCGATAAGTACAATAGGATATGTAATGTATGTTAGTTAAGTTACTGATGAATTAACAACAATGGAAAAGTCTTTGCGTCAGTAAGGTTTAAGATAAATCTGAGAACAAGAGCTTCCAAGAAACTGACTTGAAGAAGTGTACAAGATATGCGACGTTAACGAGCTTAAGCTTAAAACGTTATCAATTTCTTCGTGTAGAAAGGTCCCGCGACGTTGCTCACTCTTGCGAAGAAGAAGATCAATAACATCGGTATATTTCTAAAGGTGGGATATTTTACTATCGGATTTTTGTGTAGTCTACTGAATTGTTGCCAAATATAACAGTTTGATTCGTTAATGTGTAAAAATCAATTGGAAATATTGAAATGGGTTTTCGAAAACAAATTGTTCAAGCTGGACTGCCACAACTGCTCTGTATAGCATTCACTCTACCACCAAATTATGCAACGCTTCCCAAATGTACGTACAGAATAATCCACTAAAATTGCACAACGAGACATGTGTTGTCATTTTCAGGACGAAGATGAACAAGACGACTCGGATAACGTCGATGTGAGCGAAGTTTACCACTGAGGTAATTTTATAAACAAGCACAAACTTTATAATCTTTGTAATATCTGTACTTTAGGAGGAAGCATTGTTACGAAACACAGATGGAAAATCGAAATTGTTGGAAAACAGAACGAGGGTAAGTGAAGTCACGTGACGAGAGTCAGGTCACGTGACAAGAGTCAGGTCACGTGACAAGAGTCAGGTCACATGACAAGAGTCAGGTCACATGACGAGAGTCAGGTCACGCGACGAAAGTCAGGTCACGTGGTGAGAGTCAGGTCACGTGCCGAGAGTCAGGTCACGCGACGAGACTCAGGTCACGTGATGATACTCAGGTCACGTGATGAGAATAAACCTGTGTGAACAAACCAAAGCGTTTTCCAACGTTGCAGACGGAGATGAACGCTGAAGATAAACGAAAAGCTCATCAACAAGAACTGAGGGAACAGTTACACGAAGAAGCCAAAAGACGACTGTTAGAAACAAAGGGTAAAACACCGGAGAAAAAGTAGGTTTTAACGAACGAATTTCACTTGAACGCAAACCTCGATCTCATGCATCCTCTTTTGTGTCGATTTTCCAGAATCCGTGCATCAAACATCGCCTACAAACACAGCTCTCTTGTCCCACGGGATAAAGACGTTCGTGAATTAAAGGTTTTGTAGGTAAGGTTCTTCGATTTCATTGTCTGCTCGAGGTGGGGCAAGGGCTCGAGGTGGGCTTGATCATCACGCACGCGCAGTCTGTGTGCTCGCTTTGTACGTGCTGTAAACCGTGGTTCGTTTTTTGACATCATTTTTCAATTTAGATAAAAAGTACGAGGCAGTTATCTTACCTGTTTTTGGCATCGCAACTCCGTTTCATATCTCCACTGTCAAAGTAAGATGTTTTTACATTTTCTTGTTTATCTACCTTTACTGTTTGAAACTTTTCTTCATGCATCGCTTCAATGTTTACTGAACTGCAAGGAACCAGTCGATAGCATACACTACGACACTGATGTCCTTGCTACTGCTTTAGTCCCGCGTTTGTTGCTACTTTTTATCTCCTGCGACTACCGCTCAAAATAGCAGTCTGTCAACGGACAATTACCAGTCAAAAAGTGTTTCTCAACCATTCGATTTTTTTACTTTTTCGATCATTTTGAACAGCCATGTGGACACTTAAAACGTCAAACAGGAGAATCTGTCTTCTAAAAAATGTTATTTCATGTTTTTTTTGGTGCACATCATGTGTGCAGTAGTGAGCAGTCCAAAACCGACTTTGACTGAGCTTAAATGAAGTTTAACGTATTTTGTCCGTAATTTAAGGACATGCCACCCCCCTCCCCTACTCCCAATCTCCTTTTGTCATACCATTGACGTTTTTAATGATATTCCTTTTCCTCGTTACTACATGCCATCCCCTAATATCCCCCGCAATCTCAATTCAAGATGTCCCTTTGTTCATAATTAAGCCATATCATTGACGTTTTAAAGGATATTTCTCTTCTTCGTTACTACTTTTAATCCCATATTATCCCCCTTATCCCAACTCGCGATGTCCCTTTGTTCATAATTAAGCCATATCATTGACGTTTTAAAGGATATTCCTCTTCTTCGTTACTACTTTTAATCCCATATTATCCCCCTCATCCCAACTCACGATGTCCCTTTGCTCATAATAAAGCCATATCGTTGACGTTTTAAAGGATATTTCTCTTCTTCGTTACTAGTTTCCATTTCCTAGTACCCTCCCCCCTCCATCCCAATGGAAGATGACCCTTTGCTCGTATTAAATCCGTACAATTGATGTTTTTATGATATTCCTCTTCCTCAGAACATCAGTACAAGTGTTGAAGGCGACTATACTTACCTACGAATTAACTTCTTCAGCCCAGGAAGGTATTTTAAAATTTTACTTTCCTAAGACTTAACTTACTCTTCATTAAATATCCCTTTGTTAACGAAACCATGCGTAATTATCTTGACAGTGCTCTCGCGAAACCGGATGTGAACAATTTTGCAGAACCCGACGCGACTTTCCTCAAAGAAGTGTAAGGAATTTGCTGTAAAATCGTAAATTTGTTTGTCGTTTTGGTACATCTTTTGCAGATTGAGATATGCAAGCTACTGCAGTGCTGAGAAGGTCTGTTGGTGTTAATGTTGACTGTTTTCTGGATATCTGCATCTGTTATGTCCGTTCACTCTGAGTGTCCATTCACATCTGCTATGACCGTTCACTCTGAATACGACTACTGCTAAGGTTGTCAAAACATCAGTAAACACTAACATCAACAGTCCTTCTCAGGACTATACCAACCTGGACGATCTACATCTACAAACATGTAACTATACTCCCGGGCTCAAACCATCTACTTTAATTATGCACTGTTCACTTCAATAACCAATCACCGTACAACTTTATCACTGATACGTATACACCTAGCACTTACCGAAGTTCAATGCAAAAGTCCATGGGTCAGTCCGTTGCGTCTGCTGCGAACCTCAATAACGCCTTTCGTTTCATCAAAGAAGTACAGAAGAAATTCAAAACTCGCGAAGCAGAAGAGAAAGAAAAGGAGGTTTGTTGTTGTCGATGTTGTTTTCGTATTTTACTCCCGTACCTATATGCTGCTTAAACTTGAAGAAAGTTCACAACTCGTACTAACGATTTTGAGTATTGATTATCCTGTAGGGCATCGTAAAACAAGATGCTTTAGTGGTGAATAACAGCAAGAATAATCCAAAACTAAAAGATCTTTACATTCGGCCAACTTTGGGCACAAGACGTATACCGGTATGTCCATCAAACTGTCAAATAAAGACCTTTCTTATTTACGTAGGCAAAACACTTTACAGATAGAACCTTACGTGGCAAAGCCCTATACAGACAAAACCGTATACATCCTAAACCCTATGAAGGCAAAACCGCATATATCCTAAGTCCTATACAGACAAAATCGTATATATTTACGCCCTATACAGACAAAACAGTATATATACTAAGCCCTATGCAGGCAAAACCGCATATATCCTAAGTCCTATACAGACAAAACCGTATATTCCCTAAGCCCTATGCAGGCAAGACTGTATGTTGACAAGACGGTGCCCCAAATTACTGAATTCTGACAAAAACGGAAATTTTCAAGATGTGCTTGAAAATCTTTGATATTCTCTGAGGATTTTTCACAATAAGCAATTTTTTTTCATTAGGGAACACTCGAGGCTCATATGAATGGTAAGAGTTAATGAATGTTTTAGTTTTTGGTACGAGATTAGAATCTTCATAAATGCTTAAACTTTTTAACTGAAGTAATCTTTCATCGTTCTTTCATTCGTCGAGGTTTCCGATTTCAATGTGTCAATGGCGAGCGTGTTGATATTTTATATGGAAACATTAAACACGCATTCTTTCAGGTAACTAAACGTTTACATACGTTTGCAACGCGTTTATTTCAATACAAACTTGGTTTTATGTCAAAAATTGTTGGGATATATATTTTTTACCCATTATGAAATGATCATACTTATCCATTTATTTACCCCTGTAATCATGAAATGATCATATTTATCCATTTGTTTAGCTATGTGATCACGAGATGATCATATTTATCCATTCATTTACCACTGTGATCATGAAATGATCATATTTATCCATTTGTTTACCCCTGTGATCATGAAATGACCATATTTATCCATTTGTTTAGCCCTGTGATCATGAAATGACCATATTTGTCCATTTGTTTACCCCTGTAATCATGAAATGACCATATTTATCCATTTATTTACCCCTGTGATCATGAAATGATCATATTTATCCATTTATGTACCCTGTGATCATGAAATGATCATATCTATCCAATTATTTACCCTGTGATCATGAAATGATCCTATTTATCCATTTGTTTAGCCCTGTGATCACGAGATGATCATACTTATCCATTTTCATCTGAAGGTTAGTCACGTACATTTGAATAAGTGAATCTACTTGTTTGAAAATTTGATAGCTAAAAATGTGCAAGAAATTAGAGGAAATTTTCCAACAATGAAAAATTGTTATTAAATTTCCTCTCGAAATTTTAATTTTGACTTGTACAATCTACAGCGTGTAGCTTTATAAAATAAGCACGATGAAACGCGTGCGCTGATTGGTTTAGAGCCGTGTTTGCATTATCCTGTGCAAAACACATCCGAGCTCAACCAATCAAATCAATCTAAACATTCAATTAGTCAAAGAGAATTTGCAAATCGATCATGAATACATTTCAGAGGGAAAATTAACAAGTTTACTTTAAATTTACCTGTTTCGCATTATTATTTTATAAATAAATTAAAAGATGTTCTTCGTCAGTAAATATCTTTTATTTCTTAAATAAGTAGCGTTAAAAAAAGACAAATTTCATTACCCAAAAGTCTAGTTTTCGGTCCTTGTTTCCCGATACACTTGCAATGAAAGGGCACTAGAGCGTCGCATGTTAAAGTTTTGAAATGAAAGAAATTTATGAAATATTTTCTGGTTGATTGAAATTACGAGGCCGTGTTTTTTCATAAACTTGCCCAATTTTTGGATCTCTAGTTTTTCCACGTCGCACATATTGCAATGTTGTCGATGTTTGTTTTGTATAGAATGCTATAATTATTGGCAAGAAAAAGTATCGCGACATTCAATATTATACAGAGGTAAGTATAATTCATCTTTCAGTAATCACCACACCATAACGTAGTTGTATAGTTATAGTTTTATTGTTGTTTTATACTAAAGTTAAGATTGCTACTGTCTAATCTTCTCGTTTTTAGTAGCACGTAAGACACACGCCCGTATTTTAAAAGCTCACTCGCATTCACTAAGTGCGACACAGAAGTCGCGCTTGTCGATGGAAAACTCATTTCTGTATTTCTGGCAAAATTTTTGCCGCAATATTTCAAATGAAACAATCAGTGGAGTCTTCGACCATATATGAGGTTCTATTGAAGTCATACTTTGTGAGTTTGAGTGGTCTTTAGAATACAAGCGTTCGTCTCGTTTTTCCATTCATATGTCAAAAACAATATGTCATATAGCGAATTGAAGATCACGTGGCTCACTGCTTGCTTTGCTAGATTTTTGTCGAAGTTTATGACGCATGGATGTTTTCATGTTTTTGAATTTCGTTATGGGATTACTGTCGAGTTTAATGATAAAACCTTTTAATGATAATAATATTAGTGCTATAATAACATTAGAACTCTGCTATACCGGTCACAAGCCCGGGACTTGTAGCGTATAAGGCTCTCTGCTTTTGAGTAGACTTGTCTCGTTTACAAGGAAGAGGAGTGGAAGGTTAATTTCTCAACTCTTGTTAGATAAGGTCGTTATTGTTTGTAGTTGTTGGTTATAGCATTATGCTATCATTCTTTTTGTTTAATAACATTCCAACTATTTAACCTTGTGGTAATATTAGTTTTGTTGATGTTATTCCAGGTTGGCGAAATCACGACGGATTTGGGTAAAAATCAACACATGCACGACAGAGATGATCTTCAAGCGGAACAGGTTTGTTGGTGTTTCCACTTTCATCGAAATAATTCAGGGAAAATTCGACTATTGACGAAGACCTTTACTATGTCATAGAAATAATAGATAAGTATAGTATGCTTATAGTCATTCTCTCAGGGAGGGATTCATGATGGTTTTTAGTTGGTGTTGCTCTAGTTTGTTTGTTCAAGACCACGTATTGCTGTTACATGCCTTTTTTTGTTTAAGTAAATGGTTTAAACCCGGGAGTATCGTTGCATGTTTGTAGATGTAGATCGTCCAGGTTGGTATAGTCCTGAGAAGGACTGTTTTTGTTGTTGTTGACTGACGTTTCGACAACCTTAGCGGTAGTCATCTTCAGAGTCAAATGAGGAGTAAACGTCAGGTTAGCCGTATTTGTTATCTGGTTCTTACGTCATTGTATTGTGTGTACAGGAAATGTGTATTGTCATTGTGAATTAGTGTGAAGTGAAATATTACACAATACAATGACGTAAGAACCAGATAACAAATACGGCTAACCTGACGTTTACTCTTCATTTGACTCTGAAGATGACTACCGCTAAGTTTGTCGAAACGTCAATCAACATCAACAAAAACAGTCCTTCTCAGGACTATACTAACCTGGACGATCTATATTTACAAACATTTTTTTCTTAAAGTTGTTAACTTTTTATTATGATTGAGAAATTTTTGAAAACGTGCTTCATTGAACACTAAAATACTTGCATAGTGTTAGATCCCACATCTAAAAGTACTTGTGCTTTCCATGAAAATAAATTATGACTTTTCGTCAAAATAAATTATGACTTATCGTCAAAATAAATTATGACCGTACGAAACATATTTTCAAAGTTTCAATTGTTATTTTCAGGCGGAACGCGAGCTACGACAGCGTCTCAAAGCCGCTTTTAAACATTTCATCGATCGAGTTGAAGGAATAACGCACGGTCAAGTTGAGTTTGATGTTCCATTCAGGGAACTTGGGTACGTACATCCGTCCTACGAACTTTATGCAATTACCCTAATTCTTTATTTAGGAAGACTGGTGTAGGTGTAGGGGTCTGGGGCGAAATGTAAACTTTCCTAAAGATTGACTGATAGATCCATAAAAAAATGGTGGCAATTTTCTTTTTTATTTCCTGGTTTTCCGTCTCCCCTTCCTCCTGTATTGATGGCTGAAACTTTCTTCATCTCCCCCTTCCTCCTGTATTGATGGCTGAAACTTTCTTCATCTCCTTCCTCCTGTATTGATGGCTGAAACTTTCTTCTTCATCTCCCCCTTCCTCCTGTATTGATGGCTGAAACTTTCTTCTTCTCCTCCTGTATTGATGGCTGAAACTTTCTTCATCTCTCCCTCCTGTATTGATGGCTGAAACTTTTCTTCATCTCCCTTCCTCCTGTATTGATGGCTGAAACTTTCTTCTTCATCCCTCCCTCCTGTATTGATGGCTGAAACTTTCTTCTTCATCTTGTTGTGAAAATATCTGTTTGTCAGAGCATTTTCTTATCATTGCCGCATGCGTCAACAATGGCGTGCTTGGCCGCCATCTTGAATTGCCAGTCTGGTGGTATTTTCATTGTTGTATTCACCGCAATCCATTGTATGATTTCAGATTTATTGGCGTTCCCTTTCGCAGTACAGTTTTACTTCAACCGACGACGCACTGTCTTGTAATGCTAACTGAACAACCTGTTTTTGTGATAACTCTTGATGAGGTCGAATTAGTGCACTTCGAGAGAGTTCAAGTAAGTGTTAAAACAGATTCTTTTGTGTTTTAAAATGTTTTCTTATGAAAGGAGGAGGTTCTTTTGTCGCGTACAGAAATTGTCACGTAGATTTAAAATCGAAAACTACGTGTTTTTACTAAATCATCGTTGATGAAAACCCGAAACATATCAAATTTGAAAACTCCATTTTCGTTTTTAAGCGAGACAGGATTAGTTTGATCCACTCTTCTCTAAATTAATCTAATCGTGTTCTTGGCTTTTATTTAGTTTCATTTAAAGAATTTCGATATGGTGTTCATCTTCAAAGAATACACAAGAAAAGTTGAACATGTCAATTCTATACCCATGACATCGTTGGACTCTGTGAAGGAATGGTTGAAGTATGAAAAGTTTATCTTTTCCTGCATGGAAGTTTACTAAAGATTTGACATAAATTTCTCTTGACTCTGCCAATAGCTTCACGGAGGCCATGTAGTTTTGTATGTAAACAATACATTTCTCTTGGCTTTGAACTAATTTTATAACTGGACGGCTATCTTTAAGTCTTCGTGCCTAAAATTGGAAAGATTGGGAGAGTTGAATTGCCCAGTTCAAATTTTTACGGGAGTTAGCATTCCAGTTTAAGCACCTCACAAAACGACCAGTTCAAATTTTACGGGAGTTAGCATTCCAGTTTAAACACCTCACAAAAAGACCAGTTCAAATTTCTACGGGAGTTAGCATTCCAGTTTAAACACCTCACAAAAGACCAGTTCAAATTTTACGGAGTTAGCATTCCAGTTTAAACACCTCACAAAAGACCAGTTCAAATTTTACGGGAGTTAGTATTCCAGTTTAAACACCTCACAAAAAGACCAGTTCAAATTTTTACGGGAGTTAGCATTCCAGTTTAAACACCTCACAAAAAGATCAGTTCAAATATTTACGGGAGTTAGCATTCCAGTTTAAACACCTCACAAAAAGACCAGTTCAAATTTTACGGGAGTTAGCATTCCAGTTTAAACACCTCACAAAAAGACCAGTTCAAATTTTACGGGAGTTAGCATTCCAGTTTAAACACCTCACAAAAAGAAAGTTTCCCACGCGATAAATTTTGTTGCTGCTCAATGAGTAAATCCTACATAATTAAACAAAGGGATTCCGTAACTTACGGTGTTTTACTAAATGTTTTATGAAGAAGGTGATCAGTCTTGTTTTTGAAATGAGTTAGTCAACTTTGCTTAAACAATTACTAGATAAAAAGTGAACAAAAATGAATTTAGTGGAAATACACCACTTTTTAATGCTAATTTAAAATTCGGTCATTTTTAATTCAAGAATTTTTTTTGGAAACACGACTGATTCTTTTCTTTGCATGGCGTTTGGAATATTGCTTTTGTTGTCGTGCTAAACTGTCTAGGATTTCTTCATTTACATTGTAGTATACATGTTTCTTTGGGGGGAGAACTTTATGTTTATGTCAGGGGGGAGAACTTTATGTTTATGTCAGGGGGGAAAACTTTATGTTTGTGTCAGGGGAGAACTTTATTTGTGTTATGAGGGAGAACTTTATGTTTGTGTCAGGGGAGAACTTTATTTGTGTCAGGGGGAGAACTTTATGTTTGTGTCAGGGGAAGAACTTTATTTGTGTCAGGGGGGAGAACTTTATGTTTGTCAGGGGGGAGAACTTTATGTTTGTCAAGGGGGAGAACTTTATTTTTGTCAGGTGTTTATTTATTTTAATAGTTTTTCCTCTAAATTTTTTCTTCATACATCATTTCAGTTCGTGCGACATAAAGTATACGGAGGGCGTACAGAGTTTGAATTGGAACCGAATCATGAAGACGATCACCAATGATCCCCAAGATTTTATTGAAAATGGTGGCTGGAGTTTCCTTGAGCCAGATAGCAGCGTGAGTACTGAAGCTTCGGTCTCAAATGAAGATTGAAAAAAATTTCTATGCTATTTCTTTATCGTTAAGGATGAAGAACAAGAAGAAGAGGACGAGGAAGAAAGCGAGTACGCTCCGAGTGATTCCGATGTTGCCGTGTCGGAAAGTGAAGAAAGTGAACTGTCCGGGGAGACTTCGGAGAGCGAGGAGGATTCTGGTACAAACAGTTTGTTTCGCTATTGCTCCTTTCTATCCATACATGTATCTTTCTGTTCCCTATCTCACTTGCCTTTCTTACGTAGCTTTTTGTTCGTACTTATATCTATTTATATTGTACGGTTGTCTAAAAAAATATAATCACATAACCACATTATATTACTATCTTTTTTAGCAACCATCACCCCACCTCTACCATCACCCCACCTCTACCATCACCCCACCTTCCCACCCCACCTTCCCCCCCCATTCCATTCCCCACCTATCCATTCCCATCCTTCCCCCCTTCCACCATCCCCTACCACCATCCCCTTTTACCACCATTACCACCATCACCCCCTTTACTACCATCACCCCACTTTACTACCATCCCCCACCATTCCACCATCCCCCACTACCATCACCCCACTTTACTACCATCACCCCACTTTACTACCATCACCCCACTTTACTACCATCACCCCACCTCTACCATCACCCCACCTTACCTAGCTATACTCCTAAATTATTGTCTTATGAACAATGCTGTGTTTAGAATTCGAAGAAGAGCTTGGCTCGGATGAAGAAAGCGGAAAGGACTGGTCCGAATTGGAAGAAGAAGCGACCAAAGGTAGTTCCCCGTCCTTTGTTGATAAAGCCACTTTATCTACCTATGTATTGTTGCTTGGATTACATTCTGATGTTTTTTGTTTTTAATTAAATTATACGAGTAGTTGTTAAGATCTTGCCATTTCGTCGGCGTTTTTTGAAAAAGTTTTATATTCGTTCATCCTTTGCATTTATGCTTAATGTTTGATTTACTTATAAGATTGAGTTATTCATATTTATTTATTCAATAATCTTCCCGATTTTTGTCATATCTACAAACAAACATTTGAAATCGTCTGAAGTGGCTGTTTCCCATACGGAAACCATTATCAAAGACATTTAAAACGTTTGCCAAATTATTTTAATAAGCGTCAAGTGCACGAAGACAATTTCAAGTATTTTTTGTAAACATATCAACAATCGGGAAGATCTTTAAATAAATCACTATGAATAACAAACCCAAAATCAAAATCACTCGTAGATTAGCGAAGTTACGTTGATATGCTCGGTTTTAACAAATGATACTGTTCCGTTTTTACTCCTACATTTCAAATATTTTGTCTTCGTTCACTGGATGCCACCTGAACACCGTAAAGACGTGAACATTTTATACGTTTGTGACATCGGCAGACCTTCCGATTTTCGGAGATCTCAAGTTGGAATATCTGGGATGAGAGTTAATTTTCTAATGAAATAAATTGTATTTTTGCTAAGAAATTGGATTGTTGAAGCTTAAAGTCAATTTATCTTTTTTTCTGAGAATACCAACGTTCAGAACGTCATTTCCACTTGGTTTTATGTAAGCATTTACGTTATTCACTCTCCACTTAGACTCTGCAGGAAGTTAGAAAAAAACTCCCAAGTGGAAAGGTTGTCTCAAACATCAACAGCTTGTTTCAAAGACCTTTAAAAACTTATATCCTTTATATAGCTTGTTCTTCTAATATACACCAATTTCTCCTAATCATTTCGTCATAAATATTACAAATTAATCAGTTTAATGGATATGTTCAACATATCGCTCTATATAATTAGTTTGCTCCAAAAATCCAACATTCCTCGCGCTTGGAACGCGTGACCGACAACGACACCACAGGAATGACTCGAAATAACGCTTTGCCTGCTATAGTAATCTGTGGTATTACGTTGTGGAAGATAAATTCTTGTTTTGTATGATTCTCAAACCTTTTATTGCATTTTTTAGCCGACAAAGAACGTGGCCGTGTCGAGGACGACACAAGCGCGTCACGTAAACGCAAGAAATCTTCGGGAAATGCCGCCACGCCGAACAAGAAAAAAGACGTAAATAAATCACGGACCCCTAAAGTCAAGAGAACACACAAAACCCGTACGACGTATGACGCCGTTAAAAAGGACAAAACTAATTAAGAGAATCGATCTTTCTAGAAAAGGGGCAAGTTGATTGACTGTGGCACATACATTGTTTTGGATTATGCTTGCGTTTAGCTGCAACGCATTATTAATGCTTGGAAGTTGTGAAGAAACTGCAGTGCCGGCAAAATACAGTCGGAGAAAAGATTTTTGTGATAGTGTAAAATAAAATTTAAACTCTTATTCTTATTATATTCTTATTTTTTTAGCAATGTTTGGGTACTTGCAAATTGGACGTTATTTTTATCTGATATTGCAACTCGAGTCCTTATGCACTCCTGCGTGGTGTGTTCAGATCACTCTTGAACTAATTTCTAGACTAACTAAAGTATGCAATGACATAAGTTACAGCGTCAGATCACTCTTGTAGAACATACTAGACTGAGTGGAGAATTCAACAACTGATGAAGACACTAGAACTGAGTATATCAGGATTTATGTTTAAACCACAGAATAGATATATATATCTATTCTGTGTTTAAACATCAGATCACTCCTGATGAAGACATAAGACTGCAGTATATAAGGACTCAAGTTTCAACATTATGTTTCTCCTGATACATTTTTTTGACATGCCATTCGCAATGAGATTATATTTGCAATGCATAGCCTTTTACCGTGTTTACGGGCAAAAGTGCTCAAGAAATATGTAGCATTCTTTTGTGTAATAAAAGCTATTCTTGCATGAAGATAATTGTTTCTTAGTACAGGAATTTCGTTGTATTCGTCGAAGAAAAAGTGAAAGCCATCAGGTTATAAAACACATATTTACATTATTCGCTTTTGGTCTTTGCTTTGGTAATACGATCCTAGAAATATTTACAACTGCAAACAGTTTGACGCAAATCGACGTGAATGCGTAAATTGTACAAATTGTTTTTGAAGCATTAGATACGACAATATTTTAAATATTTTTCAATGGGGACATTGCTCTCGTGAAAAATTTATGAATTCCACGTCGACACAAAAAAGTTGTTTAATTTAGGTTCAATTCCGGCTACAAGCTATGCTATTATTTACATACTTTCTAGAGATTTTCATTCCAAAATCTCCACTAAGTTTTGCATAATTCAAATTGTAGAATGCAAAATTCTTGCATCGAGGCTCGAGAACTCCTGCGACGAAACTTCAATTTCGCCGCTACGCACCCAAAGGTTTCACGACAAGTCGCTTTGGAATGCCTTGTCGTGGTACAGGATACTCGGGCAAGTTCATAATATACTTGGAGATTTTATTACTGTCGTTTGGCCAGGCGAAATGCAGGAAAAACCGCAAAGGTGTGATAATGTTCGAAATATTTTGTCCGTGTAAAATAATTGGAACAAATTTCCCACCGGGGTTGCGACAAAGACTGTAATAAATCTTACCAGTGACCAAAAAATCGAGTGTGTATTTGAGATTATACTCAGTTTGACTAAGATAGTTTTGGTAATCACCTCCTTCCATAGCGCAGTCTGCTATTGCCTTCATTGTTGTGCTGAAACATAGTAGAACATACTTTGCTCTCTTCACGCGTTCTTCCAACCAAAACGTAGTCATTCGACCTTGTTGATCCAAATCGTGAATTGTCTTAACTTGCAATTCACCGTTCCTCACAGGCTTTAGTCCAAGCAGAAAAGACATGAGCGCTTTCATTGCATTTGTCTGATTGTCAGTGTTTGAACTGACGATAAAAATTTCATCTTGAACCGGCTCAGGCACGAAAGATATAGGAGGGATGTCATCAGAAGGAGACGGAGTTTGAGGTCTACTTCTCTCCTCAGCGCTATGAAGACGAAACAACTGACGAATGCCTCGACGGAGTCTTCTCATTCTGTTTTCAGGCAAACTTTGGCTTCGAAAAATACCCCTTGTTTCAGATTGCTCTCTCTCTACGTTTACTCTGGCGTTGTTCGATGCATTAATACAGAACTGCTCACCGCGAGTCGGAGAATGAGGATCGAAAGTTTCAAGAAAATCGAACAGCGCATCGCAAGACGAATACAGTTCACACTCGAACATCGTTGAAATTAAATACTCGAATGTCTTTGTGCCATCGCTTTGCGTAATCCAACTTTCCAATACTCGCTTCGTAGGATTCGTCTCCCTCGATAAACCAGCTGCTTCTGCTGCATTGGGTGGATTTTGGAGTAACTTGTCCGCCAAAGTTCGCCAATTTGGGAAAATTGGCGCAATATCAACGTTTAGTTGATTGTAAACATCGTTCAATCCGAGATGCTCTAAAGCGTCGGCAGTCACGACATAACTCAAGACCTCATCAGATATCGTGGCTTTTCGTTGATGGAATTTCTCCTGATAACTGGCCGAATCCATATCGTAAACGATTTCTACAATTCACAAGTACGCCAAGAAATAACTCTTGGTTGATTCCTTTGAAATAACCTGCGGTTAACGACACGCACACACCGACTCAAATGACTAACTTTTGGAGCTACTTGTATTTCACATTTACATCCGTGACGTCACAATGACGCAGGCACATGGTCGAATGGAAAAGCGGAAGATGTTTCCAAGGAAATGAGGCAAATTGTAACCTTATGGACTGTTGGATAAGTTAAATCGACGGTGGGTCACCTTATAAGTTGTCACTCTGGTCCCTTTTGAGCTGTGGGGAGAGCATTTATGAAAGAATCCTAGGAACTGGGAAATTGGTCTTTGAGTGGATGTAAAAGAGGTCTGGGACGAGGACTTCGACATCCGCAACATAGGTTAATTATGTATGCTTAGTGTAACATGTTTGTGGATGAAGTCGTCAAAGTCAGTAGAGTCCTGAGAAGGGCTGTTGGTATTGATGTAGACCGACGTTTCGACAAACTTAGCGGTAGTCATCTTCAGAGTCAACATCAACAACAACAGTCCTTCTCAGGACTATACTAACCTGGACGATCTACATCTACAAACATGTTACAATACTCACGGGGTTCAAACCATTAACACTTTATGCTTAGTTTGGTAAATACTAGCAAAAATTCACGCGTTAGAATGCAAACAGTCATGGTTGTAAGAAAGAGAAGAATTCAATGATAATTATGTCTTTGTGTTGCAATGAAATATTCCTCAAATCTGTACATGTAGCAGTATTTTTTATTTTCTCATACTTTCACTTTCGTCTATTGTTGACAACATGTAATTTAGTTTCAAAAGAATTTTTTAAAGTGGCTTAATGAGTTATTTTTAGCAACGATGGGTAAATTTATTCAAATACATGCCACAATTTCTGCTTTTACATCGAAGATAGGAGAGAAGTGCTCTATGAACTAGTGAAGTTGATGATACTAATTTTTGCGTAGTTCGAATCCTTGTTCAAACAAAAACGTTATACTGTGATCACACCAACAAAGTGATTGGATATTTATGTTCACGATGCAGTATTATATTATTTATTTGCAAGCAAAGTATGTTTCAAAGTGGCCCGTTTTCGCTAAGTTCAGTTTATCACTGAGTTCAGTAATTATTTAATATTCAAATTTATTCAAATTAAAGACCGGCAATGATTTCTGGGAATGGCTAAATTATATTATCCCACAATGCAATTCTTTAAAATTTCTCTTTGACCAGATTTCAAAATGGTGAGTGGCACATGTTTGGGAAAACAATACAAAATGACCCTTTTATAGACCTTTATACTCGACGTAACCTCATTTTCTTTCCCCAAACTCATCCTTTGTGTGTTTCTCTGTAGGTTTATAATCGTTTTGTCGAAATTGGACGCGTAGCGTTGATAAACACTGGGCCCGAAGCCGGCCGTTTGTGTGTCATTATGGATGTTGTTGATCAAAACCGGGTGTGTAGAGATAATCTTTTCGTGTTTTTCAGTTGTGACTGCATCTTTAAGAGGTGTTATTAGCCTGCTGGCATTCTGACTAGAATATGAGAAACTTTGACTCTACCATAAACTACAAATCACCACAAGAGAGGCTGTTATACTCTTTTATTTCACAATCAACTCGCATTTCATAATTTTGGTTTGCATTGAATCTATGCCTGAGCGTAGTTCAATGGAATCCAAAATAAATGAAGAAGGAAAGGTGTTTTCAAGCATAAGCATGTGCGAGACAGTGGTGACTTGAAGTGATCAAGTTGATAAAATCTTGCAGTGCTCATGAATTAATCAAAATGAGAGATATTTTGCATTCCTCAATGGATTATACAATCATACATACTTCTGCTTCAGTTGTACGGTCATTTAACAAATTAGCAGTATTCAGCCGCACACTAGTGTCATGAACTAACCCATTCCTAATTTAGCTATAAATTTATGATCCCTGTAGCTTTGGCTTGTATCTGGATTACTGATCAATATATATGACTTGAGTTGAACTTTGCTCTATGACTTTTTCGGCAGCGTCTTCAATAAATCTTTCAAACTACTAATTACAGTGATCATCTTGAGTTGTTTTTTGATATTTTCCATCAGTTTGATAGTTAAATGTGTTGCATTTCCAAACATCGAACCGTGTAAAGAATGTGCAGATTTTCGTGCTTCAAGCTGATGCAGACAATGGAGTTCATTTACGAGCAAACACAAATTGAAATATGGTCTTACGAGAGGAGTGAAATGTGTTGAAAGCAATTCTATACATGACTGTCTGAGCCTCAGGAAATGAGACAGTCTTGCAGGCGGTGTTGTTAATTAGCAAGAAAAAGTGTTGAGAATTTCTTACATGAGAAATGTGTTGAACGACTTTAGCATTTCAAGCTCATCTGTATTTCCGATTTGTCATTTATATTGTTTGTTTGATTTATTTTTGAAATATTGGCACTAAAAAGGAAAATGTGCTATTTTGCCGAAATACCATTTAGGCAAAATCAATTACAAAAGCAGTCATGTCTTGGGCTATTTCCATTTCAAAACACTTTAATAGCAATTCACCTTCAGGATTTTATTTGTTTGAAACCCACCACAATATAATAGGATCTTTGATGTATTTTGAATTTAAAATCGCTGTAATTGTTTATCCTATTGCTGTATTTGCTCCTTATAGAAAACACTTTCTGAGTTTTTATACAGTTATGTAAGCAGGGAAAAAGTTTTGGGAGAAACTATAAAGTGCCTGGCAGTAGATTTGAATTTGCATTGCTGTGGATGTTAAATATTTCGATAATTATGTGAAATTTATTTTTTTCTTAAGAGTTTTGTTGATTATTTTTTAGGCGCTAGTTGATGGTCCATGTACCAACGTTACTCGTCAAGCTTTGGCATTCAAACACATGTCACTGACAGATTTTAAAATCAAGGTGCCTCGTTCTGCTGGCACTGGAATTGTAAAGAAAATCTTCCTTGAATCTGAAATTTCAGAAAAATGGGAAAAGACCGCATGGGCAAAGAAACTGGCAACAAGAAAGAAGAAGATGTCGATGACTGACTTCGATCGTTTCAAACTTAAGATTGCCAAGCAAAGGGTGAGTTTCATTGCAAATAAAAAATTTCATCTAAATTATGAAAAATTTAGCACCCACATATATTGTCAATTTCATTTGACCATCCCAGCTCATGAATGATGTAAACCAGATTTTTCATGATGGCTTTGCCTGTTTTTATTTTATGATAAATATAAGGCCACAAAATCTTGCGCTTCAGTTTGCTTATGTGAATTTTGTCATTGTGTAGAAATCAAGAATTTTGAAAGCTGAAGTGAAAAAGCTAAAAAAGGAATTGAAATAAGAAATGTTGAAGGAAAATAAAACATTAAATTTGTTGATGTTTAATTTGTGATATTTTGATTTCTACACTAGAGTTTTATTCCCCATTGGGTGAGGGGGGGGGTTGTCAGTGGTGGTTTCATAACCTTCCAGGGGGGGTGAGCTATAAGATACATAGATGAACATTGTAACTATTGATTTGCCAGGGGGGGGAAGAAATCATTGGTATAAATATTATTTCCCAATGTAAAATTTTCTGTAAAGCCATGGATAATATATTTTATTGATTGTAACGTCTCGTCTTTAATGATAATTGCAACATGTGTACTAATCATTAGACATTCCATGATGTTAATTACTAAATGTGAGGATTTTGGGGGTTAAGTGGGGTTTAATGGAATTAGATGAGGTTTAGTGGGATGGTGGTGGTTTGGACATTAAGAGGTGGGTTAAGTTTGGAGATGAGGAAATGTTCGTGAATGGATAGTTTCTGTTCGTCAAAATCAATGAAGTTATAAACACACTGGAGTTGATGAAGGTTTTGTCCAGTTAAAGGAGAGATTACCTTATGTCCAAACACAGCGTTACGATCTATAAAATATATTATCCATGGCCTTAGTAAATGTGTTGGGTTGGGCAGTAATATTTATGTTTGTAGATGTAGATCGTCCAGGTTGGTATAGTCCTGTGAAGGACTGTTTTTGTTGTTGTTGACTGACGTTTCGACAACCATAGCGGTAGTCATTTTGACTCTGAAGATGATCACCGCTAAGGTTGTCGAAACGTCAGTCAACAACAACAAAAACAGTCCTTCTCAGGACTATACTAACCTGGACCATCTACATCTACAAACATGTAACGATACTCCCGGGTTCAAACCATTAATATTTATACTAAGAATACATAGTTTAGTTGAATGTAAAGATTTTAGTTTCTCGTAGGTTTGTAGACTCCTCCCGAATTCATTTTGTAAATTCCTGCTCATTGAATAACGTAAACCTTACTTTCGTAAGTTGAGAATCGTAGGTGTTTTGCCTGGAGGCGGGGAGGGGGCGTCGCGCTTAATTTTTCCAGGAGATTTGATCAACTTGAATAGTTCGTGTTTAAATGGCAGAAAATGCACTGTATTCAAATCCTACTTTAATTCCGTGATTTCTTCTTCAGTCAAGTCGTAACGCGTCAATCATATTCATAGATACGACGTATGCACACGTGAAAGGGCAAAAAATCCAAAGTAAGAGACATCAAATTTACCATGCTAGAAAACTCCAATATAAATGTGCTATTTTCTCTAAGACTGAACGACTTCGTCCATTTATCAAAATGGAGCCTATCTCACTTTCCGTTTCATATGCCCATCATCCAACAGGCTTTCAGATCACAAACCTATTTTATGTTGAATTCTAGGATTATTTAATGCATCCTGAATTAAAGATTTATGAACGAGTATATGGTCGAAATCCTTCGACTGGGTTTGCGCGCGTTTAAACGAAATTTTAATTTTAAATTTATGGCCGACAGCTTCATGTATACAATTAATACAGGATCTTGATGATTTTGCAAAGTAGTTGGACTTGAGGAAAGTAGTTTTTCTAAATAAGTTTCATTTCCCTCATCTTTCAGGCTATTTTGTATTCATCTATACAGAATTCTTCAAATTAGAATTGGTTTATGTACGTTTCTATCTTATATCGACAGTAGATAATTTTATTTTTGAGTAGGTTCGCGCAAGAAGCTATTTTTGTTTTAATGAGTGGCGAGTCCACTGTGTGTCGACAGATTTTATTAGCTTATTGTAAATGGATGTAAGACTATTTATTTCGAAGAGATTTAAAAGAGATTCGTCTTCAGTCTAATGGCTGTACTAAAAATAGATTTTAAAAAGGAGATCACAATTCATTGAGATTTTTCTGTTAATTTATACGATCCCTGTGTGAAAAAACATCCTATCTCAATGTGACCCCATAGTCGCAAACTTGTCAACAAGTTTGAAGCAGAAAGATTAATGCTCATTGCTAACCAAGGTGGTATCTATCTATAGTCAATTTAAAAAACTTAGTTTCTACAATTCTTGATCGTTCCTATATTCAATGAGCGTCTTATTAGCGCCGAGTCAAAGCTTGCTTTTGTTTAGATGTAGTTGGTCATCGCTTCTTTTATCGATGATAGTCAATGTTACATAAATATTTGAAGGTCATTCGCCAGGGTCCAGCTGGTTTTCATTATTGTCTTAGCTTTAATTATATTTAGATTACGAACAACAACATAACAAAATCATCGAAACACAGACAATATAAGAAGCAAGGAAGGTTTTAGTTTTGCATCCATTTTCAACAAGCAAAGCTAGGAAGGAAGCATTTTACACCAGAAAAATTGGTGTAAAAGTGGTTTTCAATTTTGTTACTAAGGCATAACTATGCAGGCAGAAAACAAATTGTAATTATAAATATTGCAGTCCAGCAGAGTACAATACCTTGGTGTTAGTTGTATTTTAAAATTTTTAAATTAAAATTTCGGCTTCGATACAATTATCAGGATCTGTTTATAGTCAAAGCCAATTATAACACGAAAATTTGTTTTTCAACTTCACAACAAAGCATTCTATCAATATATTCCTTTTCTGCATTCTTTCTTTTCCAGTTTCTACTAAATTATAATGAAAAGTGGACGAACATTTTTCGAATCGAAAGGCTAAAGGTGGCTGGTATTTTTCACGCTCAGGACCATTAAACCTACCTTTCGTTGGGTTTGAATATCAGCCCACGACTGTAGTTTTATTTATGCACTCTCCAGGCTCTTAACAGTTTATGGCACAACAAAACAGGACGCTCTTTATTTCGTTATAAAGTTAAAATTCATGAGCCTTTTGAGGAAAAGCCGCTTTTCTTTAATATTCCGATGAAGAATTGAAGATATACAGTACACACCTAGCATTCATTAACAGACAATAACAAACACTTTAGAAGTTGAGTTCATAATTCACCTCTCCCCCAACTATGCATTGCTAAAGTTACTGTTGCTTGTTCGTCATTAGTCAAACTCACAACGAAAGCATTTTTTACCATTCATTAAATAAATTTTTAAAAAAATCATTTATTTAAAAGTTCGCCAACAGCTGGTCTGGCTTGCCCATTAGCAAGGTAAATAATGTTTACCGAATACTCTTAGACTGGAAGTCGCGTGTATATGAAAATGTCATTAGCTTCACCGACATAATCAAAAGAACTTCGAGAGGGTTGGCCTTACACCTGCTGCGCGCTATGCATTTTATATCAGTTGAAATATAAACAGGCGCGGCTTTCTTTGTAGTCAAAGACTCATAGTCAAGTTGTCAGAGAACGGTCTGCCCGATTACTCTTGCGGTCCCGTTTCTGGCGACGGATTAAAAAGGATTTCGCGTACTTTATCATCATGTACATGTAACATCGAAGCATCAACTTAGTTTGGATGTTATAGCGTCGTCAAACCTGATAACATATAGGTCAGTGAACTTCTTGCACTTTCTCTGCTTTTCACACTCTATTGTTACTGACGGTATTTATTGTTGAATTGACGGTGGACCACAGGACTGAGGACGTTAAGGAAGGGAAACGCGTTTTGTCTAGTGAATATATTTACGAGGTAAGCTCTCAGTCTATTTTTTAGTTTACTTCAATGCTTGGTTTTATGAAATCAGTCGATAATATAGAGTTGAAATGGCGCAATATATCAAATATTGTAACGGTATGTTGAAGTTTACTGTGGATTGACTGTAACTTCGCTCGATTTAAATTGTATTTATGGTCGACTTTCGTTTATTACATGCAATAAGAACCGTCTTCATTTTTAAAATTTTGAAACAAATTCATAGCGAGCGTGGTCTTGTTTTAAAATAACAGCCATATATGAGCGACAAATGATCGAATTTACCTTTGCAATAATATAAAGCTTTCTGTACTCAAAACGACTCTCGTGTGTTTTAAAATCTCACGTTTATTTCGTACGAGACAATGCTTATTGAATAAAGGCGGTGCCAAAGTGATTTATTTTATTATTCTTTGCAATCGTGATAAAATGCTGAGAATTTACTCAACGCATTCTTTCCACTTGTTGTCGAATATCCACTTCACTTTTGAAATGAGAATATATTTTAAAAAATGTTTCCATATCACTAAATGTCTAATCCGCCATTTCATTTTCTTCTATTGTCATGCAACTTTTCTGAATCGTTTTCTTTCAAATCTTATACATTCGACAAAAGAGAAGAAATATTTTATAGGCAGTTAGCATTGTTTTTCAGGAAACGACTGTCAAGCATGCAATGTAGGGTAATCTTAGTCAAGCTGTGCAATGTAGGGTAATCTTAGTCAAGCTGTGCAATGAATGGTTTACGCGTTCGTCTTCGTTATTCAAGCATTAAAATGAAACCAAATTCCGTCATTTGTCATTAGATTTATTATTTAAGCCGTTTGTTTGAATAGCAAACATGTTATACGTTAATTTGATAAGATTTATTGATCTCTGTGAAAGTTTCATGTCTATAAGAATTATCTTCTACGTCCTTCGAAACGATAATTCATCTTTGTTATCTTCCCTTATATATTCGCTTCTATTTTTAAATATTTGCATGTATGTGTGGGGCGTTATATTGAAGTCATTCATTATTTTTGAACCGATGCTTCCAGCCCAATTCGACAAAACGGTTTAAACAAACTTCCAGATAAAAATCAAGCAAACAAATTTATGAAAGTTTGATGACGTTTTCATTTACGGGTGACGGGTCTGCGTGAGAATGAACTAAAAGAATATTTCACAGACAACTGGTATGAACACATGTTTAATGTAAAAGTCTGTCACTCTGACCTAAAATGCAAGCTAAGCAACTTTTCACAAACATATCTGTCAACCAATGCAAAGATATTTTGTTTCAAGTGCTGCTTTGCAAGAATTATGCATTGGATAACATCGCTAAATGGAAGAATCGGTTTCTTTCTAGATAAACGAAAGTAAGAAACAGACAGTTACTCCAGGCTAATTGTTTTCAAATCTAAATACATAATGTAGCGGCTTTAAGCGATTATCACTGCCATAAATCACACCCTAAATTCTTTTAACTTTTCTTACCATTTAACAAAAACACAATTACTTTACGTCGTGGATATATGTACGTAAGAACAGAGAAGATTTTGCCTTTGTCTATTGCTTTATGGATGATATAAAATCGAAGAATAAAGCTTTATGTGTACTTTTTGTAACTATCGAGAATGAAATTTAATGAAACATATTTTTACCTGCTGATTACTGAAGGAATTATTAATAATACATATTTTTTACGTGGCTAGTTTTGTACCGTCTACCATCTGAGTGAACTAACCAAACTTGCGCTAACTTCGAATCTATCGTTTAAATTCATCTTGCCTTTCCTTGGCACAGTAGTTGTTGCAACCTTAACCTTAACTAAGTTGTCATTTTGTGTAAGGCGAGTCAATATTTCGTTTGAAACCTGTTATATGCAAATTTACTTTCTCATAGATCAGCTCAACCTTGGCCGCGCACATTTTTTATTTTTTATTTATTCTTTGCCACCCGTTGCCTTCAAGTTCAAATGCTTTTAGTCGCTTAGAAATGCTGTTTTGTAAATAAAAAACTTAAAGGTTGTTGTGTGGTGCTATCTATGCGTCCATTACAGGCAAAATGTGTGTTCAGCATCAACTTAATTTTAAAAAAACCACATCACAGTTTCTTGGTTCTTGTGCAGAATGTGATGATTAATGCTTGTCGGCTTAATGCACTCAAAGAATTGATAAGTAACAGTGAATTTTACAAGCAAAATGGATATGTAAGAAGTGTCCTATTATTGGGTTTTCATATTTATGCACAAGAAGGCAATTTGAGAGTTTGGCTATAAACAGTACAGGGTTTGATGAATGTAGTACAATTGATCAACTCCGTTCTGGTTTTCGAAATAGTGTATTGATTGAAGACTATCATGAAAAGATTTTATCTTTTTACAGAACTCGTTGACTTCAATGCTGACAACTTGTACGGAATGCTCGGTTTTTACGCATTAAAACCATCGCTGAAAATGGGAAACGAAGGCGCCAGAAACAACACAAATTCTCCAGAAAACGTTTTCAACAGCATACCTCGAAAAATGGTTTTAAAAGTCCGACTTTTTCCAAGAGAATCTCAGCCGTCGTCATGTACCAGTTGGTGGACAATAACTGTTAAAGGAAAGGGGTTTTTTAAGCGTGATAAACACAGCGTTGATGTTATCGCAAATGTCGGTACAAAAACCTTTCATGCAAACGACGCAAAGTTTTGCATGAACAACGAACAACTCATTTTTCACGGTCGTCTTGAGGACGGCACGAAAGAAGGCAGGCATTTTGTTCTACGACTGCGTGAAAGCAATCCACGGCAGATGTGTTCAAACGAATACTCTTTATATGATGGCACACTTGCAAGATCTTCTGTACCTTTTCTCCCAAATGAAGAGTGCGGTTATGAAGTAACTCATGATGCTGTTGTTTACCCAGAATAATCCTCAAAACTGACATTTTTATAACAGAAATTGCTCCCTGAGTCGGTTCCTGATTGGGGCATTACTCCTCTATCGAAATTCGATGACATTAACTTTTCAAATTTGACGTCAAATTTAATTCGTTATCGTTGCAACGAAGATGACATTAAGTGTCTTTATAAAGACCAAAGAATTCTGATTATTGATGCGATCCACTACGAAAAGCCACGTCTTTATTAAGTTCTGAGAACGTAATTGGTGATTTTCATTGTTGATAGTAATGATTCTCTGTAAAAATCTTTAAATTAATGCAATTGTAATATTGTGTAAGCAATGAATAACACTTGTCAACGGTCACAGGTTGATATATTTTGTAGAAAATATTCAATTATTTGAATTTACTTCCTTAACTTCTGCTAAGTTGGAAAAATACTTAGCATTAGGAGCTAGAGCATTATTTGTAACTAAATTTCAGTTTATCCTTTATTAAAAGTATTTATTTGAAGTTAAATGCGATGTTCTTCGTTCATCAAAATAGTCGGAAAAATCCTCTACCTCTCTCGATCTCTACGCGAGCAGAGCTTTCTCGCTGTCATTTTGGCAGATGGAAACCATTTGAATTCAATCCAAGATGGCGGTCCCAATGGACAACGAAGGAAGACACGGTCATTGCTTGTTGTTTTATGATACCTTTAATCATGAACATAACGAGGTTTGAATCCTTTTGATAATTTAGCTATTAAATTTTCTACACTATTTTTCTAGTAAACTGATCATTAGTGGTTAGATACTTGCAAAAATTTCTTTTGAAAACCAAGGTTTTCGATTTCACGTTTTTCCCCAAATGAGAATCTCGTCATTTTAACCTGAGATCTCTTGTGGATTTTGAAGTGCAGATGCGACAAAATTTTGCAAATTACTTGGATTATCTGATTATTTCTAATAATTATTTTGTTTGCATAGGAAATGCATTTAGATTTGGTCAGTTTTCGCAGTCCTGTCTGCATTACCGAAGTTCGTGTCATTCCAAATGGCGCAAGACCTCATGTTGCTATTGATAGACTTGGGTATGAATGACTTAACGTGTTCCATACTGGAGTAAACTTCCCACCCTCCCTCGAGATTAGTTATATGTGTGCATAAATTACTACTTTTCACAGAATTGCTCACCCTATGTTTTGGTTTTACTGTAAGAATTTTATGTTCCATTGTGTATGAATGAATGTTGGCATGTGGACAGACTGGTGTACTTTCGTAGCACTTCTTGTTCTCTATAAATGACTGTGAAGGTGTTTTGTCGCCTTAGTATTTTAACAATATTTCTTTTGTAGACATACATAGTTTAGTTGTAGTTAAGGTAAATGGTTTGAACCCAGGAGTATTGTTACATGTTTGTAGATGTATATCGTCCAGGTTGGTATAGTCCTGAGAAGGACTGTTTTTGTTGTTGTTGACTGACGTTTTGACAAACTTAGCGGTAGTCATCTTCAGAGTCAGAATTCAACTTTTACTTGTAAAAATACTATGATTGTGCACTTTTATTGTAGTTCATGTCTTCTTCCTGTTTTATTTGCAGTGAAACTCATCCATCTTCTTTCAAACTGGAGCTGTTCAATAGAAACCTAAACAAATCACAGGCAGTGACATTTGAAAAACTTGGAGTGTAAGTTTGAAAGAAATTGATTTCATCTACATTAGAACCTATGTTTGGCAAGCACCCTGTAGCCCAGAAAAAAATAGTTGTAATAATTATCTCACCATTCTCCAAAACCTCTAAAGTTTATTTTAAGTCCTATATCATATATTGATCATGTTTACTTGATTATTTTAAGGTTGGATTATCATGAAGCATTGAATTATCATTTGAACACAAATTCAGAGGTATTGAACATTATGTATAAGCTAAATCCAGGTACATGATCCTTGCTAGCAATTCTCAATGCCTATATGTTGCTTATATGAAGTTTATTAGAAATTTGATTGTCTCCAATTTTTGTGGGCTTCTTAACTCAATATCTTTATAAGATTCTGTCTGCCTGTACCAATTGAACATTCATTCAAAAACTAGAACATCTGCTTGATATACTCTGTTATTAGAATGTTATCACAAACCAAAGAGTTGCATTATTCAAAAGCAATTTATTAAATCCGATTAAGTGTTAGTTTAAAATTTTGCTTCCTGTAAGGTAAAGAATATAATGTCATCAGACCTTCGAGAATGGTAAATTTTTCAAAAGAAAAGCGTTGACAACTTATTCTGAGCACCAGATGCAATGATATTAAAGTATTGAACATTTTGATAGTTTCTGAGTCTGCCATTCGAAGTTAAATTTTTTTCATTTGAAAATTTTGCACACTGTTTATATGTAACTTGACCTCTATCTTCCTTATCACAAAAATTTCAATCACAAGGTTAAATAGTTGGAATGTTATTAAACAAAAAGAATGATAGCATGATGCTATAACCAACAACTACAAACAATAACGACCTTATCTAACAGTTGAGAAATTAACCTTCCACTCCTCTTCCTTGTAAACGAGACAAATCTACTCAAAAGCAGAAAGCTTTTACGCTACAAGTCCTGGGAAAGGACCATACCGGTCACAAGCCCGGGACTTGTAGCATATAAGGCTCTCTACTTTTGAGAAGACTTGTCTCGTTTACAAGGAAGAGGAGTGGAAGGTTAATTTCTCAAAAATTTCAATATCTGATCATTCAAACACACAGGCGGCTACAGATGTGGTTGTGTTAAGAGGATGGTATACAAAACTCACTGTCTGTCTCTATGGTTACCTCACAAAAATTCAAGAACCTTTACCTGTAACCACTCCAACTGAACCCCAACCCATGCCACCTTCAGGAGAAGTTATTTCTTCTACTGTTAAAGATGAAGAGGCTAAAGGTTTGTTGTTGTGTGCTGTGTGCTCTTGGTTTTCAATTTTAAAACTTTTTTGCTACTTGTATGTTAAATTACACTTAGAACCAGTGGAGATTAAGAAAGAAGAAGAGCAAGTTGATGTTGAGGTGAAAACTGAAGATAAGGCGAAGGTTGAGGAAGCTGTAGAAATTAAGAAGGAAGTCGAAGAAATGAAAAATATTGAAGAAAAAGAAAAAGACAGTCCGCAAATCAAAAAAGAAAAGGGAGTTGAAGAAAATGTTGAAGTAATTTTCAATTTTAGTTTTAAAAGAATGTGATCTGATGTTGGAACTTGAGTTCTTATATACTCCAGTCTAATGTCTTCATCAGGAGTGATCTGATGTTGGAACTTGAGTTCTTATATACTCCAGTCTAATGTCTTCATCAGGAGTGATCTGATGTTGAAACTTGAGTTCTTATATACTCCAGTCTAATGTCTTCATCAGGAGTGATCTGATGTTGAAACTTGAGTCCTTATATACTCCAGTCTAATGTCTTCATCTGGAGTGATCTTTTGTTGAAACTTGAGTCCTTATATACTCCAGTCTAGTGTCTTCAGGAGTGAGCTGATGTTGAAACTTGAGTCCTTATATACTCCAGTCTAGTGTCTTCATCTGGAGTGATCTGATGTTGAAACTTGACTCCTTATATACTCCAGTCTAGTGTCTTCATCTGGAGTGATCTTTTGTTGAAACTTGAGTCCTTATATACTCCAGTCTAATGTCTTCATCTAGAGTGATCTTATGTTGAAACTTTAGTTCTTATACACTCCAGTCTAATGTCTTCATCAGGAATGATCTGATGTTGAATCTTGACTCCAGTGTAGTGGTGATGGGAAGGGGGGCTGTGGTGGCAAAACCAATTTATTTCTGATATATGTATATTTAGGATGAAGTAAAACAAAGTCCAAAGAAGTCTCCTGAGCCTGTCGACGATTTGTTCGAACCGCTGACACCAGATAAGTCGCCCACTGACCTCTTTATCTCGGATGAAGAAGATTTAGAGCAGGTTTTATAACATGAAGCAACCTCCATTCATGCTTCTCGAGGCGTAGTTTACTAATTTCGGCCATTTTGCTTTTTAGGATGGTTATGAAGCAATTCTTAGCGAGGAAGAGGTATGTGTTTTATTCTTGCTTTTCCACTCCACGGATTTTCAACTCGTAAAGTAAGGCCTAATTCCACAGTTATAACTATAAATATTTGTGTTTGATAACGTTGGGCAATCACAACCGTTTCTATTCATTATGGGGAGGGGGGTGGTATCAAGGTAACTTGTAGCTAATATCAAGTTATAATAGTTGGGGGGGGTGGGGTGGGGACAGTTCAGTAATGGTAATTCATGGTTATGCATCTTGAATCAGAGATAAGTATTCTCCATCATACGAAAATCACAATTCATCTTTCCGACGGTAAACGCGTGGGTAAAATATACGTGATCAAATTAAAAAATCGAATGGTCGGACATACTATTGTTTATGTAGAACAGTGCCAATAAAATGGTTAGGGGATGATTTTGAATTTTGGGCATTTGTGAATATGATTCTAGTTATTCAGAACGATTATTTATAAAGGCCGAACAGTGAAATTTTTAACCATTTTGCGTAAGAAAAAAGCATAACGATCAAAGGAAAGGTTGAATACTGGCATTGTGTCGCGCTAGAAACTATTATGAAAAAGTAGATAGTCCTTTTTTCCACGAAGCCCACGGATGCTTTCGTTCATGATGAGAGAGTTGTATTGTATAAGGAGGCTCTCGTTCATCACGAGAGTTATGAGAAAGTTACATTGTAAAAGGTATCATGTAAAAAACGTATAAATATGCTTAGAGTTGGTGTAAATTATGAGTCAAAAAGGCAGAAGTTGTTTGAACTTTTGCAGTATTCTTGGATGTTTGGATGTTCTAGTTTCTTTTATGGAAAGAATTCTTGTAAAAAAAAACAAATTTTGAAAACGAAAAATTCCGTTTTCGGTCCATGCCTCCCGATATCCCGAGATAGTTGAGCTCTAGTGCGTCGCATGTTAACTAAGGGAACCAGATAATCCTTGTTTGCCATGAGGATTATGGATGGTTTGCTCGTGATGCATGAGAAACAGTAAATGAGAGAGTTAAATCAGAAAGATCTAAAGCAGGGGTCTCCAAACTACGGCCCGCGGGCCAGATGCGGCCCGTTGGGCTTCTCAATCCGGCCCGCAGAGGCACTTAAGAAAAATAATAATATTATTAAACAAAATAAATTTTGTGCAGAAAGTTCACGTTATGTCGCAAGCCAACTAGCAAGAGTGGCTTACGTCAATTTTTCTCCCAACTTCCTACTTCCGTTTCAAGCACATTGTGAAATTTAAAAAGCTGAAGGATAACGTGGAAATTTTTTATATTCTTCGGCCCTCAACATGCTTGATGAAAGTTCATGTGGCCCTCTGGCTGTAAAGTTTGGAGACCCCTGATCTAAAGCAATAAAAATTGTATAAAACACGTTGAAGGTCGTCTTATATTTTAGGTGTTAGAAAAAGGCACAGTGTCAGAAGAAGTTAATTAAAACATTGCTTGGTTTATTTTATGAGAAAAAATAAACAAAAAGATAAAATTCGAAAGCAAAAAACCCCGTTTTCGGTCCATGCTTCCCGATACCTGCTTAAGCCGAGGCACTAGAACGCCGCATGTTAACGTTTCGGTAGGAGATTTCGGCCCCTCCACGCTATCCTACTTGGGAGATGCAATAGCAAGCTTCCGCCCATCAGACCCCGAGATCACCTGCGATAGGCTTTGCTCGGGGTACGCAGGGAGAGTGCGGTCGCGACCCGAAACGTCTGGACCCCTAAGCCACTGCATACATATCGCACCCAGCTTCCACTGCTAGTTGACATCTGCTATACCTAATATTGGCTTTATATATATATACCAAAATTCAGAGGCTTACGAAAGTTGTGGTATTATTAAAGTCACTGCTGCGCATGCTCAGATGATTTCTTCGTTAATTTGCGACTAAGTGAGCTAATTGCCACAAATGTTGTGCAAGTACTTATAGTTAGTCGTTGCCATGACTATGAACAATTAGTCGAGTGGACTGCGCATGCTCCAGCGCATGCGCAGATGATTTTTCTATTAAATTGTTTCTTAGCATGCTATTTACTTCAAGATCGGTGCTCGTAGATGCAGTTGGTGGTTGCCATGACCATGAACTTGGGCAGCTGGTCAAGTGGACTGCGCAAGCTCGAACAGACTGCGCATGCGCAAATGTTTTATTTGAAAATTTGTGACTGAGGGAGCTATTTACTTCATAATCGTTACTAGTACATCCAGTTGGTCGTTACCATGAACTCGGAGAGGTGGTGGAGTTGACTACGCATGCTCAGATTAATTCTCAATTAATTTGTGACAGAGCGTGTTCTGAAATTGGTGCTTGTAGATGCGCTTAGCAAATTTTCAATGATATATTTTCGGCATGCTCTTTGTCTTCTTAAGCTTGTTTTGAAAAATGCATATGAAACTCATCAACACTTTGTTACGGCACTCGTAATATATGCGACAACTTTGAAATGCTGTATTTTTCTCTATAACTTTGTACCTGCATATTGCATGTCATATCCAGGCCTTAATTTGATTTGATGGAAAATGATTTTTATTCACTCTTACACCTTCTGCCTTTATAATTAGTCGTTCTGTATTTTTAAAATAAGATTTACAAATCCCCCAAGAGCATCATCATTCTATGTTATTGCCACTATTCTACATATTCATTGCTATATCCGACCATTTGATTGTCCGAATTTTGTAAATTGTTCTCTCATTTTTGACATGTTTGTTTACCGTCGAAAAGGTGGATTGCTTTTGCCAGATCGTTTGGTATATTATAATTTTGCAGTGAATTTGTTATTTCTCCTGCATCAACTCCAACCGTGGCTTGGAGTTGTGCCCATTCATCCGAATCTCCAGTAAATTTACCCCTGATAAAGAAACGATTATAATGTTCATTTCCATTTTAGATTATGGATGACGATAGACCTTTCGATGATACGGTAACTTAATTTTGTTTTCAATTATAATGATGTTTGTGTAGGAAAAATTCAATTGTTCCTTTATGGACAAAATGTACTTGCTAGGACGGTCTTGATTTCCAGTTGTATGGAGAAGACACTTGGATGTCTGTATCTGTCAGTTTTAATCCATATCAATGTGATCTTTCCTCCCTGAAGGTAATGAAAAGTTCATGGCTTTGTATCGTTGTTGTCTGTCTATTTGTATGTTTTTCGCAAATTATTCGACCTTAAAATCTGTTCGAAATTGCACCACCAACTTTGTGTTTTGTTTTTTAGTCATTTCCTGAAGCCAACCCAGGTACGGTTTTAAGTTGACAATTGAAGTTTTAACGAGGTTAAAATGGCGGGAAAGGCTGAAAAATATTTTTTTGTTTTTACCACAGCACAACGTGAGACGTTAGGTCTTTTTTCTATAATTTGGAAACTCCTTTATGATTTATTTTGTATAATTTCTAGCCTCTTTGCTTTCCGTAGAAATGGTCGACCAACAAAGCGTAAGTGTAGATGAGTTCGTGTTGTTTTATTTACTAAATTCATCGAATTATTAAAGTCGATGTTTATAGAACGTATACATTTAACGATGTATTGTTTGTACTTTAGATTGAAGAAATGGAAAAATTACTTGAAGAATATAAAAACGAAGAAAAAACTGCCAAGTTAGTTAGTTTTGCTATCGCACAAAGCAAAGTTATATACACAATACAGCCAAAAAGTTATTTACCATTATGTAATGAGAAAATGCGTCCAGTCAAATACTTCTCGAATACACCCCCCCCCCTGGGAAAGGCCAGAGTAGTGTGAACCCTCCTGCACTGCAACTACATATCTCTGACATAAAGTATAACACTAAAATTCCTTTATCTTTAAGGTCTGTAGAACTTTTGGGTAACATCAGTGATTCAAAAATCATTCCTACGGTAAAATACTTCGTTAATTTTGATTTTCAAACTCTACAAAACAAATGCACTGCATGAAATAAAGTTTTCAATATAACTTTTTTTCTTTTCAGCTTTCTGCTTCCTTTGTACGTAAAGGTAAAGTCGTTCGTATTTTTTTGTTACTGACACATTCGAGTTTCGTTCTTTCGAAGTCATTTCTCTTGGAATCTATCCCACAGACTTGTTGCTTACTTTGGTTGATATTGCAATGGACGCCATTGATCTTGACGAAGCCCAAAGTTTTCCCATTGCTGTAAGTCTTTCTTTTATGGGTTGTTATGTATCTCTGTTTCCTTATTTACCTGTAATGTGTTGATATGTAATCGACAAATGCATTAAATTTTGCTCTTGTCTGTTCACGGTAAATGGTCACTGCTCTGAACAGATAACGGAAAAATGTGGTTTTTTGATGTAAAAAAAGACGAAAAACCTACAAAATGTATGGTGGCAAAAGAGCAAGTTGAAAATCTTCGATTCCAACGTTCAAAAAAAGGATTTTTTGTTGCTTTTTTCTTTTCATTTTCATCTATAGATCGAACTGAATCTTCAAAGTTTTCGTCTAATTCAGTAATAAAGTCTATTAAGAATCTTTAAAAATTTTCTTTTTGTTTTTTTTTCTTGAAAATGCGGCTAACTCATGTGACGTCATTCCGTGTTCTAGCGCTCTCATTGGCCATGGCTCTTGACCAATCAAATTGCTTCATTTCTCGATGTTATTGTATAATGTACTTCATGAATGTATGTATTTAGGCCAACATTCGTCGCTTGAAGTTCGGCATGAATCTCGTTTCACAGCTTTGCGAGAGCGGGGACAAAACCTGTGAAATGTTAATTGTAAGACATGATGTTTTATTTTACTTGCACGATTATATAGGAAAAACTTGTGGAAAGCTATCTTTTTGTTTTATTTTACAGGCAAAAAACGTCCAAGAAAAGTTGTTTGATTTGTTGAACGCACAGCACATGTCTTCATCTGTTAAATTGGCTGTTTTGCAGGGTAAATGAAAGAAAAATGGATGAAATGATTTGTAAATCGTTTGCTCATTGTAATGCTTATTTTGCAGCTCTTCATAGTTCTGTTGAATATCCTGTTGGGATAAAAGCTCTTGTCGAAAGGCAAAAACAGGTAGACTCACTCTAAATGTTTTATAAACGGTCACTCAGCTATTTGCCTTGGACAAGACGACTTCTGAAAGACTATTTGATCTTGTGAAACAATTTTACCATAAGCTAACTAACTCATCTTGTTTCGTTCGGTGTTTTTACAGGATAAGACGGTGGAAAGTAAGAAAAACGGTTATGAAAAACTCATTGAATTACTTCTATCTGAACAAGTAAGAATGTAAAAATTATATTTTGTTCTCGACTTCACTCGTATCGTATCGTATCGTATCGTAACGTAACGATTCGGTGAGCATGCGTGGTTTGAAGCTTTATATGAAGCTGTTGTGTCGAAGTTGAAATCGAGCTAGCATTTGTTTTGATCAAAAACTCTTTTGTTTGTTTTTACTGTTTTCTTTGACACTCGTCATTACCTGCATTTAGGTAAAAGCACTATTTAAAGTCAAGTGTCGTTAGAGCCTACGCTGTTTACATGTGTTTTGATAGTGAAAAATTAACAAGAACTATTTCGCGTCTACCTTGAAATCAAAGGCGATAAATGTCATGACTTTTAATTCGCACAGAGACAATTCTGCCCTAAAGACAATTCTGTGAAATCTTTTTGCCTTAAAAAGTGCAATTGCCATGGTGAATGGGCAAAAATTAAGTTATCAACGTTTCTTAAAATGAAGAGAAAACGAAGAGCTCTAAAGCTTAAAAAAAAGTCAAGAAACCCAGAAGAGAACAGAGAAACCGTAGAGTTCCTAAAAGAACTGTTTTAGGAACTCCTGGGTCGATGTTCTGATTCTACGTCAAACATTTTTGTTTCAGAACCATTAAGTTTTTCTTCGTTTTTTCTTGAGTTTCTTTGTTCTCTTCTGGTTTTCACAACTATCGGAAACTGTATTATCGGGCATTTACAATGGCAATTGCGTTTTTCAATTTGTAAATGTCGGGAAGGATAAATTCTCTGTTATATTCAAAATGACGCCTTTTTATCTCTGGCTTTTTAGGCTATTCGTGTGATCGCAGCCGGCACGAGTTTGATCAACAGAGTGCATATTTATGAAATGTTAGGCAATCTTCAAGAAACCGTTGACAGGTTTGTTGACATTCACAGTGATTTAACATAAGAAAGCCATTGGTTTGGTCGTAAATTTCTTCCATTGGAAACAATTCTTAAGTTCTATTGATGATTTGCCGGCAATTGGAAAATGGTAATATGACTTGTGATTTCGAAGAATTACTCTCTTGTTGCTGATTAAGAGGTCTAGGAATCTCCAAATATAATTGCAAACCAACTTTTACCGCCATTTCATCTTCCTTTCCTTCTTTCTAGTATTATAACAAACACGAGCGTCCTAATCCAGTCGAGGAAGGACACAGCTCAAAGTAACCATGACGACAACGAAGGCAATGTCGATGTGGACGAAGAAAATGGCGTCATTGATCTACAGGATTTTGTGAATGCCGAGCAGGAGGAAATAATCATCGGTTGTCTCGAGGAAGTGTTCAACGTTCTTGTGAACGCAAAAGATTTGTTGGTAAGCTTTTGCTGAGAAGAAATGTGAAATATACTGGGATGTACGCAGACCGAAGTATGGCTTCCTTCTTCTTTTAGATCCATTCACATATGCAGTCATTTCCAAAATGCGTGAAAGTTTCGTCGACCGAAAGGGAAACAAAAACCCGCACACTATCCTTTATCGAATGTTCACGGACAGGTGAGAAAACATCCAGGTCATATAGAGATAAGAGGAAAACAGGCAGCGTTAAGTTTGCAAAATATTCAAGCTTAAGAAGTCTTCCACCATAAAGATAGGTTGCACGAAGCGTGGATAGCGTTATCCATTGGATGGTAAAAATTTTCAAACTTGTAAAAAAGATGTTTATGTTTTTCTTAAGACAAAGAAATTTCGTACTCATCGAGACAATATTTGAATTTATTGATGGCTCATTTTGGAATCTTATGTTTTTTGCTTTTTAAAAGATTTGATAAAATCTTAAAAGAATTGCTATCTTATGGATAACGCTATCAAGGCTTCCGGCAACCGGCTCCAGGTTTTTAAAGTAACCTATCAGATTGCAGCTATTTAGTCACGTGGACCGTTCGTCAAATACCCCGTTTGTCATATCCTTTTTTTTATCCAGAAAACTTCTTCCATCGATTCTTGTCTTGTTCAGTACTCCAGTTGGATTTATTCCGCCAGTGTTCACAGCTATAAGGGATATCTTCTTTCATCTACTCCAGTCACACGAAGGTCAGTGGACTTGGCAGATAATTACATTCGTGGAAATTGCTGAAGAGAGCTAGGAAGAAATATTTCTTTAAACTCACTTCAAATGACTTGAAACCCGACGATTTTACTGCCGAATATTAACTACAGCAAAGTATGCTTTCTGTTTGGAACTTTTGACAATTTCAAATCGCCAGAACCAGCTACAAGTCCTAGAATCAGCGTTTTACACAAGCACAACAGTATTTGAAAAAGAAAACGATTAATAATGAAATGAATCGAATAAAAACTTTCCACATGAGAATTTTTATGAATGATTTGAAGTTCTAATTCTTTTATTTCCTTTTTAAATTCTTGTTTAAGGTTTGCTGTATCTCTCATCTGACCCAGACTCCACGAATGAAATCATAAGGATATTGGCGCAGACTGTAAGCATACTCTCATACTTTTTAAAGCATTGTGTTGTGGGTAAGGACGTCGAATTGAATTTGTGAGAAATCCACGATGAAACAGGAAATATTGTTCTTTTGTACTTAGGGTAAAAGTGGGTTATTAAGAAAGACTGAGGGTCGCGTGATTTTTAAAAGAAATTAATCGTTGTTTTATGGTGTATTGTTTGTTCACCACAATGATTTAGAACCCAATCCTCTAGATGTCTAAATACCGTTTGAAGGTTGAGGCAAAGTCGCCATCTTGAAAGGCGGCAAAAAGCAAAATTCAAAATTAAGTTCAATTAAAAATTAAACCCAGACTATTAACACTGCAACTGTTTATCAACTCAGGAATTAGTCGTAAATATCGTCAGTTTTACCACCTTTCAAGATCGCGGCTTGCCCCACTCGCAACTGTAGAATTTCGGCTGAGTCAGGTATTTATTAGATTGGGTTCTAAATCACCTGTTTATGACCTTACTTACATTTACTTCATAGGAAACAGATTTTCACTACAGCGAATCTCCATCGTTACAAGTATGTTGTTTAACTTACGTATTGTGTTCGGTTAAACCTTTTTAAAAGATAGTTTGTTGTCTAAGTTTTCCTTGTTGTCCACATCAGTTTAATATCTTTCCATCTGTTTGTTCCCAGGACTTTCTTCGTGATCCGAGTGCAGCTGATCATTGCACTTCACAACATTTGGGTTTGCTTTTGATATACCATCTACAGGTACATTATTTCGTCCGTTTGTATACGTCAAACTTTTTCGTAGTCTCAAATAGAAATTCATCAGATTTTTTGCCTCAGGTCCAGAAACAGCGACATGACACTTCATAAAGGCTAAAAAATATGTCAGGACACGTTTTATGTCTGGTTGTCATATCGATGTGTTGTCGCTTTTACCATCTTATTATTGTCGTGTTATCGTCATTTTATCGTCATTTTATCGTCATTTTATCGTCAGACGAGTCTTGCCCATTGCTGTCATTTGTTTAATTTTAATTCAAAAAACATTTTTTCTTTATTCAAGACATTACAAGCGATCGACCAATTAAAATCTTCACACGGCCCTGGTAAGAAGTTTTGAATGTAGTCATGTGAAATATACCACTAACACAATCGTTTGAGAGGTAGAAATACCTTAAAAGAGCAAATTCTTTCATCATCATGCAGCCAGGTAGTTTATCAATTGATCTTAGTACGAATTTACATGGCTATCAAGCTTTGCTATCAAGCTTTAAACATTTAAACTTTGAAGTTGCCAACATATTTACTTAGACTGCGTGTCTTCATATTGAAATACATCATGTATCGTAGTGCTGTACCGGGAATATCTTTATTTTATTTTCATATTTAAAGATTTATCCGGCGTTGATTTGGATGGTGCCGATATTTTGTCGACCCTACATTCACTTTATTCAATGACATTCACTGCTTTGGGTAAGTCGTTAATGTTTAGATAACCGATTGTGACTTGTCAACCTATGAATCACAAAGAATAAGCCAGGCAGTATGATATAATGGGTATTTATAAAGTATTAAGCTGTGTGTTAGCTAACTCATTGCTTCTACCGTATTTGTATTGACATCAGTACAAACATGTCGGGTTTTTTTGTAGTATTTGTGTTTCTGTGTTGAGTTTTATTTCTGTTATGATGTTGTAGTGTTTCTGTGTTGTAATGTTGTGTAGTTGTATTGTTACTGTTTTGTAATGTTGTGTAGCTGTAGTGTTACTGTGCTGTAATGTTATGTAGTTGTAGTGTTTCTGTGTTGAGTTTTATTTCTGTTATGATGTTGTGGTGTTTCTGTGTTGTAATGTTGTGTAGCTGTAGTGTTACTGTGCTGTAATGTTGTGTAGTTGTAGTGTTTCTGTGTTGAGTTTTATTTCTGTTAAGATGTTGTAGTGTTTCTGTGTTGTAATGTTGTGTAGTTGTAGTGCTATTGTGTTATTGAGATATGGTGTTGTGTCTATAGTAACGATCTAAATAACGATGTTCTTCGTATGAAATTCACAGGTAAAGCAGCTGTCACAAGTGTTTTAGGAATGGGCTCGAATTTAGAATGTTTGTTACCATTTGTTGAACATGCAGGTACATTGTTTTTTATTGAGTATAAATTCGTAGAATCCCCTCTTGAAAAGTTACATTTTTACTTTTTAATAACCAAAAAAATACTCTACGGTGAGTCTTTGGACAATAAATTCCTTAATGACGCGTCGTTTTCACATCTAGTGATTTCGTTTAGAAAAGTCAAACTTCGACGTCAAGGACTCAAAGTCTAAGAAAAGCGTTTCCAGTAAATATGCGTCAGTACTGATTCTCTTAACAATTCAAGGTACAGTCTTGAAATGTGATTTTTTTGTGTGCGTCCTTTTTTATGTTCTTTTTTATGTACTTATCATAAATTACTGCTTCAGCATTTTAATGTACTCGTTGATTTTACTATGTAAAGATGTGCAGGAAAATAATTAAGTGTGCAGACAGGATGAGAAATCTTTCAGGGGAAAACGAGCGGAAGCAATTTTTTCACTTTGTAAATACAGAAACTCGCTACATGTTTGGAAAATTATCTTAAAAGATAAAACGTAATTTCTTTGGTTCTCCTGTGTATGTAAAGCAGTAGGCAACGTGTGATTTAGTCAACGAGATAGTTGAAATAGAAATACAGTCAACCTTTGTTCAAGATAAATTTAAACTATGGGAATTTTTCTTTGTTAAGGTTTGGAAAATGTCAAACTTCTGAACCAGTTTGGTGAGAGGATGTGGAAAATCGGAGAAGGTAAGTTCCAGTACTTGTGGCAAAGTAGTGAAACACCACTGAACTAAAATACATGGAACGCTACCTGTAATAGAAAAGTCTAATAAATTCTTGAAGCCAAATTTTACACCCAGACACGCGAGATTACACCCAGACACGCGAGATTACACCCAGACACGCGAGATTACACCCAGACACGCGTGTGTAGTCAATCAATTTTCAGAATCTCGAAACGCACGCGTGTCTGGGTGTAAGATTTTGCTTCAAGAATTTGCTTTAGGTAGCGTTCCATGTATTTTAGTTCAATGTGAAACACCAATTTAATTGTTTTAAAAAGATGGCGCTGCTATTCGACCCACTCTTTCTTCGTCTTCAATTACTTAATCTTACAATGAAATATTTCACGCTCAATTTTGTGTTGATACAACACTCTGGGGCGACTCATCGACAGAAAATTCATTTGTTTCTTTGTTCGCGCTGTTGTGTTAATTTGATATTAAAATGAATGATTTGAACCCAGGAGTATCGTTACATGTTCGTAGATGTAGATCGTCCAGTTTAGTATAGTCCTGAGAAGGACTGTTTTTGTTGTTGTTGACTGACGTTTCGACAACCTTAGCGGTAGTCATCTTCAGAGTCAAGTGCTTTGTCGTTCAAATGATCGTAAAAAATTAAATGCTTTGAACTCGGAAGTATTGTTAAATGTTTTTTAGATGGTTAGTAGTCAGTTTCGAAATGAATATGACTATTGCAAAGGTTATCGAAACGTTAGTCAACACCTACGTCCTTCTCAGCACTTCACTAACCTCGACGATCTACATCTACAAACATTTAGTCCACTATTTAGTGATATTGTTTGTTATGTTAGATAAAGAGTCGGCTTTAGGACAACTTAGTCACTGGCTTAGTCCCGTCAAGGATCTGAACTTCGAAGTAATGTCGGTACCAGTGCTTCTAGAGTACGTCAAAAGGTGAGAGAAAATACTGAATTGTCCTTGTTTGAACTTCCTCTGATTTCGTGATCTTTGATAAGAACTTCACTGAGGATAAATAATCTTTTATAACGCAATGTTTTCTGCAAAAACTTTGTAAACCGAATAAGGTGTTAAAGTATTACTTAACTTTTACTAAACCAAGATAAACCAACAAAAAATCATCAAACAATTATGAACTATTTAACCATCATTAAATCATTATAAAATATCATTAAACCATCATTAAACCATTATAAAATATCATTAAACCATTATTAAACCATTATAAAATATCATTAAACCATCATTAAACCATTATAAAATATCATTAAATCATTATTAAACCATTATAAAATATCATTAAACCATTATTAAACCATTATAAACTATCATTAAACCATCATTAAACCATTATAAACTATCATTAAACCATTATTAAACCATTATAAAATATCATTAAACCATTATTAAACCATTATAAACTATCATTAAACCATCATTAAACCATTATAAAATATCATTAAACCATCATTAAACCATTATAAACTATCATTAAACCATCATTAAACCATTATAAACTATCATTAAATCATTATTAAACCATTATAAAATATCATTAAACCATTATCAAACCATTATAAACTATCATTAAATCATTAATAAACAATAATAAACTATCATTAAACCATTATAAACTATCATTAAACCATTATAAACTATCATTAAACCATTATAAACTATCATTAAACCATTATAAACTATCATTAAACCATTATTATACCATTATAAAATATCATTAAATCATTATTAAACAATTATAAACTATCATTAAACCATTATTAAACCATTAGAAACTATCACTAAACTATCAAAAATTATCAAAAGCATCATTACACATTGCACCATTATTAAACAATTGTAAGTTATCATAAAACCATACAAACTTTTATTGACGTTGTCAATGCGATTATTTCAAATTATAAGTAGCCCCTTGATGGCCACTGACGACTTTCGTAACTTTATAAACATAATAAAAGCTCATAGACTTGTTTAGTTCAAACGGTGAAGAGCCATAATCATCTTATAGCGTCTTGTTTCGTTTCTCTATTGCAGTAAAGTGGATGAATTGAGTCAACCGAACGTGGCCTGCGGTATACTAACAGCAATTCGTGTAATACGTTATCTTACTGTACCAAAACGTACCAGCTCTGTTGAAGGTGAATGTCGTTCTTTTTTCCAATTGTTTCATAGCTTAATGCCTTAATCTCTCTCGATTTGCGTATTTTTGTTATTTGGCGTCTTTTCTTAGTCGTATCCCTATGTAGGCATGCTCTTATCTTGTCTAATCATGGTCTTAATACTCCTTTTCTTATCCTAGTTTCATCCTTAATTATCCCAGTCTTATCCCTATCTGATCCCAGTCTTATCGTCTCATTATCTCCGCGTAGTTGAAAAAAAAACATCTTTTCTCTTCTTCTCAAGGTCTACAAAAAGATCTTACCTACAATGTCGCTTGTATACAATTATTCTCTGCTAACGCGATGGACGTGTTTATCAAACTTGCTCAGAAAGTGAACGATTATTTAAAGAGACCGTGGTTACTGGGACAGCCATTTACGAGTGGTCATTGTCTGCATGTTGTGTCGATATTGTTGCCTTTATTGGCATGCTTGAATCAACTGCTTGCTGGTACGTATGTACTGTCTGAAGGTGTATTTACTGTCTGAAGGTGTATTTACTGTCTGTAGGTGTATTTACTGTCTGTAGCTGTATTTACTGTCTCTAGGTGTATTTACTGTCTGTAGGTGTATGTACTGTCTGAAGGTGTATTTACTGTCTGTAGGTGTATTTACTGTCTGAAGGTGTATTTACTGTCTGTAGGTGTATGTACTGTCTGAAGGTGTATTTACTGTCTGAAGGTGTATTTACTGTCTGTAGCTGTATTTACTGTCTGAAGGTGTATTTACTGTCTGTAGGTGTATGTACTGTCTGAAGGTGTATTTACTGTCTGTAGGTGTATTTACTGTCTGTAGGTGTATTTATTGTCTGTAGGTGTATTTTCAGTCTGTAGGTGTATTTACTGTCTGTAGGTGTATTTACTGTCTGTAGGTGTATGTACTGTCTGAAGGTGTATTTACTGTCTGTAGGTGTATTTACTGTCTGTAGGTGTATTTATTGTCTGTAGGTGTATTTTCAGTCTGTAGGTGTATTTACTGTCTGTAGGTGTATTTACTGTCTGTAGGTGTATTTTCAGTCTGTAGGTGTATTTACTGTAGATATTTACTGCCATCAGTGACATGCACATTACCTTAGTTCGAACCCTCATACCGTTCAATATGCATACGTCATAAGACATGTGACCCAAACAAAGTACTCATTTACCCCGTTTTATCATCCACTGCTAGTTATATTTCCTTTCCTAGAACTGCTTTCTACCAACACTTATCAGTATAAGGACACGAGACTGTTGTCCGAACTTATGACGTTGTACAGCATCATGCGCTCGGTCTCAGGCTCCCTTTCCTCGATCGCGCAGAAGATTCAAAATGAAATAGTGAATTTGTTGATGACGTTCACCCGACCAGTACTTCTAACGACGGACGCCGAGGAGGCCATCAATAGCAGTGTTTGGCTGTTAATGCTTAAGGAACTTTTACAATACACGATGTCTAGACCCCAGTTCTTTCTTGGTGGTCTCTCCCTCCTCTCAGAACTCCTTCCCATTCCTCTACCTATAAACACGCTCGAGGTACAAAATATATTCAAGGATTTTATATGTTGAATTACATTGAATTTTAGTCAATTTTTATCGACCGACAGGATTTAACGGAAGAGGACGTTGAAAAACTCGTGAAACATCGCATCATTTGGAGTGCTCACCTTAATCCCCTAACTTCCACGATACAAGGGATGCTGAGGGATTTCTCGGGTAAACATGGAGCCATTATGAACTTAAACATTCATACAAAAACAGTAAAGAGTTTTTTCCATTTTAAGGATCATGTTGTCACAGTCTGCAGTTGGTTTTGAGACGAGTTTGTTGTCAGTTAGCGGATATTTCCCCTTCTATGGCCTTGACTGTCGTGAGGTATGGTGTCAGACGTGAACATCGAGGCGTTTAAACATTTCATAAATTTTTATCCTCGTACGTAAAGTAGCACATCTGTACATGGAAATATTTAGACATGCTCGATGAAACTTGGAAGTTTTGCTAAGATTACGAACGGAATGACAATCTGAAAAATTCTCCTTGCAGTTTTGTTGCCTCTTGGATATAGATGTGAGGCCTTGAAGGAGTTGCTTCTGTCGAAAAATCAAAATGAAAATTATCAAAACATCTTAGTTGCAAATAATACGTGGAACTTTAAAATATTGTTTTCCTTTTCAAAAAATCTTTCTGTATTTTAGGACCTTACTTGAAGTCGTAGATAAGGACATTTCTAATCAAGAAAAAGAAGGGAAAAAAGAAACGGAAGACGGTATTAATGAACAGGAGACGCCAATGTAAGTTACATTAGATATACCTGATTGGTTCAGGATTAATATACCTGGCCGGGGTACCCTTGGGATATTAATTACAAGTACATATATTGACGTATCTTTTCTTATATGGGGTCATTTGGGTACGTTTAGGTATTGTTTATACAAGTACATATATTGACATATCTTTGCTTATATGGGGTCATTTGGGTACGTTTAGGTATTGATTACACAAGTACATGTATTGACGTATCTTTGCTTATATGGGGTCATTTGGGTACGTTTAGGTATTGATTACATAAGTACATATATTGACATTTTTTGGTTTATAGGACATGCAGTGGTCATGCTATGCGTGTTATAACATTGATTGCGTACCTTTCATCTCAACCAGCGGTGAAATCAGCTTTACTCTTCTTCTTAAAACCAGGGTAATTACATTTCAATTAACGTCCATATTTAATGTGTTTATTAGAAGCTATACACTTCAAATTCTGAGCCGGGTAAGCACATTATACATTCTCAACAACGAAACTATACACTTGAAACTTCGCTAATATTGATAACATAAAGTCTGAATTGGTATTGGTTGTGTTATGAATATTTTTCGTTTGTTTAAATTCGTGTAGTAATGTGGACGAAGTTCCTTTCCCGAATCTTCTGAAAGGCTTACTTTGTTATCTGAAGATTACCTCAGAGGAACTTGCGCAATCTCGTCTAAAATATTGTATTGTTGTAAGTTAACATTACGTTTGACTTTGTGTTAAAATAACCTTCACCAAATGCTTTCTTTTTCTCACTTCTCTTGCTAGACAATCATGCAATCCTTGTGCGATCCGCAAATTAGTCTAACGCTGTTGAACGCACCATTTTCACTGAACCAGGTAAGTGAATAAACACAACTGAACTATGGCCTTAAAACCAGTAAAAAAATTATCATTGAATTCACATCACCTGCCCAAACAAAACATCGTTTTCACGAAACTCGCTCCTCTTAAAAAAACTCTGCAAACGATCCATTCCCTGTTGTAAATGGCCGTTTCGTGTGTAAACTTCCCGATGATGTCATTACACTTGTGATTAAAATTGACCCCCTGTTAGCTCGTATCTTTGTCTGGTAATGAATTTGTAATGACATTGAAATATCACTAGATTGTTGTAGAGTGAATGGTTTGTTCCCGAGAGTATCGTTGTGTGTTTGTAGATGTAGATCGTCCAGGTTAGTAAAGTCCTGGGAAGGACTGTTGTTGATAGTGTTGACTGACGTTACGACAACCTTAGCTGTAGTCATCTTCAGAATCAAAGCGTGTAAATGACTACTGCTAAATCAACTGCAACAGTCCTTCTAGGGACTCCACTAACTTGGACGATCTACATCTACAAAAATGTTTACTAGCTTATCCTTTCCTCTCTTTAATCTCAAATATTGAGTTAAAGATGAATATTATGTTTGGATTTTGTTTCATTTCATACTTCTTAAGCAATACTTCATTCATCCTTAATATTTGATCTCATTGAAAGCAAATAAATCAAACTTTACTTCATTTTCTAGCTTGGTGATTCAATGCCCGACCGAGAAATGTTTTCATCCATCTGTTCTGCCCTGCTAGAAAATATCGGCTCTAGTTCCCAGTCCTATGCTACAATCCTCCAAGTCCTGAGGACTATAGTGACGTTAACAGATCACGATTATGGGCTATTTCACATTAAACAGTATGTTTGTTTGTCCATTCCTTATTTGACATCGTGAAGACAGGTTGCGACTAGTGCCAGTTTCCCATCTTTTTTATGGCACGCTTGTTTTTCGGAAGAATCATAATTGAGTTTGCGTCATTTGAGGATGTCAAAATGTTTGACGAACATATCCACAGAATGAGGTTTTGAATTTAGGCTTTTTTCCGTTGGATCAATATTATACATATTACCTTTCTCTCCCTGTTTGAGTTCAAATAAGAAGAAATATTATTTGGTAATGGTTGGTTGTAGTTGACATTAGGTTACAGCAGTTTGTCATAGTTGATAAAGTTGGTAATTGTTGATAGTGGTCGATTTTTGTTGATAATAGTTGATAGTAATTGATAGTATTTGATAATAGTTGATAGTAATTGATAGTATTTGATAATGGTTGATAGTAGTATTTGATAATAGTTGATAGTGATTGATAGTATTTGATAATAGTTGATAGTAATTGATAGTATTTGATAATAGTTGATAGTAATTGATAGTATTTGATAATAGGTGTTAGTAATTGATAGTATTTGATAATAGGTGTTAGTAATTGATAGTATTTGATAATAGGTGTTAGTAATTGATAGTATTTGATAATAGGTGTTAGTAATTGATAGTATTTGATAATAGCTGTTAGTAATTGATAGTATTTGATAATAGTTGATAGTAATTGATAGTATTTGATAATAGGTGTTAGTAATTGATAGTATTTGATAATAGGTGTTAGTAATTGATAGTATTTGATAATAGGTGTTAGTAATTGATAGTATTTGATAATAGGTGTTAGTAATTGATAGTATTTGATAATAGGTGATAGTTGTTGATAAAGTGGATTAAAATGATCACTGTAAACGTAATAATCTACTTAAATAGGGCCTTGAAGAAAGACAACAAAGTTTTTTATCGACTGTTTCAAAGACTCTGTTCATCATTTAAGTAAGTTTATTGTTAAAATTTATAATGAAACAGAGACTTTGTCGTGGTGACAAACTTAAAGATGGATTTCAAAATAGCAAATACCATGGTGAATGGTGATAATAACAATGTAATAGTTCTTAAAAGAACTGTTTTAACCAGAACACTAACTCAACAATTCAAAGGAACCGTTATTTACAGCTAGAAAGAGACAAGTGTCTCTTTCTCTTTCTTCTTTTAAGAACTATTACATTGTTATTATCACCATTCACCATGGTATTTGCTATTTTGAAATCCATCTTTAAAATTTACAATGGCTATGAAATGAACAAAACGAGTGTTCGTTTTTCTCAAACATACAAATAATCCAGGAGTTATGATTAGCAAAATATACTCTTTAAATAATGCAGTCCTATTATGGTTTTCTATTGGTTTACTTGTATTTTCTGCATAATTTATTTAATTGTTATTCAGACCTGGAATTCCCGGCCCAGACTCTTTGTCCACGCTCTCAACGGCAACTGAGCTGCTCCAGTTGCTAATGCCGCCCAACACGCTCAGTTCGTTGAACAAAATCGAAAATCGTACGAAATGTGCCGAAGTCTCCGAAATGGACACGACAACTTCCGAAAAAGATGGTAAAATTAGTGACGAAGGTAATATGTCTGAAGCATTTTATCGAGAGAAATAATTTCATTATATTATTGATGAATCTTGAGACATACTTGAGCGCATTTTGCTGTTTTCTACGTTGTTGACAATGCCTACAATTATTCTATCTATAGCTCAAATAATTTTCTGACATTTCCTGGAATCATCGTGATTTAATGTTTGAATCAACATCTGTAGATACAACGTCACAGTTCACTGAAGAAAGTACAGCGGTGTATTCAAGGAAAATAAACGTTTCCGTGAAAGAATTTCAAGAGTTGATGAAAAATAGCGAAGATGTGGAACAGCCCCTGGAAACACTGGAAGCACTTCTGGAGGTTCGTCGATCGACCACCTATGTACGGGGGGGGGGGAGGGATCGTGGAAGCATTAAACTGACTGCAAATCTCTGGTCTCTGCCACTTTCATTAAGATTTTAACATTGTTATCTTTTATTCAGAAAAGTTGCAAAGAAGACGAGACTTTGGACACACTACTTAACGGAGTCACTTCATTGAGAAAAATTGAACGGGTTGAAATCAAAATGGTTGGTAAGTAACAATTTCTCTTGTCATTGTTGAGTTAAAAATGAAAAGAATTCCATTGTTTTGCGTCGTCGAGTTCACACGAAACACTATCACAGTCACTTTTCATGGACGTAAAATTGAAATATTGTGGACCCAACTACACTTGACTCGTAAGACAACAATGCACTGCGCGCTTTGAAATTTTTTGACGTCATAATGAAAGTTTTTTTATTCGGATTCAGTTTCCATAATTTCGTTTACCAACACGAAGCAGTAGATTTGAGTGTGAAATTTAAGTGGTAGATTATGATTAAAATGGATTATGTTCAAAGTGGATTATGATCAAAGTGGATTATGATCAAAGTGGATTATGACCTTGCATTGTGGATCTTTACATTCAGACACCATTGAAGACATCGAACCCATTCTTTCTGCTGCGCAACCTCTACAAACTTTGTTCAACGTACGAGCTGCCTTCAGTTCTGGTGATGACGTAAGTGGCAGGGTTAGTCCAACGTTGTGGTACTCTTCCCCTCCACCAGATGACGTCGATGTTGAGTCCGAACTGGTATGTGTTGCAAGAATTTTTATTCATAAATTTATAACGTTGTTGAAAACAGGAAAATGGAATTGTTTCCCACATTATACATTTAAGGGTGGTTTTAATGTGGCTTATAGGGTCTTTAGTGGTTGAAGAGAAGTTTAAAGGTGGTGTATAGGAGGTTTATAAGTGATTTAAGGGTAGCTTAAGGGTGGTTTAAGGGTAAATTGAGGGTTATTTAAGAGTTGTTTAAGGGTGGTTTTAATGTGATTTTAGGGTCTTTAGTGGTTGAAGAGTGGTTTAAAGGTGGTGTAAGGGGGCTTAAGAGTGGCTTAAGGGTAGCTTAAGGGTGGTTAAGGGTAAATTAAGGATTGTTTAAGGGTGGTTTGAATGTGGTTTATAGGTGGTTTGAGATTAGTTTAACGGTGGTCAAAGGGTGAGTTACGTAAGGGTTGTTTATGGGTAGCTTAATAGTGGTTTAAAGGTGGTTATAAGAGTGGTTTATGGATGGCTTGAGGGTGGTTTAAAGGTGGTTATAAGAGTGGTTTATGGGTGGCTTGAGGGTGGTTTAAAGGTGGTTATAAGGGTGGCTTATGGATGGCTTGAGGGTGGTTTAAAAGTGGTTATAAGGGTGGTTTATGGGTGGCTTGAGGGTGGTTTAAAGGTGGTTATAAGGGTGGTTCATAGGTGGCTTGAGGGTGGTTTAAAGGTGGTTATAAGGGTGGTTCATAGGTGGCTTGAGGGTAGTTTAAAGGTGGTTATAAGGGTGGCTTAAAGGTGGTTATAAGGGTGGTTTATGGGTGGCTTGAGGGTGGTTTACGAATTATAACCTTAAAGAAACTTACCCTAAGTTTATTCCTATGACAATTGAAAAGATCGACCTTTTTATTGATTTATTTGTTTAGCTCTGTTAAAAACATATTTCATAAAAACTCTTAAGAACATCAAATGCGTATAGAATATTCTAACTCAATGCAACAGATTTTCAACAGCTGACTGATATTGTGTTTTCTTGAGAAGAAAATTTTGCTCTTTATTTACACCATTCATTAAGAACGCTTTATAAAAGTGAGAAGTAGCTAAACCCTTACATCGGGCATTTTACGATTTAGGTAAACTGTAACTTCGAAGATATCAAGAACAAATACTTCCCAGATTTCGACATAAAAGCTGAACTTGACAAAGGTTTGATGATGTCAGTTGAAGATTCGCCAAAACGGAAACACGGTCTAAAAAAGTAAGTTTGTTTACACAAAGTTTTCGTGTTTGATGACTAGATGAATCTTGAAAAAATTTTCAAACATTTGATTTGATTCTTTGTTAAGGCTCGGCAAACGTAAATTCGCGTCAATGATTCTGGAGAAGGGTGATCCAGAAAAAAAAGCAAAACAAGACGGTAATCGTTTTCTACATAATGACAATAATGGAAATTTTGTTGAAATGATTGGGCGAAAAAATCTATTTTTTTTTAAACCTGCAACTCCAACATAAATGTAAAATGATTTCGATTTAAGCATCACAAACAATTAAAAGTCCTTACTATCATTAAAAGCTATAAGATTACATATGAAAACATCTACAACACAACCATAGACAATATCTACAACACAACCATAGACAACATCTACAACACAACCATAGACAATATCTACAACACAACCATAGACAACATCTACAACACAACCATAGACAACATCTACAACACAACCATAGACAACATCTACAACACAACCATAGACAACATCTACAACACAACCATAGACAACATCTACAACACAACCATAGACAACATCTACAACACAACCATAGACAACATCTACAACACAACCATAGACAACATCTATAACACAACCATAGACAATATCTACAACACAACCATAGACAACATCTACAACACAACCATAGACAACATCTACAACACAACCATTGACAACATCTACAACACAACCATAGACAACATCTACAACACAACCATAGACAACATCTACAACACAACCATAGACAACATCTACAACACAACCATAGACAACATCTACAACACAACCATAGACAACATCTACAACACAACCATAGACAACATCTACAACACAACCATTGACAACATCTACAACACAACCATAGACAACATCTACAACACAACCATAGACAACATCTACAACACAACCATAGACAACATCTACAACACAACCATAGACAACATCTACAACACAACCATAGACAACATCTACAACACAACCATAGACAACATCTACAACAATACATTTAGTAACATCGTTCTTTTCATTTAGCCCTAAATCGTGGCCGAGGACGTGGCGGCATGTTCCGAGGTGGACGTGGTGGAGCGAGATACGACAACTTCCGAGCTCGCATACAAAACACGAGTCGTCCACCGTCAATGCATGTTGACGACTTTGTTGCCATGGAGAGTGGACGTGGTCGAGGACGTGGCAGAGGAGGACAGTCGCCTGGTAACGAGAGGTCCTCGGCACGACCTTCAATACGCAAGGTGCGTGCGTGTAAGAGACAGGAGAAGGAGGGTTTTTTCACAGGGTTTACAGGGGACGGGGTAGGAGGGGTTTTTCACTGGAGTTCAGGAGGATGCGCAGAAGGTTTTTTACACAAGGTTTACTGGGGAGGGTGCTGGAGGGTTTTCATAGCATTCTATTTGTAGTATTTTGTTCACGTCTGATTGACTGAGTCATAAGTTTATTGTCAATTGTTTTACTACTTACTGAACAAAGTTTTTTTGCGTAATTCCATTTACATCTCCAAAAACTGTAAATATCTTTTCAAATGAAGTTTAAATGCGAAGAAGGAATCTGCATACGTTGGGAGAGGGGGTATAAAAGTTCTATCTGAGATTGTTTATTATTTTCAACCATTTTAGATCCAAGCGGTGAATCGCAATTCTCCGGACCATCACAGAATTGAAGGATACTTACCGAATGACGGTCGTTGGGGTATGTCTGGAATGTCAAGGAGGGATGGTAAAAAATCTTTAATATTTCATCATTCATCCTCATTTCGTCCATATTTAGCTATTTGTGATCTTTCTATAGTGTCTATTGCAGCCCATCCGATGCATTCATTTCGCAGCTCGGCTTGGGAACCTCGCCAGACTATAGATACCGCTGGATTCTTAGAACGTGGTTTCCAAAGAACGTAAGTTTACAATATGCGATGAAGTTAAGTACGTTTTTTCGTTCGCAATTTTGCCTTCTGCCGCTGGAGAAGTTGTTTCTCTGTTGTTTGAATGCAGCCTATGTCAATGTTTTGAAAACAAGATTCGTTTATTTGAAATTCATTTGACCATCTACCTTCGCCTTTTTTTCAATCCACATAAAAGATTTTCTATTCAAAGGTTTCTCGTCACTTTCGTCAACGAAATCTGTTTGTTATAATTCATTCCTTCGACATAAATCACCAAATTATTTACGTTAATTAATTTAATTATTTTAATGCAGGGGCAACTGGGGGACACCTGCGACGGTCAATTATCGAGGTAAGAAACTCATAGAAACATCGGAAGATGTTGACCGTATTTCTGAAAGATGTTGAGTAAAAATGATTAAATCTCAGAAATGTCGTAAAATTCATCTATAACATCTGCTGTCATGGCTCACAGCGTTTGACCTTATTTGATTTTTACTATTGGCTTTCTATGCCCTACTTAAAAATACCATGTTATTTAAATTAACATTGTCCCAAAGAAGAACTGATGTTTCCCACCAATCTTGTCTCAACAATCTACGTTTTCCATCAAATTTTCTTCATCTCCGCGTGTTTTCTCCTTTCTAAAGGTTTCCGTGAGACGACGTATCGCGAACAACAGTTGCGCAGTGGTTTCTGGGCAGGACCTCAACAGGACGCCGAACGCAAAGACAACCGGTATTGATTATAAATCTACGTTTTAAAGTAAATGGTTTGAACTCGGGAGTATCGTTACATGTTTGTAAATGTAGATCGTCCAGGTTGGTATAGTCATGAGAAGGACTGTTTTTGTTGTTGTCGAAACGTCAGTCAACAACAACAAAAACAGTCCTTCTCAGGACTATACCAACCTGGACGATCTACATTTACAAACATGTAAATCTACGTTTGGTGCTGTGATTTTGTTTGTTTGCTTACTGTTATATGAAGTACAAATTTCATAGATATCGCTGGCTCAGGGAGCTTTGTTAGTCAAATTTATGTGTTTTTAACTGCTATAAATATATTATAATGCTTTTGTTTGTGTACGAACCACCCCCCGGCTCATTGGTAATCCATGTAACATTTGAGAAATAAAAGACGTTTATTACTGCTTCCACAGACATATACTTGTGCCAAGGAGGTCTTTGAGAGAACACGAGAGCAGATCTGTGCAAAACACACAAACAAACATGTTTTATTTCTTTTAGAAAATAAAATCAATGCGAAACAGACAAATTTAAAACAAACGTTTTAACTTTTCTTTTAAAATAAATTTATGTTTGATTTGCAAATTTTTATTGATTGCTCGATTGATTTAATCGGTTGAGCTTACATCGGTTTGCACACGCTAATGCAACACAACTATAGACAAAAGAAACGCGCGCTCTTTTTTTTGTCGTTTTATAATACACACCACTCGCTTCTATTTCCTTAGTTCATTTGGTCTAATTTAATAACACTTCCATGATTTAGAATATGTAACATCTTTACAGGTTGTTGCCTCCACATCCTGGACATTTTGATAACTACAGAGCTGGTGGAGCACGTGGTAGACACATGCGATCTTTCACGAGATAAGAAGTTAATTAAGTGTATATTCTATTAACTCCATTTTGACTTGCATGTCTGAATTTCAAGGTCAGTTGGATGTAATAGTTGGTTATAATATGGTAAGAAAAAGTATTCTATTCATGGAAAGAGGGACTACCCTTCACCATTGTCATCTCATATTCAATATGAAGATTGCTTTCCACTTTGCCTGTATTGTATCGTTTCGTATCGTAACGTGTCTGCAAGCATGCCCTGTTCAAAATTTAATTTTGAATTGTACCCAATTATGGGTAATTCGCGTATCGAAGGAAAAGTCCTGCAGTCCTAAAGGATTGGCGAACAAGGAGTAGCGGAATTTTTAGGTTTTGTTCTGTTTCCCTGCGTTGCTCTTGGTAAACTGGAAATATACATTTTCTTTGACTTTTATTTGATAAAATGTCAAATTTCCCTTAGCAAGACCTGAAAAGGTACTAGTACTACCAATTTATAAAAAAAGTTAGAAACTTCTCGGCCCCCTTTGCGAGTCTAATGCCAGCTCATGTTTTTCTCAGTATTTTCCTCCAAGCTCATCTCGCGCCTGTGATCTATCTCGTCTTTGTGAAACGGACGAACTTCATGTAAATCGAAAGCATCTGTTCGATCGATTGGTGATTGCCAGTCGCGGGGGACTGGTAAGAGCGGTATGCACTCGCTGATTGGTAGAACCCGCAACATTTCTAAATCTCCTGTGAATAGAAAATTAGTTGACTGTGAAGGAAGAAAAGCATTATATTTCAAACAGAGGTTGCTGAGTCTTTTCAAGGTATGCATTAGTGTGTAAAAACCCAATTTTTCACTTTCCATTCCATGTCGTCATCTCCTTAAAATATGCAAATACAACCTAGTCAATCAGACCGAGGTTTCGTCATGGCTGCTTTGAAAATATTAAGGATAAAATATTTCCTTTGCCTGGTTACACGCATGCCAACCTTAAAGATAATACACACCTTCGATAGTTTTACTTAGAATGCCAACATCCTCAAGGAAGGTAACGCATTCTTTCGCGTCAAAGTCGATTTCAAAACCGAATTTATTTTCAATCCAGCCTTCAATCTGCGCCTGCAGTTCCTCTTTAGTTATACCGTCCATGTATTCTTCGTCCAGCGGATTCTCTTCTATAAAGAGTAACAAACTTCAGGGTAGAAAATGTTTCATATAAAGCATGGCGTGCATTGGCTGTAGAACTGAATCATCAAACAAGGTAAGGTAAGGTTGTACGAAATCCAAGTCATACCATCTAGTATTCCTGAATCACCTTACGTATGGTATATTTGTTTACCATACCTGAAAGCGACAATCTTGATGATGCTCTGATGAAACTATATGCCAGCAATGCCGACTTGTACGCTTCGTCTTCAGCTCGGTCGACGACGAGTGTAAGTAATGCGCGATTGTTGGCCATTGACTTGAAGTACAGCGTCTGCGCTAGGTCTGCCAAATACTTATTTCTTCGACTGTTATATACACTCCATGTTCTAACAAGCAACGCCATCGTTATGATTGTTGCTATTGGTAACACGCCAATGTTGTGGTCGGTTACAAATGAGATAATTTTCACCACAGCAGTCGTGATGCCCACGGTAAGACTGAGACCAACAAGAATTTGATCCAGGCGAGTCATTTCAATTCTACCCTCGGGTAAAAGATGTTCGAGATTCGGACATGGAATATCTTTGAAAGATTTCAGAATCAGTTTGCGTTGATGTTGAGCCCGCACTGCAATGATGACACGTTTATATCTCTCGCGGGTCGAGGGTCGCCCGTACACCTGGTACCGAACGGACTTCCTAGCTTTTCTAACCCAACCTATCCCCTTATCACCCTCCTCTACATCTTTACCCACAACCCATATCCTTAAAATGTCGTATTTGTTTGGATCGACTTTAACCAGAACTCCGTCGCCAATATCGTGTTCTTTCAATGCCTCGAGGACCGCGTCGCGTGGTAATTCATAAAAGCCAGCTTGGTATAGAACTTTGTCTAGTGTTGCAAGTAGTTTATATTCCCTCTCCTTCCGCTCGTGTAAGTCGATGTAGCGCGTTGCTAAAGTCTCTTTGTCGGGATTCAAAGGATCGTAGAGCGACTAAAAAGATACAAAATTATCAATGTATAATTCGGGATCAATTCGTGAAAGCCTGGAAGATCTGTGAAAATATAAAGAAGGTAGGTTCTGCATCTTTAATCTTAAAGTTTTTAATCATTCTGTGTATGCTAACCCAAACTCATTTTTTTCGAAGAGGAAATCCCGCGTTGAAAAAATTTTAAAAGTCGTGTGCATTTGACCAAGAAAATTGAATTAGGGCGGCTCGGCAAAATCGTTTTTGAATCGTTTTTGACCAATGAATCAGGCAATCTTACGGTTCTTTCTAGATTACCTTTAACTCGCCAAGAACATCGTGGTAAAGTCTGCCAATTGCATGGTCTAAGGCAACAAAAAATTCGTGAAAATGTTTGTAGTCGTCTGGAGAAATTAACGTTTCTTCTTCCATAATTTGCTTTGCCAACGATTTCCTCGTCATTGGTATGAAATTATGCCTTATATGGTACTTTGAGTCTTCACCATCTCCCCGGAAAGGTTTATGCCCTTGGGTTTCGTCTTTCGGTGTCGAGTAGTTGTTCGGAATTTTTGACGCGGCCATCTTGAGTTTTTGCGTCCATTTTGTAGTGGCGTTTCTTCGCCAAATTTGTTTCGCATGCGTGTAAGCAACTCTTGGAGAGATGCCGTACTTGATAAGGAAAATGATTTTTCTATTATGGCGTAATGTCATGTCTCAAGTTTTATAATTTGTTACACCAAGGAACTTTAGAACGGCAGCCATCTTGTATTTGACCGAGGGGAGACTTGGTACGAGAGTAACAGGTGTTTTAGAAGCGGATCGCGGGGTTTTCATCAATTGCGTCGATTTAACTCGCGGAGAGTAAACGTTTATCAAGAAAGAGCAACAATTATTTAAGATTTGTTTTATCAAAGAATTTTTGCATGTGAGATTTTAAGAAGGCTTGCAAAACGTTTGCGGTTTACTAGTTCGTGCTTCAAATTGATCGTGACCCATTGTAAGAAGTATTTTTCGTACGTGAACGTGTTTTCTCGGCTTATGTTCCGACTCTGTAACAAGTTTTCAAGATCTTTAAGCTTGGTGGCAAGCGGCAATGTTATCCTGGCATCAGTGTTATCAAATAGTTGGACAAGACTTTGTTCGAAACTTCGAATCATAGTAATCATGCAGTTTTGGTCCGGAGAGATCTGTGTTCAAGATTTGTAACAATTTAATGGTAGTAGTGCCCAATTGTAACAATAACATTAAATTGTAACAATTTAATGCCCCCCAATTTAATCCAAGCATGATATTTTTTATTCTGAAAGATCACAAAATTTTCTTGCTCAGCAGAAAATGACAGACTTTTTTACTTTTTAGTTATTGAAATATGCAATGATTTGACCAAGATGCATTTGGCCTTAAACGTTTTATTCCTGTATATGAAGTTATTTCGCCTTTAACACTTTATAAAGAATCAAAGTTTATTTCTAATAAAGTTTGTTAAGGATTCTGCTGAAAATTTTGGTGAAGCATTTCTTTAAAATGAATATATTATTTCTATAATATGAAACATTTCTGTTGTTGAAGAACAGTCTGTTTGCTATAAATGCTACTGTTTGTAGTCTTTTATACAGCATATGAGTCTGATTCAATCTTTAATTTAGCAAAGAGTTAAATTTATTGGTTGAGGAATGACAAAACTTCTATATGTGTTTAATGATCAAACAGGGGTGTGTTGGAGGGATCTCAGCCCCGTTTGTTCAAATTCTATGCCTTGTATTGCCAGTGAAATATATATATCAAAAAGCTAGCAGCACCTAAATATATATCTGAAAGCCGGCAATATTTTAATATATATGAGAAAGGCAGCAACAGTTGTAATATACATTAAAAAGCCCAAATAGCTGAAATTATGGAGATATGCCTCTGTGATCTTATAAACCAAAACCTACAATTAAAATATCATTGACAAGTCTAGAAAAGAAGTAATGTTCTACTTTGAGCTACAGAAGTAAGGTACATTTGTACAACTCATTACCAAAAATATATTGTACTCAGCTGTTTCAGTGAATATCCTAATTATAATTACTTCATTTTTAAATGATGAACTAAAAATACAAAATACAACCTGTAAAATCATAGCAGTTCCTGTGATTTGGTGTATTTGTTTGTTTTAGTGTGGAAGTGGCTGAGAATTGAGAGGTTTGTAGATTGACCAATTTCAGAACATAATGAGAAATCATCTTCGATTAAAAAACAAGTTTTGGAGTAAGAAAACTATTGAAACTGCATCAGCACGAACTTTGCAATGTTATTTGGCCCAAAAATGTTTCTCTACTTGAGTCAGTTAATTGAACCTTATATCAAAAGCAGTTCAGCACAACAATCACCATACGCAATCAAATTTCGTAAGTTCGACGTAAAGGCATTTCTTTCATTTTTTTCGTAATCCTCGATTCTGGCGATATGTAATGACATTTAGTAGCCGTCAACAATCAGTTATTACAAACTTATCCATAAAAAAACGCAATATTATCTCAAAATACTGTATTACTAACAGCAATTGCTATATAAAAACTAGCTCAAATTTCAAAATTAGGAACCAAAATGGCGAAAATTGATCAGGTGATCAATATTGCCCAATCAACGTAAGCTAAACGGATAACATTAGATGTCCCAACTCTTACTAAAGCCTGTTTTCCACAAGCACATATCGTAGTAAAGTATCGTAGTAAAGTATCGTAGCAAAACGTTACATGGCGCATGCGTGCTTGTGAATTTGATGGTCAATAGGCACAATCACGCATGCGCCATGTTACTTATGCTTTGATACGTTACGATACGTGGCTAGTGGTAAACAGGCTTAATAGAGGGCTCTGGTTAATTTTATATCTTGGCGTGGCGTCTGTGAATGTTAACGTATACCTTGTCTGTGCGCCCCCTTCAAACAGTAAAATCTCCCTTGAAATAATATACTGACAGACCAAGAGACAGACAGAAACAAATCGAGATTTTACATGTATATAGGTCAGGATTTGGCTGAGAATAGTGAATGTGCTACCTGCTGCAACTGCGTGCCTAGTACCAGGTGGCCGTTTAGCATCAACGGCTGCCACGTTGACAGCTGTTAATTATATATCTTGGCGTCGCGTCTGTGAACGTTAACTAAGAATTTCAATTCATCTTTTTACTTCAACAAGTAGCAAAATAAACGAACAATTTTGGCACTTCTTGGATTAGTTTCGACACCAAGTAATTATCAGTTATATGGAAAGACATATGAAATGTTAACGACTTTCCATTCAGATTACAAAAATCGATCCTTACAAAGAGACGGTAGAGCGATTAACTTATAAAATATAGACAGAAATTATGGCATCAAAGAAAGAAAAGAATGATGTGCAACAAAATCTTTCTACACTGACTAAAGAAATGATGGAATCAAGGAAAGAAATAAAAGATGTTCAACAAAATCTTTCTACAGTGACCAAAGAAATGATGGAATCAAGGAAAGAAATAATCGAATCAAGGAAACAAATGAAAGATGTTCAACAAAATCTTTCTACAGTGACGAAAGAGACGATGGAATCAAGGAAGGAAATAAAAGATGTTCGGCAAAATCTTTTTACACAGAATAAAGAAATGATGGAAGGAAGGAAAGAAATAATCGAATCAAGAAAACAAATAAAAGATGTTCAACAAAATCTTTCTACAGTGACGAAAGAGACAATGGAATCAAGGAAGGAAATAAAAGATGTTCGGCAATATCTTTTTACACAGAATAAAGAAATGATGGAATCAAGGAAAGAAATAATTGAATCAAGAAAACAAATAAAAGATGTTCAAGAAAATCTTTCTACAGTGACGAAAGAGACGATGGAATCAAGGAAGGAAATAAAAGATGTTCGGCAAAATCTTTTTACACAGAATAAAGAAATGATGGAATCAAGGAAACAAATGAGAGATGTTCAAGAAAATCTTTCTACAGTGACGAAAGAGATGATGGAATCAAGGAAAGAAATAAAAGATGTTCGGCAAAATCTTTTGGCAGTGACCAAAGAAATGGAAGAAATGAAAGCTATGATCATCGAACTTGTTCAAACATTGCCATCTCCAACTGAAGAGTTTATGAACTCAGACAAGAATGATGTTTTGATTGCTGGAGGTTGCTATTCAAGCGGTCATTTGAAAAGTGTTGAAAAGTTTTCATGGAAAGAGAAGAAATGGTCAAGGATTGCAACAATGAAAATTGAACATACAGAAGCTTCATCATTTATTCATGATGGAGATTTATTTGTTGTTGGAGGATCTTCTAGCAAGTCAATAGAGACATTAAATCTTAATCAGTCACCTTTGACATGGCAGATATGGCCTGGAGAGCTTCCTTATGAATGGTTTGGTCATCAAACTGTTGTTTGTAAAAATCAAATTTTTCTCATTGGAGGATGTATTGGTGATAAAGGAAAATCTGATCTTATCTGTGAAATACACGTTACTGCTACGTCTCTTATTTTAGAAGAGCTCTGTCATATGCCTGAACCACGATATGGTCATGGAGCTGCTGTTGTTGATGATAAAGTTTTTATTTTTGGAGGACAGGGAAGAGATGGCAAAGTTTTATCTAGTGTTTTGGAATTTGATCCAAAGACTCTAACATTTAGAATAATGCCTCCATTACCTCATCCATTAGTTGGAATGGCAACAGTTCAATGGAGAGATCAAGTTGTTCTTCTTGGAGGTCGTAACGACAATGCTGACATATTAAACGATGTAATCATGTATGACAGTAAGATAGGTGAGATTAAGGTCTTACCATCCATGTTAATAAATAGAGTTGGGTGTTGTGCTGTTTTGACAGGAGATACAATTGTCGTCATGGGTGGTGTGAAAAATCAATATCTTAAATCAGTGGAGTTTTTTGAAATGGAAAGCAGTTTTTGGAAAAAGCTTCCTTCAATGAACGAAGCACGAAAAGAAGCCATTGCTGAAGTTTTACCGATTACACCAAAGTGCAACATTTCAATGGAAAAAAGGAAGAAAGCATGGAAAGAAACAAAAAATGTCAAAAAAAGTTGTTCTACCGACATCAAAAACACTAGGGAAGCGGATGAACAAGTTGCCCAATCCTTACCATCAACAAGTCAAGCAAAGGGGAAAACAGGAAGTACAGGTTGCTACATTGTAATTTTGTTCATGAAAGAAGTTACTACATTTAAAATAAGCATTGCATTTTTTATTCCCCAGAAATCCTGTAGTCAAAATTCTGTATTTAAAAATAATATAGTGATTAGCTGACAAATATACTCTTTTACACTGGTCTCCCAAGAAATCCATGTTGTAGGATGATGGAGTGGAAGAATTTTATTTGACAGACCGACAAAAAATCAGTTTTTCAAAGCAAACGGAATAATGGTCTGGTCTCGAAGACCGTTAAGGTTTCTAGAATTATTGCAGCGAGGCCTGGCTGTATCACTTGACTCACAGAATAAGCTGACAGTTTCTAAGCTATCACATTTTTAGCTCTAAATACAAATGAATAATTTAATTGATCAAACTACTTTTATGATATTAGTGACACAAGATGATGATGAAGATAGTGATGAGAAAATTGTTATTAAAGTTGAAGACGAAGATGATTTGAAAATGGAGCCAAGCTAGTATCTTCGCCAATGAACTCTACTAGAGGTTATTCGGAGGTCACTTATCTGCTCTGGCAACATACAAGACATACTCGACGTTTAGCTGAACATTTTTCCTTTATTTAGTACAGAGGCCACGATAATATTATGAACTGAACGTATTAAATGAATAACTACTGATCTATTCATTGAGTACTACCTTTCATAGATGATATTTCTACTTACATTGTACATATCATATACTGTAGCAAATGAATTCTACAGCTATGTTTACCTTTGTGTCTACCTTTATGTCTACCAATATGCTTATCTTTACGTCTACCTTTCTGTCTACCTTTATGTCAGCCTTTACCTCAACCTGTATGTCTACCAAAGTTGTATGAATGATCCTCTCTGCAATCGAGAAAATTACACGAATTAGGCACATTGAATTAAAATCAATTGGGAAATATATATCAGAGATGAATAGCCGTTTTGTTCGCATGTATTTTGTTCGCAAAATGCTCTCGCTGCGAGCTTGCGAGTCTGTTCGCGCGATCAAAAAAATTTGTTCAATTAATTTAACTATGCTGCAAGTCATGGTAAGCTCGCTTCGAGTAACTCGCAGGCACTCGCAGCGAGCTTGCGAGCACGTTTTGCGACGAATGGAAAAGAGCCTTTAGTAAGCGTTCACTGACGCGACGCCAAGATATATAATTAACAGCTGTCAACGTGGCAGCTGTTGATGCTAAACGCCCCCCTGGTAGTAGGCACGCAGTTGCAGGTTGTAGCACATTCACTATTCTCAGCCAAATCCTGACCTATATACATGTAAAATCTCGATTTTTTTCTGTCTGTCTCTGGGTCTGTCAGTATATTCTGTCAAGGAAGATTTTACTGCTTAAAGGGGGCGCACAGAAAAGGTAAACGTTTCGTATCGTCGATGTCTACGTCTATGTGCTCATGGGCATACGGGACCTGTCATTTCAGGGGGGAGGACCCTATGAACTCACAATGAAGGTTCCGCGAATTGCATTTGAAGCTACACTACTGAGTACACCGCTTCTCGTATTATTTAATAGTGTTTGCGACATGAAGTGTGTCAAAATGCTAAATTAGACCGCAGGCTCATCTCACCTTCCCTAATGGATGAAAAAAACAAAATGAAGAATTTGACAGAAATTGGAACCATTGAATCAGACGATGAAATCGAAAATTATGACTGCGATGAAAGTGGTGAAGAAGATGAGGTAAGGGAGGTCTTTACGAAATGTGTTAAAGATTTGACTTAAAACTGTCGATATTTTCATAATCTAGCAAATATTACACAAGGAGAAAAATTGTATTCTTTCTCTCTGTACCTTTTTGGTCATTAAATAGCAACTAAAACAAGGAGATGTATCGATGAATTTACATTCCTTAATGTCAACCTATCATTTGTTTCTCATACATGTCTCAGAAGTCCATTTGGATAAAAGTTAAAAAGAAATCTTATATTTTATCTTAAATGCTTGTGCAGATTTCCATTAACTGAAAGTTTGATGTGTTGATTATTTAAAGGTAGCAAAAAGACCACAAAATAAGAAAGATAAAACCAGAGAATTTAACGAACAGTTTGAATTTCTGATTTTGGATGATGACAGTCATTATAACGGATGGAATCTTGAGGAAACTGTGGAGAATTTGAGAAAGGATATAAAGGTATGAGTTATTAGAAATGAAGGCATTAAACTAGAATGTAAAAAAGCAACTTTTGTGATGGTTAAATGTAGATATGATCTTCGCACTTTGCTGGACAATTTAAGCAATTGTCTCATGAACCTGAAAAATTCAAGTGACTCAACGGGATTCGAACCCATGACCTCTGTGGTGCCAGTGCAGTGCTCTGATCATATCTACATTTAATTTCAAACACCGCACTGCATAAAACATTCTTTCAAATGACATTCCTTTCACGAGAAAACATCAACCCAACAAAATTGACCTGCTCACCACTGTGTGACTTCATAGCTCAGTTGGTCAGAGCACTGCACCGGCACGGCAGAGGTCATGGGTTTGAATCCCTTAGAGTCACCTGAATTTTTCAGGTTCATGAGACAATTGCTTAAATTGTCCAGCAAAGTGCGAAGATCATATCTACATTTAATTTCAAAAGCCGCACTGCATAAAACATTCTTTTGTGATGGTATATTACAGTTATAATACTGGCATAATATTTTGTGTGAATTTGTCAATATGACAGTAAAAAACAGATATTTTTTCTGGTTTTAAGCAACTAACCGATATGTGTTAAATGTGTAAAAAGCAGGTTAATGTTAACTGTTGAACTTTAGCAGATTTTCTTCTTTGGATTTATGCTTGCAAGCAGAGGGATGCACTGAAGTGATAATTTTTAGTTGTTATTGTTGAATATATTTTTGTTTTTTTATGTAGCCAGGAAAAAGTTTGGACTCAAGGATAAATGAAATGAGAGTAAAACAAAGCAAAGAAAAGGTATTTTGAAGCATTAGGCATTATACAACTTCATATTTGCATTGAAGAAGTTAAACAGTTTTTTCTATTTTTGGCTGCATAAGTGTTACATCATAAAAAAATTGACAGACTTTCACTGTTGAGATACTGATTTTTAAAAAAGAGTGGAGTTTGTTTTTTCATCAATTTTTGATGCTCATTTTTTGGTGGTATCGTTGGCTTTTTTAGGGATTTTTACATCTCACTAACTGCGACCACCGACTGCAACTTGTGTCATTATTGATCACGTGACACATAAGACAAAATTTTTTGAATCTCCAGAAAATTTCAACATATTATAATAGGAAAGCTAAATTCAAAGAAAATATTTGGTTACCCGATATGCTACTTCTCGCATAAAATATCCTGTCTATAGTGACCTTTTTGCTATTGCAAAATTATTTTGAAAAATACATTTGCGTTGAGCACGAGGTAGTGCAGTAGTGCTGTTCACCGGAGATAGAAGGAGTTAAGCTCAAAACAAAAACTCTGGTAATGAGTTTGAGCATGTAATTGGTGAAATTTAAAATTAAAAATTTCATGAATTTTCGGGCACGTAAACTTTTTAGTTTTTACCAAAGGAAGTTGACGTTTGTTTTAACAGGAGCAAACTTTTTTATTTTGGCGGGAATTTTTTTAGTCGGCGTTTTCTCGACTTAAACCGGAGCTTTCTCGGCCAAATTCGGAGCTTTCTCGGCCAAATCGGGGGTTTCTCGGCCAAATCCGGAGGTAAAGAAAAAGAGCTCTCAACCGAGAAAATACATGCGAACAAAACGCCTATTCATCTCTGATATATATTTCCCAATTGATTTTAATTCAATGTGCCTAATTCGTGTAATTTTCTTGATTGCAGAGAGGATCATTCATACAACTTTGGTGGACATACAGGTTGAGGTAAAGGCTGACACAAAGGTAGACGTAAAGGTAGACACAAAGGTAGACATAAAGGTAGACGTTAAAGTAGACATAAAGGTAGACACAAAGGTAGACATAAAGGTAGACACAAAGATAGACATAAAGGTAGACGTAAAGGTAGACATAAAGGTAGACATAAAGGTAGACATAAAGGTAGACATAAAGGTTGAACATAAAGGTAGACATAAAGATAGACATAAATGTAGACATAAAGGCAGACATAAAGGTAGACATAAAGGTATACATAAAGGTAGACATAAAGGTAGACATAAAGGTAGACATAAAGGTTGAACATAAAGGTAGACATAAAGATAGACATAAATGTAGACATAAAGGCAGACATAAAGGTAGACATAAAGGATAAAGCAGACATAAAGGTAGACATAAAGGTAGACATAAAGGTAGACATAAAGGACATAGGTAGACATAAAGGCATAAAGATAGACATAAAGGTAGAACACAAAGGTAGATACAAAGGTAGACATAAAGGTAGACAAAGGTAGACATTGGTAGACAAAGATAAACATAAACAGTAGACATAATAAAGATAGACACAAATGTAGACACTAAGGTAGACATAAAGGTAGACATAAAGCTACACATAAGGGTAGACACAAAGGTAAACATAGCTGTAGGTTTCTTCCATGCAATGTAAATGAATTCATTTACCACAGTATATGATATGTACAATGTAAGTAGAAATATAATCTATGAAAGGTTGTACTCAATGATTAGATCAGTAGTTATTCATTTAATACGTTCAGTTCATAATATTATCGTGGCCTCTGTACTAAATAAAGGAAAAGTGTTTAGCTAAACGTCGAGCATGTCTTGTATGTTGCCAGAGCAGATAAGTGACCTCCGAATAAATTCTAGTAGAGTTCACTGGCGAAGATACTAGCTCCGCTCCATTTTCAAATCATCTTCGACTTCAACTTTAATAACAATTTTCTCATCACTAACTTCATCATCATCTTGTGTCACTAATATCATAAAAGTAGTTTGGTCAATTAAATTATTCATTTGTATTTAGAGATAAAAATGTGATAGCTTAGAAACCGCCAGCTTATTCTGTGAATCAAGTGATACAGCCATGCCTCGCTGCAATAATTCTAGAAACCTTAACGGTCTTCGTGACCAGACCATTATTCCGTTTGCCTTGAAAAACTGATTTTCTGTCGGTCTGAAAATTCGTCCCTACCCCCCCCCCCCCCCATCATCCTACAACATGGATTTCTTGAGAGACCAGGGTAAAAGAGAATACTTGTTAGCTAATCGCCATATTGTTTTTAAATACAGAATTTTGACTACAGGATTTCTGGGGAATAAAAAATGCAATGCTTATTTTAAATGTAGTAACTTCTTTCATGAACAAAATTACAATGTAGCAACCTGTACTTGCTGTTTTCCCCTTTGCTTGACTTGTTGATGGTAAGGATTGGGCAACTTGTTCATCCGCTTCCTAGTGTTTTGATGTCGGTAGAACAACTTTTTTTGACATTTTTTGTTTCTTTCCATGATTTCTTCCTTTTTTCCATTGAAATGTTGCACTTTGGTGTTATGGGTAAAACTTCAGCAATGGCTTCTTTTCGTGCTTCGTTCATTGAAGGAAGCTTTTTCCAAAAACTGCTTTCCATTTCAAAAAACTCCACTGATTTAAGATATTGATTTTTCACACCACCCATGACGACAATTGTATCTCCTGTCAAAACAGCACAACACCCAACTCTATTTATTAACATGGATGGTAAGACCTTAATCTCACCTACCTTACTGTCATACATGATTACATCGTTTAATATGTCAGCATTGTCGTTACGACCTCCAAGAAGAACAACTTGATCTCTCCATTGAACCGTTGCCATTCCAACTAATGGATGAGGTAATGGAGGCATTTCCTTAAATGTAAGAGTCCTTGGATCAAATTCCAAAACACTAGATAAAACTTTGCCATCTCTTCCCTGTCCTCCAAAAATAAAAACTTTATCATCAACAATAGCAGCTCCATGACCATATCGTGGTTCAGGCATATGACAGAACTCTTTTAAAATAAGAGACGTACCAGTAACGTGTATTTCACTGATAAGATCAGATTTTCCTTTATCACCAATACATCCTCCAATATGAAGAATTTGACTTTTATAAACAACAGTTTGATGACCAAACAATTCATAAGAAAGCTCTCCAGGAAATGTCTGCCATGTCAAAGGTGACTGATTAAGATTTAATGTCTCTATTGACTTGCAAGAAGATCCGCCAACAACAAATAAATTTCCATCATGAATAAATGATGAAGCTTCTGTATGTTCAATTTTCATTGTTGCAATCCTTGACCATTTCTTCTCTTTCCATGAAAACTTTTCAACACTCTTCAAATGACCGCTTGAATAGCAACCTCCAGCAATCAAAATATCATTCTTGTCGGAGTTCATAAGCTCTTCAGTTGGAGATGGCAATGTTTGAACAAGTTCAATGATCATAGCTTTCATTTCTTCCATTTCTTTGGTCACTGCCAAAAGATTTTGCCGAACATCTTTTATTTCTTTCCTTGATTCCATCATCTCTTTCGTCACTGTAGAAAGATTTTCTTGAACATCTTTCATTTGTTTCCTTGATTCGATTATTTCTTTCCTTGATTCCATCATTTCTTTATTCTGTGGAAAAAGATTTTGCCAAATATCTTTTATTTCCTTCCTTGATTCCATTGTCTCTTTCGTCACTATAGAAAGATTTTGTTGAACATCTTTTATTTCCTTCCTTGATTCCATTGTTTCTTTCGTCACTGTAGAAAGATTTTCTTGAACATCTTTTATTTGTTTTCTTGATTCAATTATTTCCCTTGATTCCATCATTTCTTTATTCTGTGGAAAAAGATTTTCTAAATATCTTTTATTTCCTTCCTTGATTCCATTGTCTTTTCGTCACTGTAGAAAGATTTTGTTGAACATCTTTTATTTCCTTCCTTGATTCCATTGTTTCTTTTCGTCACTGTAGAAAGATTTTCTTGAACATCTTTATTTGTTTTCTTGATTCAATTATTTCTTTCCTTGATTCCATCATTTCTTTTATTCTGTGGAAGGTTTTGCCAAATATCTTTTATTTCCTTCCTTGATTCCATTGTCTCTTTCGTCACTGTAGAAAGATTTTGTTGAACATCTTTTATTTCCTTCCTTGATTCCATTGTTTCTTTCGTCACTGTAGAAAGATTTTCTTGAACATCTTTTATTTGTTTTCTTGATTCGATTATTTCTTTCCTTGCTTCCATCATTTCTTTATTCTGTGTAAAAAGATTTTGCCGAACATCTTTTATTTCCTTCCTTGATTCCATCGTCTCTTTCGTCACTGTAGAAAGATTTTGTTGAACATCTTTTATTTGTTTTCTTGATTCGATTATTTCTTTCCTTGCTTCCATAATTTCTTTATTCTGTGTAAAAAGATTTTGCTGAACATCTTTTATTTCCTTCCTTGATTCCATCGTCTCTTTCGTCACTGTAGAAAGATTTTGTTGAACATCTTTCATTTGTTTCCTTGATTCGATTATTTCTTTCCTTGATTCCATCATTTCTTTGGTCAGTGTAGAAAGATTTTGTTGCACATCATTCTTTTCTTTCCTTGATTCCATAATTTCTGTCTATATTTTATAAGTTAATCGCTCTACCGTCTCTTTGTAAGGATCGATTTTTGTAATCTGAATGGAAAGTCGTTAACATTACATATGTCTTTCCATATAACTGATAATTACTTGGTGGCGAAACTAATCCAAGAAGTGCTAAAATTGTTCGTTTATTATGCTACTTGTTGAAGTAAGAAAATAAATTGAAATTCTTAGTTAACGTTCACAGACGCGACGCCAAGAATTACAATTAACAGCTGTCAACGTTGATTAACAGCTGTCGACGTTTATCCTAAACGGCCCCCTGGTACTAGGCACGCAGTTGCAGCAAGTAGCACATTCACTATTCTCAGCCAAATCCTGACCTATGTACAGGTAAAATCTCGATTTGTTTCTGTCTGTCTCTTGCTCTGTCAGTATATTCTGTCAAGGGGAGATTTTACTGCTTGAAGGGAGCGCAGAGAAAAGCAAAGAAGGGAGGGGATGCATGATTGGACATGTGCCCCTCCCTAATTAAATTTTTACAGATCCCCCATTTTCCATAGACAAGTATAGTTTCTAAAGAAAAATTCAGCGTCCTACATGTAGAAAACGTTCTCATGTTATTCTGCCTCCCCCATACTTTCGAACAGGTTTTACTGTCCTTTACCATGCAGCTTATTGTCAATAGTTAGAAAGTTGGTATATCAACTTAAATATAATTTCTCTTGAATGTTTCGCCATACATTATCGAGATGCTTTAGTAGCAAATTTGTTATGTAAAGTTAGTAATATAGTTTCAGAATCTCGCTTTACTTTCGACAAATTACCTTCGTTTTAGCAATAAGACTTCATATATGACGACCGTGTAGACAAAATTATGCTTGCTTTAGTTCTTTACATGTCACATACTTTACAAAGACGACAGATTTAATATAAAGAACGCGAACACATAAATATCAGTTTAAAATGGTAATCATAATTCATACCTTATTGTAACATCAATCTTTTATCCATGTAAGTTTTGTTACATAAACACATTTAAATAACGAACTAGGATGAAGAGTGAGTCAGGATCTCCTTCAACAAACAGTATTATAAAACATTAATGACATCTATGTAGAGCATTCTAGTTATATAACTAAGTATACATCACTGACTAAAAGCAATTGTTATAGAAATGAAAATACATAAATAAGAACCTCATGCAGAGTACATGATAACATTGAGATTAGTCAAATTCCAAAGGATTACTGCTAAATCTTATAAATTTTCACAAGTTTTAACTCAGGAATAGATGATCACTGATCTAAGACAAGATTTAAATGTCAATGATTATGACAAGATTTTGGAAGCTGTAAACGGATTTTTTACTTCATTAATCAAAAATTCCATACATGTATATTCTTGCACAAGTCACTTCATATTATAAAGAAACTTTGTTATTAAATTAATCGTATCGTTGATGTCTACGTCTATGTGCTCATGGGCATACGGGACCTGTCATTTCAGGGGGGAGGACCCTATGAACTCACAATGAAGGTTCCGCGAATTTCATTTGAAGCTACACTACTGAGTACTCCGCTCTCGTATTATTTAATAGTGTTTGCGACATGAAGTGTGTCAAATGCTAAATTAGACCGCAGGCTCATCTCACCTTCCCTCATGGATGAAAAAAACAAAATGAAGAATTTGACAGAAATTGGAACCATTGAATCAGACGATGAAATTGAAAATCATGACTGCGATGAAAGTGGTGAAGAAGATGAGGTAAGGGGAGTCTTTACGAAATGCGTTAAAGATTTGACTTAGAACTGTCGATATTTTCATAATCTAGCAAACATTACACAAGGAGAAAAATTGTATTCTTTCTCTCTGTACCTTGTTGGTCATTAAATAACGACTAAAACAAGGAGATGTATCGATGAATTTACATTCCTTAATGTCAACCTATCATTTGTTTCTCATACATGTCTCAGAAGTCCATTTGGATAAAAGTTAACAAGAAATCTTATATTTTTACCTTAAATGCTTGTGCACATTTCCATTAACTGAAAGTTTGATGTGTTGATTATTTAAAGGTAGCAAAAAGACCGTAAAAGAAGAAAGCAAAAACCAGAGAATTTAACGAACAGTTTGAATTTTCTGATTTGGATGATGAGAATCATTATAACGGATGGAATCTTGAGGAAACTGTGGAGAATTTGAGGAAGGATACAATGGTATGAGTTATTAGAAATGAAGGCATTAAACTAGAATGTAAAAAAGCAACTTTTGTGATGGTATATTACAGTTATAATACTGTCATAATATTTTATGTTAATTTGTCAATATGACAATGAAAAACAGATATTTTTTCTGATTTTAAGCTACTAACCAATATTCATTACATGTGTAAAAAGCAGGTTTATGTTAACTGTTGATTTTTAGCAGATTTTCTGCTTTGGATTTATGCCTGCAAGCAGAGGGATGCATCAAAGTGATAATTTTTAGCTATTTTTATCGAATATATTTTTGTTTTTTTTATGTAGCCAGGAAAGAGTTTGGACTCAAGGATAAATGAAATGAGAGTAAAACGAAGCAAAGAAAAGGTATTTTGAAGCATTAGACATTATACAACTTCATATTTGCGTTGATGAAGTTAGGCAGTTTTTTCTATTTTTGGCCGCATAAGTGTTACGTCATAAAAGTAGGCATAAAGATAAACATAACGATAGACAAAGATAAACATAAAGGTAGGCATAAAGGTAGACACAAAGGTAGACATAAAGGTAGACACAAAGGTAAACATAGCTGTAGGTTTCTTCCATGCAATGTAAATGAATTCATTTGCTACAGTATATGATATGTACAATGTAAGTAGAAATATAATCTATGAAAGGTAGTACTCAATGAATAGATCAGTAGTTATTCATTTAATACGTTCAGTTCATAATATTATCGTGGCCTCTGTACTAAATAAAGGAAAAGTGTTCAGCTAAACGTCGAGTATGTCTTGTATGTTGCCAGAGCAGATAAGTGACCTCCGAATAACTTCTTGTAGAGTTCACTGGCGAAGATACTAGCTTGGCTCCATTTTCAAACCATCTTCTTCTTCAACTTTAATAACAATTTTCTCATCACTATCTTCATCATCATCTTGTGTCGCTAATATCATAAAAGTAGTTTGGTCAATTAAATTATTCATTTGTATTTAGAGATAAAAATGTGATAGCTTAGAAACCGCCAGCTTATTCTATGAATCAAGTGATACAGCCATGCCTCGCTGCAATAATTCTAGAAACCTTAACGGTCTTCGTGACCAGACCATTATTCCGTTTGCCTTGAAAAACTGATTTTCTGTCGGTCTGAAAATTCGTCCCTACTCCCCATCATCCTACAACATGGATTTCTTGAGAGACCAGGGTAAAAGAGAATACTTGTTAGCTAATCGCCAAATTGTTTTTAAATAAAGAATTTTGACTACAGGATTTCTGGGGAATAAAAAATGCAATGCTTATTTTAAATGTAGTAAATTCTTTCATGAACAAAATTACAATGTAGCAACCTGTACTTCCTGTTTTCCCCTTTGCTTGACTTGTTGATGGTAAGGATTGGGCAACTTGTTCATCCGCTTCCCTAGTGTTTTTGATGTCGGTAGAACAACTTTTTTTGACATTTTTTGTTTCTTTCCATGATTTCTTCCTTTTTTCCATTGAAATGTTGCACTTTGGTGTTATGGGTAAAACTTCAGCAATGGCTTCTTTTCGTGCTTCGTTCATTGAAGGAAGCTTTTTCCAAAAACTGCTTTCCATTTCAAAAAACTCCACTGATTTAAGATATTGATTTTTCACACCACCCATGACGACAATTGTATCTCCTGTCAAAACAGCACAACACCCAACTCTATTTATTAACATGGATGGTAAGACCTTAATCTCACCTACCTTACTGTCATACATGATTACATCGTTTAATATGTCAGCATTGTCGTTACGACCTCCAAGAAGAACAACTTGATCTCTCCATTGAACTGTTGCCATTCCAACTAATGGATGAGGTAATGGAGGCATTTCCAAATGTAAGAGTCCTTGGATCAAATTCCAAAACACTAGATAAAACTTTGCCATCTCTTCCCTGTCCTCCAAAATAAAAACTTTATCATCAACAATAGCAGCTCCATGACCATATCGTGGTTCAGGCATATGACAGAACTCTTTTAAAATAAGAGACGTACCAGTAACGTGTATTTCACTGATAAGATCAGATTTTCCTTTATCACCAATACATCCTCCAATATGAAGAATTTGACTTTTATAAACAACAGTTTGATGACCAAACAATTCATAAGAAAGCTCTCCAGGAAATGTCTGCCATGTCAAAGGTGACTGATTAAGATTTAATGTCTCTATTGACTTGCAAGAAGATCCGCCAACAACAAATAAATTTCCATCATGAATAAATGATGAAGCTTCTGTATGTTCAATTTTCATTGTTGCAATCCTTGACCATTTCTTCTCTTTCCATGAAAACTTTTCAACACTCTTCAAATGACCGCTTGAATAGCAACCTCCAGCAATCAAAATATCATTCTTGTCGGAGTTCATAAGCTCTTCAGTTGGAGATGGCAATGTTTGAACAAGTTCAATGATCATAGCTTTCATTTCTTCCATTTCTTTGGTCACTGCCAAAAGATTTTGCCGAACATCTTTTATTTCTTTCCTTGACCATCATCTCTTTCGTCACTGTAGAAAGATTTTCTTGAACATCTTTCATTTGTTTCCTTGATTCGATTATTTCTTTCCTTGATTCCATCATTTCTTTATTCTGTGGAAAAAGATTTTGCCAAATATCTTTTATTTCCTTCCTTGATTCCATTGTCTCTTTCGTCACTGTAGAAAGATTTTGTTGAACATCTTTTATTTCCTTCCTTGATTCCATTGTTTCTTTCGTCACTGTAGAAAGATTTTCTTGAACATCTTTTATTTGTTTTCTTGATTCAATTATTTCTTTCCTTGATTCCATCATTTCTTTATTCTGTGGAAAAAGATTTTGCCAAATATCTTTTATTTCCTTCCTTGATTCCATTGTCTTTTCGTCACTGTAGAAAGATTTTGTTGAACATCTTTTATTTCCTTCCTTGATTCCATTGTTTCTTTCGTCACTGTAGAAAGATTTTCTTGAACATCTTTTATTTGTTTTCTTGATTCAATTATTTCTTTCCTTGATTCCATCATTTCTTTATTCTGTGGAAAAAGGTTTTGCCAAATATCTTTTATTTCCTTCCTTGATTCCATTGTCTCTTTCGTCACTGTAGAAAGATTTTCTTGAACATCTTTTATTTGTTTTCTTGATTCGATTATTTCTTTCCTTGCTTCCATCATTTCTTTATTCTGTGTAAAAAGATTTTGCCGAACATCTTTATTTCCTTCCTTGATTCCATCGTCTCTTTCGTCACTGTAGAAAGATTTTGTTGAACATCTTTTATTTGTTTTCTTGATTCGATTATTTCTTTCCTTGCTTCCATAATTTCTTTATTCTGTGTAAAAAGCTTTTGCCGAACATCTTTTATTTCCTTCCTTGATTCCATCGTCTCTTTCGTCACTGTAGAAAGATTTTCTTGAACATCTTTTATTTGTTTTCTTGATTCGATTATTTCTTTCCTTGCTTCCATCATTTCTTTATTCTGTGTAAAAAGATTTTGCTGAACATCTTTTATTTCCTTCCTTGATTCCATCGTCTCTTTCGTCACTGTAGAAAGATTTTGTTGAACATCTTTTATTTGTTTCCTTGATTCGATTATTTCTTTCCTTGATTCCATCATTTCTTTGGTCAGTGTAGAAAGATTTTGTTGCACATCATTCTTTTCTTTCCTTGATTCCATAATTTCTGTCTATATTTTATAAGTTAATCGCTCTACTGTCTCTTTGTAAGGATCGATTTTTGTAATCTGAATGGAAAGTCGTTAACATTACATATGTCTTTCCATATAACTGATAATTACTTGGTGGCGAAACTAATCCAAGAAGTGCTAAAATTGTTCGTTTATTATGCTACTTGTTGAAGTAAGAAAATAAATTGAAATTCTTAGTTAACTTTCACAGACGCGACGCCAAGAATTACAATTAACAGCTGTCAACGTTGATTAACAGCTGTCGACGTTTATCCTAAACGGCCCCCTGGTACTAGGCACGCAGTTGCAGCAAGTAGCACATTCACTATTCTCAGCCAAATCCTGACCTATGTACAGGTAAAATCTCGATTTGTTTCTGTCTGTGTCTTGCTCTGTCAGTATATTCTGTCAAGGGGAGATTTTACTGCTTGAAGGGAGCGCAGAGAAAGCAAAGAAGGAGGTGATGCATGATTGGACATGTGCCCCTCCTAATTAAATTTTACAGATCCCCATTTTCCATAGACAAGTATAGTTTCTAAAGAAAAATTCAGCGTCCTACATGTAGAAAACGTTCTCATGTTATTCTGCCTCCCCCATACTTTCGAACAGGTTTTACTGTCCTTTACCATGCAGCTTATTGTCAATAGTTAGAAAGTTGGTATATCAACTTAAATATAATTTCTCTTGAATGTTTCGCCATACATTATCGAGATGCTTTAGTAGCAAATTTGTTATGTAAAGTTAGTAATATAGTTTCAGAATCTCGCTTTACTTTCGACAAATTACCTTCGTTTTAGCAATAAGACTTCATATATGACGACCGTGTAGACAAAATTATGCTTGCCTTAGTTCTTTACATGTCACATACTTTACAAAGACGACAGATTTAATATAAAGAACGCGACCACATAAATATCAGTTTAAAAATGGTAATCATAATTCATACCTTATTGTTACATCAATCTTTTATCCATGTAAGTTTTGTTACATAAACACATTTAAATAACGAACGAAGATGAAGAGTGAGTCAGGATCTCCTTCAACAAACAGTATTATAAAACATTAATGACATCTATGTAGACATTCTAGTTATATAACTAAGTATACATCACTGACTAAAAGCAATTGTTATAGAAATGAAAATACATAAATAAGAACCTCATGCAGAGTACATGATAACATTGAGATTAGTCAAATTCCAAAGGATTACTGCTAAATCTTATAAATTTTCACAAGTTTTAACTCAGGAATAGATGATCACTGATCTAAGACAAGATTTAAATGTCAATGATTATGACAAGATTTTGGAAGCTGTAAACGGATTTTTTACTTCATTAATCAAAAATTCCATACATGTATATTCTTGCACAAGTCACTTCATATTATAAAGAAACTTTGTTATTAAATTAATCGTATCGTTGATGTCTACGTCTATGTGCTCATGGGCATACGGGACCTGTCATTTCAGGGGGGAGGACCCTATGAACTCACAATGAAGGTTCCGCGAATTTCATTTGAAGCTACACTACTGAGTACACCGCTTCTCGTTTTATTTAATAGTGTTTGCGACATGAAGTGTATCAAATGCTAAATTAGACCGCAGGCTCATCTCACCTTCCCTCATGGATGAAAAAAACAAAATGAAGAATTTGACAGAAATTGGAACCATTGAATCAGACGATGAAATTGAAAATCATGACTGCGATGAAAGTGGTGAAGAAGATGAGGTAAGGGAGGTCTTTACGAAATGCGTTAAAGATTTGACTTAGAACTGTCGATATTTTCATAATCTAGCAAACATTACACAAGGAGAAAAATTGTATTCTTTCTCTCTGTACCTTTTTGGTCATTAAATAACGACTAAAACAAGGAGATGTATCGATGAATTTACATTCATTAATGTCAACCTATCATTTGTTTCTCGTACATGTCTCAGAAGTCCATTTGGATAAAAGTTAAAAAGAAATCTTATATTTTTATCTTAAATGCTTGTGCACATTTCCATTAACTGAAAGTTTGATGTATTGATTATTTAAAGGTAGCAAAAAGACCGCAAAAGAAGAAAGCAAAAACCAGAGAATTTAACGAACAGTTTGAATTTTCTGATTTGGATGACGAGAGTCATTATAATGGATGGAATCTTGAGGAAACTGTGAAGAATTTGAGAAAGGATACAATGGTATGAGTTATTAGAAATGAAGGCATTAAACTAGAATGTAAAAAAGCAACTTTTGTGATGGTACAATACAGTTATAATATTGTCATAATATTTTATGTGAATTTGTCAATATGACAATGAAAAACAGATATTTTTTCTGGTTTTAAGCAACCAACCAATATTCGTTACATATGTGAAAAGCAGGTTTATGTTAACTGTTGATTTTTAGCAGATTTTCTCCTTTGGATTTATGCCTGCAGGCAAAGGGATGCACTAAAGTGATAATTTTTAGTTGTTATTGTTGAATATATTTTTGTTTTTTTATGTAGCCAGGAAAAAGTTTGGACTCAAGGATAAATGAAATGAGAGTAAAACGAAGCAAAGAAAAGGTATTTTGAAGCATTAGACATTATACAACTTCATATTTGCGTTGAAGAAGATAAGCAGTTTTTTCTATTTTTGGCTGCATAAGTGTAACATCATAAAAAAATTGACAGACTTTCACTCTTGAGATACTGATTTTTAAAAAAGAGTGGAGTTTGTTTTTTCATCAATTTTTGATGCTCATTTTTTGGTGGTATCCTTGGGTTTTTTAGGGATTTTTACATCTCACTAACTGCGACCACCGACTGCAACTTGTGTCATTATTGATCACGTGACACATAAGAATAAATTTTTTGAATCACCAGAAAATTTCAACATATTATAATAGGAAAGCTAAATTCAAAGAAAATATTTGGTTACCCGATATGCTAGTTCTCGCATAAAATATCCTGTCTATAGTGACCTTTTTGCTATTGCAAAATTATTTTGAAAAATACATTTGCGTTGAGACGGGGTAGTGCAGTAGTGCTGTTCAACGGAGCTAGAAGAAGTTAAGCTCAAAACAAAAACTCTGGCAATGACTTTGAGCACGTAATTGGTGAAATTTAAAATTAAAAATTTCATGAATTTTCGGGCACGTAAACTTTTTAGTTTTTACCAAAGGAAGTTGACGTTTGTTTTAACAGGAGCAAACTTTTTTATTTTGGCGGGAATTTTTTTAGTCGGCGTTTTCTCGACTTAAACCGGAGCTTTCTCGGCCAAATTCGGAGCTTTCTCGGCCAAATCGGGGGTTTCTCGGACAAGTCCGGAGGTAAAGAAAAAGAGCTCTCAACCGAGAAAATACATGCGAACAAAACGCCTATTCATCTCTGATATATATTTCCCAATTGATTTTAATTCAATGTGCCTAATTCGTGTAATTTTCTTGATTGCAGAGAGGATCATTCATACAACTTTGGTAGACATAAAGGTAGAGGTAAAGGTTGACACAAAGGTAAACATAAATGTAGACGTAAAGATAAACATATTGGTAGACATAAACGTAGACATAAAGGTAGACATAAAGGTAGACATAAAGGTAGACATAAAGGCAGACATAAAGGTAAACATAAAGGTAGACATAAAAGTAGGCATAAAGGTAAACATAAAGGTAGACATAAAGGTAGACACAAAGGTAAACATAGCTGTAGGTTTCTTCCATGCAATCTAAATGAATTCATTTACCACAGTATATGATATGTACAATGTAAGTAGAAATATAATCTATGAAAGGTAGTACTCAATGAATAGATCAGTAGTTATTCATTTAATACGTTCAGTTCATAATATTATCGTGGCCTCTGTACTAAATAAAGGAAAAGTGTTTAGCTAAACGTCGAGCATGTCTTGTATGTTGCCAGAACAGATAAGTGACCTCCAAATAACTTCTTGTAGAGTTCACTGGCGAAGATACTAGCTTGGCTCCATTTTCAAACCATCTTCTTCTTCAACTTTAATAACAATTTTCTCATCACTATCTTCATCATCATCTTGTGTCGCTAATATCATAAAAGTAGTTTGATCAATTAAATTATTCATTTGTATTTAGAGCTAAAAATGTGATAGCTTAGAAACTGTCAGCTTATTCTGTGAGTCAAGTGATACAGCCAGGCCTCGCTGCAATAATTCTAGAAACCTTAACGGTCTTCGAGACCAGACCATTATTCCGTTTGCCTTGAAAAACTGATTTTTTGTCGTTCTTTCAAAGAAAATTCGTCCCTCCACCCCCCCATCATCCTACAACATGGATTTCTTGGGAGACCAGTGTAAAAGGGAATATTTGTTAGCTAATCGCCATATTGTTTTTAAATACAGAATTTTGACTACAGGATTTCTGGAGAATAAAAAATGCAATGCTTATTTTAAATGTAGTAATTTCTTTTATGAACAAAATTACAATGTAGCAACCTGTACTTCCTGTTTTCCCTTGACTTGTTGATGGTAAGGATTGGCCAACTTGTTCATCCGTTTCTAGTGTTTTGATGTCGGTAGAACAACTTTTTGACATTTTTGTTTCTTTCCATGCTTTCTTCTTTTTCCATTGAAATGTTGCACTTTGGTGTTATTGGTAAAACTTCAGCAATGGCTTCTTTTCGTGCTTCGTTCATTGAAGGAAGTTTTTCCAAAACTGCTTTCCATTTCAAAAACTCCACTGATTTAAGATATTGATTTTCACACCACCCATGACGACAATTGTATCTCCTGTCAAAACAGCACAACACCCAAATCTATTTATTATCATGGATGGTAAGACAGTAGTCTTACCTATCTTACTGTCATACATGATTACATCGTTTAATATGTCAGCATTGTCGTTACGACCTCCAAGAAGAACAACTTGATCTCTCCATTGAACTGTTGCCATTCCAACTAATGGATGAGGTAATGGAGGCATTATTCCAAATGTTAGAGTCTTTGGATCAAACTCCAAAACACTAGATAAAACTTTGCCATCTCTTCCCTGTCCTCCAAAAATAAACACTTTATCATCAACAACAGCAGCTCCATGACCATATCGTGGTTCAGGCATACGACAGAGCTCTTCTAAAATAAGGACGTAGCAGTAACGTGTATTTCACTGATAAGATCAGATTTTCCTTTATCACCAATACATCCTCCAATGAGAAGAACTTGACTTTTACAAACAACAATTTGATGACCAAAGCATTCATAAGGAAGCTCTACAGGACATATCTGCCATGTCAAAGGTGACTGATTAAGATTTAATGTCTCTATTGACTTGCTAGAAGATCCACCAACAACAAATAAATTTCCATTATAAATAAATGATGAAGCTTCTGTATGTTCAATTTTCATTGTTGCAATCTTTGACCATTTCTTCTCTTCCCATGAAAACTTTTCAACACTCTTTAAGTGACCGCTTGAATAGCAACCTCCAGCAATCAAAATATCATTCTTGTCTGAGTTCATAAACTCTTCAGTTGGAGATGGCAATGTTTGAACAAGTTCATTGATCATGGCTTTCATTTCTTTTATTTCTTTATTCTGTGTAAAAAGATTTTGCTGAACATCTTTTATTTCCTTCCTTGATTCCATCGTTTCTTTCGTCACTGTAGAAAGATTTTCTTGAACATCTTTTATTTGTTTCCTTGATTCGATTATTTTTTTCTTAATTCCATCATTTCTTTAGTCTGTGTAAAAGTTTTTGCCGAACATCTTTTATTTCCTTCCTTGATTCCATCGTTTCTTTCGTCACTGTAGAAAGATTTTCTTGAACATCTTTCATTTGTTTCCTTGATTCGATTATTTCTTTTCTTGATTCCATCATTTCTTTGGTCAGTGTAGAAAGATTTTGTTGCACATCATTCTTTTCTTTCTTTGATGCCATAATTTCTGTCTATATTTTATAAGTTAATCGCTCTACCGTCTCTTTATAAGGATCGATTTTGTAATCTGAATGGAAAGTCGTTAACATTTCGTAAGTCTTTCCATATAACTGATAATTACTTGGTGTCGAAACTAATCCAAGAAGTGCTAAAATTGTTCGTTTATTTTGCTACTTGTTGAAGTAAAAAGATGAATTGAAATTCTTAGTTAACGTTCACAGACGCGACGCCAAGAATTACAATTAACAGCTGTCAACGTGGCAGCCGTTGATGCTAAACGGCCCCCTGGTACTAGGCACGCAGTTGCAGCTGGTAGCACATTCACTATTCTCAGCCAAATCCTGACCTATATACAAGTAAAATCTCGATTTGTTTCTGTCTCTCTTGGTCTGTCAGTATATACTGTCAAAGGAGATTTTACTGTTTGAAGGGAGCGCAGAGAAAAGCAAAGAAGGAGGTGATGCATGATTGGACATGTGCCCTCCCTAAATAAATTTTACAGATCCCCCATTTTGCATCAACAAGTATAGTTTCTAAAAAAAAATTCAGCGTCCTACATGTAGAAAACGTTCTCATGTTATTCTGCCTCCCCCATACTTTTGAACAGGTTTTACTGTCCTTTACCATGCAGCTTATTGTCAATAGTTAGAAAGTTGGTATATCAACTTAAATATAATTTCTCTTGAATGTTTCGCCATACATTATCGAGATGCTTTAGTAGCAAATTTGTTATGTAAAGTTAGTAATATAGTTTCAGAATCTCGCTTTACTTTCGACAAATTACCTTCGTTTTAGCAATAAGACTTCATATATGACGACCGTGTAGACAAAATTATGCTTGCTTTAGTTCTTTACATCTCACATACCTTACAAAGACGACAGATTTAATATAAAGAACGCGAACACATAAATATCAGTTTAAAAATGGTAATCATAATTCATACCTTATTGTAACATCAATCTTTTATCCATGTGAGTTTTGTTACATAAACACATTTAAATAACGAACTAGGATGAAGAGTGAGTCAGGATCTCCTTCAACAAACAGTATTGTAAAACATTAATGACATCTATGTAGAGCATTCTAGTTATATAACTAAGTATACATCACTGACTAAAAGCAATTGTTATAGAAATGAAAATACATAAATAAGAACCTCATGCAGAGTACATGATAACATTGAGATTAGTCAAATTCCAAAGGATTACTGCTAAATCTTATAAATTTTCACAAGTTTTAACTCAGGAATAGATGATCACTGATCTAAGACAAGATTTAAATGTCAATGATTATGACAAGATTTTGAAAGCTGTAAACGGATTTTTTACTTCATTAATCAAAAATTCCATACATGTATATTCTTGCACAAGTCACTTCATATTATAAAGAAACTTTGTTATTAAATTAATCGTATCGTTGATGTCTACGTCTATGTGCTCATGGGCATACGGGACCTGTCATTTCAGGGGGGAGGACCCTATGAACTCACAATGAAGGTTCCGCGAATTTCATTTGAAGCTACACTACTGAGTACTCCGCTTCGTATTATTTAATAGTGTTTGCGACATGAAGTGTGTCAAATGCTAAATTAGACCGCAGGCTCATCTCACCTTCCCTCATGGATGAAAAACAAAATGAAGAATTTGACAGAAATTGGAACCATTGAATCAGACGATGAAATTGAAAATCATGACTGCGATGAAAGTGGTGAAGAAGATGAGGTAAGTCTTTACGAAATGCGTTAAAGATTTGACTTAGAACTGTCGATATTTTCATAATCTAGCAAACATTACACAAGGAGAAAAATTGTATTCTTTCTCTCTGTACCTTGTTGGTCATTAAATAACAACTAAAACAAGGAGATGTATCGATGAATTTACATTCCTTAATGTCAAACTATCATTTGTTTCTCATACATGTCTCAGAAGTCCATTTGGATAAAAGTTAACAAGAAATCTTATATTTTTACCTTAAATGCTTGTGCACATTTCCATTAACTGAAAGTTTGATGTGTTGATTATTTAAAGGTAGCAAAAAGGCCGCAAAAGAAGAAAGCAAAAACCAGAGAATTTAACGAACAGTTTGAATTTTCTGATTTGGATGATGACAGTCATTATAATGGATGGAATCTTGAGGAAACTGTGGAGAATTTGAGAAAGGATACAATGGTATGAGTTATTAGAAATGAAGGCATTAAACTAGAATGTAAAAAAGCAACTTTTGTGATGGTATAAAACAGTTATAATACTGTCATAATATTTTGTGTGAATTTGTCAATATGACAATGAAAAACAGATATTTTTTCTGGTTTTAAGCAACTAACCAATATTCGTTACATGTGTGAAAAGCAGTTTTATGTTAACTGTTGAACTTTAGCAGATTTTCTGCTTTGGATTTATGCCTGCAAGCAAAGGGATGCATCAAAGTGATAATTTTAGCTGTTATGATATTTTGTACAGGATTTGGATGGATAAATGAAATGAGAGTAAAAGCAAGCAAATTTTTGAAGCATTAGGTTATACAACTTCATCATTGAAGAGATAAGCAGTTTTTCTAAAGTGACATAAGTGTGACATCATATTAGACTTTATGTTGAGATACTGTTTTCAAAGTGAGTGGATTTGTTTATCAATTTTGATGCTCATTTTTGTATCCTTGGGTTTTAGTTTTTACATCTCACTAACGCCACCGGCTGCATTGGTCATTATCGATCACGTGACACATAAGACAAAATTATTTGAATCACCAGAAAATTTAAACATATTATAATAGGACTAAATTGAAAATATTTGGTTATCCGATGTGCTAGTTATAATATCCTTCTATAGTGACCTTTTGCCTGCAAATTATTTTGAAATACATGCGTTGAGACGAGTAGTGCAGTAGTGCTTTCAACGAGCTAGAAGTTAAGCTCAAAACAAACTTGGCAATGATTTGAACGTAATTGGTGAAATTTAAAATTGAATTTTCGGACACGTAAACTTTTGTTTTTACCGAAGGATTATTTGAACAGGAACGAACTTTTATTTTGGCAAATGTGGACTCAAATTCGGAGGGCAAATGTTACAAGTCCGAGTAAAAGTAGAGAAACATAACAAAACGTATTCATCTCTGATATATATTCCCATATTTTACAATGTGCATAATTCGTGTAATCTTGATCAAGTAAACAACTTTGGTAGACATAAAGGTATAAACATAAACATAAATGGTAAAGATAAACATAAGACATAAGGACATAAAGGTAGACATAAAGGTAGACAGTTAAACATAAAGGTAGACATAAAAGGTAGACATAAAGGTAGACATAAAGGTAGACACAAAGTAGCATAGCTGTAGGTTTCTTCCATGCAATGTAAATGAATTCATTTGCTACACAGTATGCCATATGTACAATGTAAGTAGAAATATAATTTATGAAAGGTTGTACTCAATGAATAGATCAGTAGTTATTCATTTATCACGTTCAGTGCATAATATTATCGTGGCCTCTGTACTAAATAAAGGAAAAATGTTTAGCTAAGCGTCGAGGCATGTCTTGTATGTTGCCAGAGCAGATAAGTGACCTCCAAATAACTTCTTGTAGAGTTCACTGGCGAAGATACTAGCTTGGCTCCATTTTCAAATCATCTTCTTCTTCAACTTTAACAATTTTTCTCATCACTATCTTCATCATCATCTTGTGTCGCTAATATCATAAAAGTAGTTTGATCAATTAAATTATTCATTTTGTATTTAGAGCTAAAAATGTGATAGCTTAGAAACTGTCAGCTTATTCTGTGAGTCAAGTGATACAGCCAGGCCTCGCTGCAATAATTCTAGAAACCTTAACGGTCTTCGAGACCAGACCATTATTCCGTTTGCCTTGAAAAACTGATTTTTTGTCGTTCTTTCAAAGAAAATTCGTCCCTCCACCCCCCCATCATCCTACAACATGGATTTCTTGGAGACCAGTGTAAAGAGAATATTTGTTAGCTAATCGCCATATTGTTTTTAAATGCAAATTTTGACTACAGGATTTCTGGAGAATAAAAATGCAATGCTTATTTTAAATGTAGTAATTTCTTTTATGAACAAAATTACAATGTAGCAACCTGTACTTCCTGTTTTCCCTTGACTTGTTGGGTAAAGTTAGTGGCCAACTTGTTCATCCGTTTCCCTAGTGTTTTTGATGTCGGTAGAACAACTTTTTTTGGCATTTTTTGTTTCTTTCCATGCTTTCTTCCTTTTTTCCATTGAAATGTTGCACTTTGGTGTTATGGGTAAAACTTCAGCAATGGCTTCTTTTCGTGCTTCGTTCATTGAAGGAAGTTTTTCCAAAACTGCTTTCATTTCAAAAACTCCACTGATTTAAGATATTGATTTTTCACACCACCCATGACGACAATTGTATCTCCTGTCAAAACAGCACAACACCCAAATCTATTTATTATCATGGATGGTAAGACAGTAGTCTTACCTATCTTACTGTCATACATGATTACATCGTTTAATATGTCAGCATTGTCGTTACGACCTCCAAGAAGAACAACTTGATCTCTCCATTGAACTGTTGCCATTCCAACTAATGGATGAGGTAATGGAGGCATTATTCCAAATGTTAGAGTCTTTGGATCAAACTCCAAAACACTAGATAAAACTTTGCCATCTCTTCCCTGTCCTCCAAAAATAAACACTTTATCATCAACAACAGCAGCTCCATGACCATATCGTGGTTCAGGCATACGACAGAGCTCTTCTAAAATAAGGGACGTAGCAGTAACGTGTATTTCACTGATAAGATCAGATTTTCCTTTATCACCAATACATCCTCCAATGAGAAGAACTTGACTTTTACAAACAACAATTTGATGACCAAAGCATTCATAAGGAAGCTCTACAGGACATATCTGCCATGTCAAAGGTGACTGATTAAGATTTAATGTCTCTATTGACTTGCTAGAAGATCCACCAACAACAAATAAATTTCCATTATAAATAAATGATGAAGCTTCTGTATGTTCAATTTTCATTGTTGCAATCCTTGACCATTTCTTCTCTTCCCATGAAAACTTTTCAACACTCTTTAAGTGACCGCTTGAATAGCAACCTCCAGCAATCAAAATATCATTCTTGTCTGAGTTCATAAACTCTTCAGTTGGAGATGGCAATGTTTGAACAAGTTCATTGATCATGGCTTTCATTTCTTTTATTTCTTTATTCTGTGTAAAAAGATTTTGCTGAACATCTTTTATTTCCTTCCTTGATTCCATCGTTTCTTTCGTCACTGTAGAAAGATTTTCTTGAACATCTTTTATTTGTTTCCTTGATTCGATTATTTCTTTTCTTAATTCCATCATTTCTTTAGTCTGTGTAAAAGTTTTTGCCGAACATCTTTTATTTCCTTCCTTGATTCCATCGTTTCTTTCGTCACTGTAGAAAGATTTTCTTGAACATCTTTCATTTGTTTCCTTGATTCGATTATTTCTTTTCTTGATTCCATCATTTCTTTGGTCAGTGTAGAAAGATTTTGTTGCACATCATTCTTTTCTTTCTTTGATGCCATAATTTCTGTCTATATTTTATAAGTTAATCGCTCTACCGTCTCTTTATAAGGATCGATTTTGTAATCTGAATGGAAAGTCGTTAACATTTCGTAAGTCTTTCCATATAACTGATAATTACTTGGTGTCGAAACTAATCCAAGAAGTGCTAAAATTGTTCGTTTATTTTGCTACTTGTTGAAGTAAAAAGATGAATTGAAATTCTTAGTTAACGTTCACAGACGCGACGCCAAGAATTACAATTAACAGCTGTCAACGTGGCAGCCGTTGATGCTAAACGGCCCCCTGGTACTAGGCACGCAGTTGCAGCTGGTAGCACATTCACTATTCTCAGCCAAATCCTGACCTATATACAAGTAAAATCTCGATTTGTTTCTGTCTGTCTCTTGGTCTGTCAGTATATACTGTCAAAGGAGATTTTACTGTTTGAAGGGCGCAGAGAAAGCAAAGAAGGAGGTGATGCATGATTGGACATGTGCCCCTCCCTAAATAAATTTTTACAGATCCCCCATTTTGCATCGACAAGTATAGTTTCTAAAAAAAAATTCAGCGTCCTACATGTAGAAAACGTTCTCATGTTATTCTGCCTCCCCCATACTTTCGAACAGGTTTTACTGTCCTTTACCATGCAGCTTATTGTCAATAGTTAGAAAGTTGGTATATCAACTTAAATATAATTTCTCTTGAATGTTTCGCCATACATTATCGAGATGCTTTAGTAGCAAATTTGTTATGTAAAGTTAGTAATATAGTTTCAGAATCTCGCTTTACTTTCGACAAATTACCTTCGTTTTAGCAATAAGAGTTCATATATGACGACCGTGTAGACAAAATTATGCTTGCCTTAGTTCTTTACATGTCACATACTTTACAAAGACGACAGATTTAATTTAAAGAACGCGAACACATAAATATCAGTTTAAAATGGTAATCATAATTCATACCTTATTGTTACATCAATCTTTTATCCATGTAAGTTTTGTTACATAAACACATTTAAATAACGAACGAAGATGAAGAGTGAGTCAGGATCTCCTTCAACAAACAGTATTATAAAACATTAATGACATCTATGTAGACATTCTAGTTATATAACTAAGTATACATCACTGACTAAAAGCAATTGTTATAGAAATGAAAATACATAAATAAGAACCTCATGCAGAGTACATGATAACATTGAGATTAGTCAAATTCCAAAGGATTACTGCTAAATCTTATAAATTTTCACAAGTTTTAACTCAGGAATAGATGATCACTGATCTAAGACAAGATTTAAATGTCAATGATTATGACAAGATTTTGGAAGCTGTAAACGGATTTTTTACTTCATTAATCAAAAATTCCATACATGTATATTCTTGCACAAGTCACTTCATATTATAAAGAAACTTTGTTATTAAATTAATCGTATCGTTGATGTCTACGTCTATGTGCTCATGGGCATACGGGACCTGTCATTTCAGGGGGAAGGACCTTATCAACTCACAATGAAGGTTCCGCGATAGCATTTGAAGCTACACTACTGAGTACACCGCTTCTCGTATTATTTAATAGTGTTTGCGACATGAAGTGTGTCAAATGCTAAATTAGACCGCAGGCTCATCTCACCTTCCCTCATGGATGAAAAAAACAAAATGAAGAATTTGACAGAAATTGGAACCATTGAATCAGACGATGAAATTGAAAATCATGACTGCGATGAAAGTGGTGAAGAAGATGAGGTAAGGGGAGTCTTTACGAAATGCGTTAAAGATTTGACTTAAAACTGTCGATATTTTCATAATCTAGCAAACATTACACAAGGAGAAAAATTGTATTCTTTCTCTCTGTACCTTGTTGGTCATTAAATAACGACTAAAACAAGGAGATGTATCGATGAATTTACATTCCTTAATGTCAACCTATCATTTGTTTCTCATACATGTCTCAGAAGTCCATTTGGATAAAAGTTAACAAGAAATCTTATATTTTTACCTTAAATGCTTGTGCACATTTCCATTAACTGAAAGTTTGATGTGTTGATTATTTAAAGGTAGCAAAAGACCACAAAAAAGAAAGCAAAAACCAGAGAATTTAACGAACAGTTTGAATTTTCTGATTTGGATGATGAGAATCATTATAACGGATGGAATCTTGAGGAAACTGTGGAGAATTTGAGAAAGGATACAATGGTATGAGTTATTAGAAATGAAGGCATTAAACTAGAATGTAAAAAAGCAACTTTTGTGATGGTATAATACAGTTATAATACTGTCATAATATTTTGTGTGAATTTGTCAATATGACAATGAAAAACAGATATTTTTTCTGGTTTTAAGCAACTAACCGATATTTGTTACATGTGTGAAAAGCAGGTTTATGTTAACTGTTGATTTTTAGCAGATATTCTGCTTTGGATTTATGCCTGCAAGCAGAGGGATACATCAAAGTGATAATTTTTAGCTGTTTTTATCGAATATAATTTTGTTTTTTTATGTAGCCAGGAAAGAGTTTGGACTCAAGGATAAATGAAATGAGAGTAAAACGAAGCAAAAAAAAGGTATTTTGAAGCATTAGACATTATACAACTTCATATTTGCATTGAAGAAGTTAAGCAGTTTTTTCTATTTTTGGCTGCATAAGTGTTACGCCATAAAAAAATTGACAGACTTTCACTCTCGAGATACTGATTTTCAAAAGTAAGTGGAGTTTGTTTTTTCATCAATTTTTGATGCTATTTTTTTGTGGTATCGTTGGGTTTTAGGGATTTTTACATCTCACTAACTGCGACCACTGACTGCAACTTGTGTCATTATCGATCACGTGACACATAAGACAAAATTATTTGAATCACCAGAAAATTTAAACATATTAAAATAGGAAAGCTAAATTCAAAGAAAATATTTGGTTATCCGATATGCTAGTTCTTGCATAGAATTTCCTGTCTATAGTGACCTTTTTGCTATTGCGAAATTATTTTGAAAAATACATTTGCGTTGAGACGGGGTAGTGCAGTAGTGCTGTTCACCGCAGCTAGAAGGAGTTAAGCTCAAAACAAAAGCTCCGGCAATGAGTTTGAACACGTAATTGGTGAAATTTCAAATTTAAAATTTCATGAATTTTCGGGCTCGTAAACTTTTTAGTTTTTACCGAAGGAAGTGGAAGATTGTTTTAACAGGAACGAACTTTTTTATTTTGGCGGGAATTTTTTAGTCGGCGTTTTCTCGACCTAAACCGGAGCTTTCTCGGCCAAATTCGGAGCTTTTTCGGCCAAATCGGGAGTTTCTCGGGCGAATCCGGAGGTAAAGAAAAAGAGCTCTAATAATTTTGTTTGAATCTGTTTTTAGAAATCTTCACAAAATATTGAAAGCAATTGCACAGAAGAGCAGGTTGAAATGAATGAGAGTTCAGAAAGTGAAGATTTTAATGAAGACGATAACAACGTTGGCGAAGATGGCGAAAGAATCTTTAAGAAAGGAACAAAAGTAAATTTTCGTCTTGCGGAATCATCGCTGTTTTGATGTCAAGTTCATTTTTGATCTTTTTAAATTTTTATAGACAAAGGACTTTTTCGAAGAAGGCCCAACTGAATACTCCCATCTAAAATTTACAGACATGAATTTGTCTAGACCTATTTTAAAGGTATGTTTTTTCCTTCTGGATGTATATTTGGGCATTGTCGTTTTGCTTTATACCGTGACATTCCTGTAAAAACATAACCGTACACTGTCTCCCATTTTCACGAAAAGTTAGTTTTAATTTTCATAATTATATCATTTAAATCACTCATTGCATTGGTCCTTCGTGAAATTAGGAAGGTGAAGAAAATGTGATTTCGCTGGTGATGTTTCTCAACATCTTGTTTCTTAAACATTTTAAATTTTAACCCCAAGGCAATCAATGAAATGAAATTCACTAACCCGACGCCAATACAGTGTGCAACAATACCAGTCGCTCTCATGGGAAAAGACATTTGTGGATGCGCTGCCACAGGGACAGGTAGGGATATAGTGTGCTGTAACTGGGACAGGTAGGAGTTTATTGTGCTGTAACTGGGACAGGTAGGGATGTAGTACGCTGTCACAGGGACAGGTGGGGATTTAATGTGCTGTAACTGGGACAGGTAGAGATTTAGTGTGCTGTAACTTGGACAGGTAGGGATTTAATGTGCTTTAACTGGGACAGGTAGGGATTTAATGTGCTGTAACTGGGACAGGTAGGGATTTAATGTGCTGTGGCGTTTTGATTGGGGCATGCGTCAAATAAATATGCTGTTACAGGGATAGGTGGGGATTTATTTTGAGGCTTCAGGGATTGGTAGGGACTTAAGGTGCTGCTACCGGGACATATTGGGAATAAATGTGCTTCTATCTATCAAAAACATTTGATTTGAGAAGACAAGCATACACTGAAACGGATCTTGTATGTTTCTAGGAAAGACTGCAGCTTTTGTTTTACCTATTATGGAACGTCTTCTTTTCCGTCCTGTTCAAGTTGCCACATCTAGAGTTTTAATTTTAGTTCCAACGAGAGAACTGGCCATTCAGGTATTGGACATTCTTCTTTGTCTGAATCAATATGTACACACTTAAGTTTCAACATCAGATCACTCTTGATGAAGATATTAGACCGGAATATATAAAAACTCAAGTTTCAACATGAAATCTTTACTCGTGAATAAACTAGACTGGTGTGCATACAAACTCAAGTTTCAACATTCTTTTAAATTTGTTTATCGCGCATTTTCAGGTACATTCTGTCAGTAAGTCTCTGGCAAAGTTTACGAACATCGAGATTTGCCTCGCCACCGGGGGACTGGAACTTAAATCGCAAGAAGCAGCATTACGTAAGAATCCTGACGTCATCATTGCAACACCAGGTCGTTTGGTTGACTTTCTTCATAACACTCCGTCATTTGATTTACAATTTATTGAAATCTTGGTTCTCGATGAGGCTGACAGGTATGAATAATCTGTTGGATTACTTTATTTTGTGTCAATAACTCCAAAAGCGTGATTTTTGTTATTTTGGTCAATTCTCACCTTTCGTCTGTGTCCAGCCTGTTATCAGGATGTGGTTTCCCCTAAAAACTAAGGTTATTTAACGCTTGCAAGTTCGTCATAAACTTTATATTCCATGACATAATCTTACTTAGTGAAACTGTAGTTTTATTTAAAAATGCACGCGTCATCGTGAATTGTAATTTCTTTTCAAGAATGTTGGACGAGAACTATCGCGATCAAATTGAAGAAATTGTGAAGTTTTCACCCAAGGGCAGACAGACAATGTTGTTTTCTGCGACTATGACGGAAGAGGTGAGTGATAGCCGAAAGCGTTTTCAGAAACTTTAATTTAACAAAGGCAACACACTGTATTGTAATATAGTAAATGGTTTGAACCCGGGAGTATAGTTACATGTTTGTAGATGTAGATCGTCCAGGTTAATATTGCCCTGAGAAGGACTGTTTTTGTTGTTGTTGTTGACTGACGTTTCGACAACCTTAGCGGTAGTCATCTTCAGAGTCAAACGATGATTAAACCTTCGACAAATACGGCTAACCTGACGTTTACTCCTCATTTGACTCTGAAGATGACTACCGCTAAGGTTGTCGAAACGTCAGTCAACAACAACAAAAACAGTCCTTCTCAGGACTATACTAACCTGGACGATCTACATCTACAAACATACTGTATTGTGCTGGTCAAATTTTATTCCACGGACCACGTACCTCTAACCACGACTAAGCAGTAATCATACCCGTTCAAAGAATCATCTGATGTGTTAAAAACTTGATGGTTTGATATGCAAGGAAGTAAAAAGTGAACATTTCATTTTTTAGGTCAACGAACTTGTTACGTTGTCACTTAACCGTCCTGTCAAATTATTTATTGACAACAACACTGACGTCGCTGAGAACTTGAGACAGGAGTTTGTACGAATTAAGAAGAATCGGGAAGAAGACAGAACGTCCATTGTCGTCGGTAGATACTCATGTGGATACTGTATAGCAGAACTAGTAGTCATGGGCGAAACTAGAACGCTAACTGGGGAGGGGGTGGGGAGATTCATACATTCAGCTCTGCCCTTTCTTTTGAAAATAAAATCGCCAACAAATATACGTTATAGCTGAATATATGAATATTCACCCCCTAATTAGCGTTCTAGTTTCGCCCCATGGATCTAGTTTTGTATTTTTTTATTTGATGTTTGGTTCAATTCAGTGTTTTAACTTTAAAATAAGTTTGTTCGATGTTTAAGAAAAATAAAGATGATTTAGACGAGTGAACATGAAGCATATGTACACCACTTTTATGTACCAAGATAAATTCCTAAAATCACATCTATAAATCATGTTTGTTTAGATTATAGATGTATTAACAATAACAGCAACAAATAATTTAATATCACATACGTAAAACAAATAGAATATAAAACAAATTCCGAAGAAGCAAGATATCTTGAGATTGCAAAATATGAATCAAAACAAGACGAGAAGTAAACTGTAAATTTTCGACTTTATTTCAAAGTCATGCTCAGACAGAATCAGACAGTCTTGTTTTGATTCATATTTTGCAATCTCAAGATGTCTTGCTTCTTCGGAATTTGTTTTATATTATACTTCTTTAAATTGTCGGCTGGTCATGGTTAAAACAAATACTGTATGTTTATCTTGTGTTTTCTTTACAGAACTTTCTCATTGCGGTTTTCATCATTTAATTTAATTTTATTTAGCACTTTGCTCCCGAGGTTTTCACGAAAACTGTTTGATATTTGTTCATACGAAGCAACTGGCTCATCGTCTACGAATATTTCTTGGTCTCTTGGGTATAAATGCCGACGAACTCCATGGCAACCTCACGCAATTACAGGTACATCGAAGTTTTTCCTTAAGTATTACTTATTCTCTCCCCTGTGAATCCTCTGAACACCCCTCTGAACACGTAAGATCATGAAAGTTAATGTACGTACCCCCCTTCTTTTGTTTTTTATTGTATAATTAACAGAGAGGTCGACAACTATTTTTGTATGATATCATTTTTTAAAGACTTCCATTTTCGTTAACACTTAATGTAAACCATCTGGAAATGAATTTCTCGCGCTCATGTAAAATCCTGTATACTTTTTGTTATGTAGCTACTAGAACTTGGTTCCAGTCTCCTTTTGACGTATCCATTAGGACAGGGGTCTCCAAACTACGGCCCGCGGGCCAGATGAGGCCCGTTGGGCTTCTCAATCCGGCCCGCAGAGGCACTTCAGAAAAAATAATAATATTATTAAACAAAATAAACTTTGTGCAGAAAGTTCACGTTATGTCGCAAACCAACTAGCAAGAGTGGCTTACGTCAATTTTTCTCCCAACTTCCTACTTCCGTTTCAAGCACACTGTGAAATTTAAAAAGCTGAAGGATAACGTGGAAATTTTTTATATTCTTCGGCCCTCAACATGCTGGATGAAAGTTCATGCGGCCCTCTGGCTGTAAAGTTTGGAGACCCCTGCATTAGGACTAAATTCCAGTCCCCTCTCATTCACTATTTTCCAACATATTCTCGATGTGTATTTTCAATATAAGACAATTGCCTTCACACAAGTTGACCTAAAAATGATTATTTTCATATAAGAGATTGGAAGCTTTAAATAAATTCAAGAAACGAGAGGTCGACGTCTTGGTCGCCACGGATCTTGCGTCACGTGGTTTGGATGTTGTTGGTGTAAAAACAGTGAGTGGATGAAAGAATGGTGACCACGTGATATATAATGATAAGCACGTGCCCAATATATATATAGCACTGGTTTTCTGTAGCATCAGTTATCATAACAAATCAACTTTCATTTTTTATATAAAGGTTATCAATTTTTCGATGCCAAATTCCATCAAGCAGTACATACATCGAGTTGGTAGAACTGCGCGGGCAGGGCTTTCAGGCAGGTATGCCAGCCTTAAAATTGTGAGGATGATACTTTACGTCATGATGTCGGACGTTATTTTATAGCTTTGTCACACGTCAGCGTTCATGTTAGCCCCAATAATCCTAAAAACTCTCTGCCGATCCCTGTTTGTCACACGTCAGCGTTCATGTTAGCCCCAATAATCCTAAAAACTCTCTGCCTATCCCTGTTTGTCACACGTCAGCGTTCATGTTAACCCCAATAATCCTAAAAACTCTCTGCCTATCCCTGTTTGTCACACGTCAGCGTTCATGTTAACCCCAATAATCCTAAAAACTCTCTGCCGATCCCTGTTTGTCACATGTCAGCGTTCATGTTAACCCCAACAATCCTAAAAACTCTCTGCCGATCCCTGTTTGTCACACGTCAGCGTTCATGTTAGCCCCGACAATCCTAAAAACTCTCTGCCGACCCTGTTTGTCAACTACTTCAAAATGGTTTTAAACATAAAAGGATAGGTAAGTTTATGTAAACTGAACATTCAATATGATGATGCTCAGATCCATAAGTTTGGTCGGCGAGAACGGACGAAAATTATTAAAAGAAATCGTGAAAGAAGCTCGAAATCCCGTCAAGAGTCGAGTCATTGCCCCTGAAATCATCGAAAAGTTCAAAAAGAAACTGAAATCATTTGAAGATGATGTACAAGAAATTTTAAAACAAGAAAAAGAAGATAGAGAAGTATGTATGACCATGTTTATTTTCAGAAATGTTATATAAGTTTTATCAACGAATAAGGAACGAGTTACCTTAATTTACTAATTTTGTGTCAACATTTGTGTTAACTTTTGTAATTGCTTTTTTGTCCAATTTGTGTCAAGTTTTGTTTCTTGTTACTGTATGTGCATTTTTGTGGTCTACATGATGTAAAATTGATCAATAATAACACCGTTCATTATTATTTTCAGTTGAGAATCTCTGAAATGGAAGTTAGCAAAGCGAAGAATATGATTATGCATCGTGGTGAGATTGAGAGCCGTCCGCCAAGAGTCTGGTTCCAAGTTGACTCGTCCAAAGAAGACAAGAAGACATCGAAGAAAAGTCGAAAATCTACCAAACTTAAGAATGAAAAGGTATACTATGGTGAACACATCTTGTAGAATTTCTTTATTTTTTTGTTAAGTTCATTTGCTTTCAACTCGGGCCTTTAAATTATGTGTCCGTTAACGAGAGTGAAATCGATGTCTGTAGCAGAAAGTCAGTTCTTTTTTAAACCTATATTTATAAACGTGCATCTAATGCAACCAATAAATTTTTGTTGTTATAGAAACTAGAGCCAGATGAACTAAAGGCGATACATTTTCAACAATATTTAAGACGAGAAGAGAAAAGAAAAAATAGGAAAAAACGTCTTCATGCATTTTCATCTGACGATAAAGGTTTGTGTGCGTGTTGTTTTAAGTAGTTTGCGTGTTGTTTTTGGTAGTTTGCGTGTTGTTTTTGGTAGTTTGCGTGTTGTTTTGGTAGCTTGCGTGTTGTTTTTGGTAGCTTGCGTGTTGTTTTGAGTAGCTTGCGTGTTGTTTTGAGTAGCTTGCATGTTGTTTTTGGTAGCTTGCGTGTTGTTTTGTTTTGTGTAGCTTGCGTGTTTGTTTTATAGCTCTGCTTTGATCTGTATATATGAAGTGGAAGTTGTACAAGTAGATATTTTTATGAAACTTTAACTTTCTGTTCTGAAAAGTTTTACGTCCATATCATCTTCTTTAACTTACTCGGGGCGCATTGCTTCTTTTTGAAGTTAGTCTCATTTCAATAAAGATTTGTCCGCTAAACCGACGAAAAAGAGAAAAAAGACAGCTAGTAAAACAGGAGGAAGCAAGGCTTTCGAAAAAGAACTGACCGACACGAGTCGCAAGGCTCTGAAAGAGTTCCGAAGCAGGTAATGCGTGTTTTTATTGATGTTTGATGTGTCATGTCGGTGTTGATACTCTGGGAACACTTTTTCTCACAAAAAAATATTGAATTTATTGTTATTGAGACGTTATAAAACAATCATGAAAAATGCATGTACGCAATAATCAATTCATAAATAACAATAAAGAAATGCATAATTTCTTTAAACCATGTTCAAGCAGATAACTATCCTTTGATCCTTACACGTAGTTCTAAATTAGTGTTTCAACTTCTAGCTCATCTTTAAACAAGAAAAATGGAATGGCGAAAAGAAAACAGAAAGCAAAGTACGTGAGTTATATTCTGAAATGTATAAACTTTGTTGTGTACTAACATTTTATTGGAAAGATTTAATCAACTGTTCAAATGTTACTGAACGCTGACGTTCGATGGTTCGGTATGTTTCTAAAACTTAGGAAGAGGATCTACAACATATTCGAAATGCGTTAACTGTTTTGCTGCTTGTAGAAATTTTTCATTAATTTTCATATTTCAACCAGTGTTTATTCTGCGCTTCGCTTATATAAAAAGATAGCTTCATCGCAATGACAAAAAAATAGCAAATATTTGTGTTGTATCAACATTTTTACATGAAGAAATTCTAAAAGAAATAGTCGATGATGATAGTAAATGGTTTGAAGCAGAGAGTATCTTTAAATGTAGATCGTTTACATTAGTGAAGTCTTGAGAAGAACTTATGGTGTTAGTCACCAGTCAGTCAATACTAACGTCAACCAACAGTTCTTAGGACCTCGGGCGGATTTTCTGGAGGGGGGGGGGGGGAGTACAGAGAGTGCGTACACCCCACCTCAAGAAAAATTCTTAAATGATATTACATACTGTTGACTATTAATATAACAGAGGGTATGGTATTGTACAGTAAAACTAAGCAAAGGTAGAACTTCTCATTTCAAAAGCAATTACATATTTTATACCACCACCATTTGCAATTGAGTATTGTCCTGAACATTTTCAATGAAACTTTATTGAAATTTTAGAAAATAAGATTGAAATTAACAAAAAACGCATTAAAATGTTTTAAAAACTTCATTACGCAAGGTTCACTCTTCTATAAGCCTAAAAATCGACAACAGCCCAAGGCTCTTGAAAAATATGCACGCCCCCTGTCGAATATGCATTTATCCCCGCGTCTGCTTAAGACGGCATAAACCTCAACAATGATTGTACAAACATATAATTATATGTTATATTTCTTACGCTGTAGATACTCTTTCTAATAACTTTTATTGACTTTCCTTGTTCTAGAATTAAGAAGAGATAACGACGATGTGAATAGTCTACGATGTCATTTATTGATCTCACTGTGCGACCAATACGACTACACAGTCATCAAAAATGATGTGAGTTTTTTAGTTTTCAAACGTTTGTTCAATATTCTCTTGTCGTAAACGATTTGATGTCGGTGATCTTATTCGCGCGGTTGTTTGAGGTTTTTTAAACTTGACCAAAAACAAATTGGTTCTTCCCCGGTAAAAATATTCTTTTCAATTATTCTACACTAATTTCGTGAGAGCACAATGGTTATAAGGCATTTAAAATAAACGACATTCGTGACGACTTGGCACAGAAATATGAAAGAAAGGTTTCCTTAGCTGATATCCGAATATTGGAAAAGTTAACTGCGAAAAAAGTTAACTCCTTTGATGTCTTTCCAAAATTTATCACTATAACATATTATCATGTAAACTTCCTATATTTATTCACTTCGCAATGAAGATGGCATAAAGTATGCCGAAACATGTTTGCTATAAAGAAACTTGTCGTTTATTTTAAATGTCTTATTCTACCCTAAACATTCCAGGTGAAGTTCAGTAGAAAGTGTTCTTCTAAATTTGACAAAATTTGCATTTTTACTGCAAAGTTTCCCTTGTTTACAAGAATTGCGTTTATACTGCTTCATCAATAATTATCGAATCTCCGTTTACATAATGAAAGACAATATTTTCATTGTAACATTTCTAGCTAGAAAGCGATTATTTTAAATTCAAAACAATCTCTAACGACTCTATGTTAACGCTTTCCTCCTACGGAAAGTGTGAAGATTTATAAAAAGCTAAATTTACACAGAAGATTACACGTATTTTCCTAAGTAGTTAGTGTATTATTAATATGGCTTCTCAGAAGAGTACACGTATTTACCTAAGTAGTTAGTGTATTATTAATACGGCTTCTGGCATAAATTTAATTCTCAAATGAAAATGAAATAACCACAGTTACACAATCGTTTTGTGCTCGATTTAAGATAATTTGGTAATTTGTGACTGATAAAACTTATTTCTTCGAGATCAGTATAAATAGAGTTTAGTTACCAGGGATATACCTGGCGGAAAGCGAATTCTTATTATAAATATTAAAGCTCAGCAAAGTGCTTTTAAAAGAGCCATTCAATACAAAAATAATGTATAAAAAAGAAATATTTATTCAATAGCGTAACGTTTCGTCTTGAAAGTCAAGACATCATCAGACAGTATTAAATTAGAGAGTCAAGACGAAACGTTACGCTAATGAATAAATATTTCTTTTTTATAATTTATTTTTTATTAAATAGCTCTTTTAGAAGCACTTTGCTTTGGCTTTAATATTTATAATAAAAGATCTAGTTTGTTCTTGTATAAATGTACTTCAGTATAAATGCTCTAAGGAAGTTAATGTTTTAAAAAATCAAGACGACATTTTATAGTGCAGTTTAAATAACATCTAAAGCGTCGTAGGACATTAGGCAAAGGGGGATAAAACAATGACGTCATCATGTAAACAAAACGGGAGACGGCTAGCTCGCTCCAGTCTCTTTGGATTCTATGCCACTTCGGAGCATAGCCTACCCAATGCTTGAAGTGAGGAAAGTCACAGCCGTAGAATAAATATTGTCATGTTGATATCAATTATCATCAATCATCTAACATCTGCTCCTGAAATTACCGTCTATTACTGTTCGCTATACGTCATGTTATTTTAATGTCTTACACGTTTAATTAGATGACACAGAGATTAGTAAAGTAAACAAAATTACTGGTGGGACCGAATACATTGTTCCTCAGCTGATTTTTAAGTTTCCTAGTCGTAAAGTTTTACGGCTATACTCCATGAATCTCTGGTATTTTGCATGAAAAGTTGAGGATTTCTCGTTTCTGATTTTCGTTTGCTGGATAACTGTGCGTTTGACAATTGCGTTTGGCTACATTTTAAATAGTTGCGGCTCTTAACCACGAATTCTAATAATAACCACACTGTTCTATTTTTGCCCTCCGTCGTTTTCGGAAATCCGTTTTGTGTCTTGTTGCAACACGAAGTGACTTATCTGTAAGTGGATAGAAGCTTTTTGTAATGTACGACTGTGCGATAAGCGCTTTATACTTTTTTACGTTGTTTGCACATACAAAGCTGTCGAACTATGTCAGCTTTGATGAATGTCGGGTTTTTCAATGATGTTCATGTCTTAATGTAAAAAGATTATAAAAGATTACACGATGTATTCGGGTTTTATTGATATAGCCGTCTGGGTTGACGCATTTAGTTGGCGTGTATTTTTAACACGTTCGTGAATCTGGAAATTTACTTATGTACTAAAAGTTGGGGAAAATTTGCTATTCCGGATTTTTCTTTATAAAAATACCGGGAAATTCGAACAAATCATAACGCTGTATGGATGTCACGAAATTGTTGGAATTTTCATAAATGTACTCCATCAAGCACATATTTTAGCGAATATTGTGATTTTTTGTGTATGTTCAACTTTAGACTCATAATTAAGGAAGCTTGCGGCTAAATTGTCAAAAAACGTAGGTGTTAATTACATTAGACGGCTTTAAATCATCATTTAATGAAAAATTTCGACCGGTTATCCATTTCTTGTATTCAGTTTGTACCCAGCCATCCGGTAAACATATTCTTGTAATAAGCCCCAGTAAAATTTGAGCTTCGCTAGCAGTAATTGAGTGGGTTAAATACACATCAATCAATAACTATCCTTGTTTTTCCCTGCAAATCCCCCTAATTTTTTATTTTTACCTGTGAGGTCATGGCAAAAATGGCTCATTTAATTTAAGTAATGTATTTACATCGTTTCTTGGTGTGGATTTTTATCCATAAATTGTTATTTACAACTATACTTTAACAATGGTGTTTCCAATCAATAATTTTTCATTGAATTATATTAATGAAGGATTGTCAGTGTTTTGTGGAACATCAGCGCTTTGCGCATTGTTATATATTACATATTACATACATCTACGATACAAATTATTATTTTCTTACAAAATGTTCGGGACTTGCGTCTAACAAGTCATTGTGTTCTTGTTTAAGTTATTTTTTTGTTTTGACAAGAACAGCTGTAAGATAAATCATGTTTGTTGCATGATTTTAAGTTGAAAAACGGAGCTCTTTTGATCGCTCTTACAAACTTTACATAGAAGTATTTTGGAAGTTTGCTTTGCAATTAGTTCAGAAAGTAATCATGAATGTCCATCATTGACATGATCCTTTAGCTTTCCTTCATTAAACTTTCCGCTCTATGCAGTTAGTTCAGAAAGTAATCATGGATGTCCATCATTGGCATGATCCTTTAGCTTTCCTTCATTAACTTTCCGCTCTATGCAGTTAGTTCAGAAACTAATCATGGATGTCCATCATTGCAATGATCCTTTAGCTTTCCTTCATTAACTTTCCGCTCTATGCAGTTAGTTCAGAAAGTAATCATGGATATCCATCATTGACATGATCCTTTAGCTTTCCTTCATTAAACTTCCCGCTCTATGCAGTTAGTTCAGAAAGTAATCATGATTCTCCACCATTGAAATCATCCATTAACTTTCCTTCATCAACTCCTCGCTCCAAACAAAGTTGTTAACGCGAGAGCAGCGTCTATTTCACGGTTTGTTGTCGATTCATCACGACTTTCGGTTGGTCTAAAACACAAAAACCATTTTCATTTTATATCTTAGAGATTATGCATTTGGTCACTGATCCTGAATTGTGATTGGCCGATGCCCTTGTGCCGGGGGGGCGGTACAATGGAAAGGAGAAGAAGGAAATATCTTGTGTGTTTTCCTGTGATATCTGCTTGTTTTGTTTCTTAATTCATTGTGTAATTTACCTGTTTTGTATTTGATCGTCCATGGTGTGATCATCTTTTTCTGCAGAACTATATTTCGTCTCTGTCTTCTTTGTGATCTGACTACTTTCCGTTGATTCTTGTATTCTCTCTAAAATAAAACATTTATATTTGTTCTTATTGATCGCGAACACAAATACCCTCACAGCAGGCGGGCTACTCAGCGATTTAAACAAGGGCCTCTGAATTTTCCATTATCATCTCCCCCCCCGTGTTAGGAGTCAGGAAAGGGATGGTGCGATGATTTTGATTGCCTATCATCATGGTTGCCAAAGCGAGTTACTTGACTCATTTCTACACGTTTTAAGCCTTTCATGACTTTCATATCGAAGCTTTTCATTTTGAAAAGAGCTTGATAACTCTCTCTCGTGAAACACAACGAACTTCTCAACTTTGTTTTCGATGCAATAACGATATGATCAAACCTTAAATTCCTCTTACCTACTGGTCTATCCACATCAGCAGGTGGTGTATGAGGTGGAGTATCAGGGGTGTGGTTCTCCCCACGACTCTTGTCAAAACAACCATCAACCCATTTACGTAAACTATTCACAGGTGAATCATCATGGCGGGTCTTTTTTCTTCGATTGTTCTCCGTTGTAGCGTGGGAGTGTTGCATGCTGGACCATATTGCGCTTGGTAGACTGGGGACAGGATGATGTGGCACTCGATTCTGACGTGTATGGAACATGTAGCTTGGGTTGGTTGTATCATCTGCAGTGTTTGTAGATGTTGATGATAGGTCGTTAACATTAACTTCCGGTGTTTCTGAAATTTTTAAGGAAATTATGTTAACTGCAGTCCGGCCTACGTATGACAGCGAAATGGCTCGTCTCAATAAGGGAGAATAATAACGGGGAGATGTCCTAGGGAGAATAATAACGGGGCGATGTCCCTCAAAATCATTTCAGAAACCATAACTGCACTTCATGTAGAAAACTACGGGTTGTTATGATATGCTAGATAGAATTCCTGCCCCAAAACATCCAGAATGGAGAAAACCTATCTTTTCAAGAGCTTTAAATGTTTATTGTTACAAGCATGAACCAAGCTACAACCTTAAACATCCAAGTTCATGCATTTGATACTAACATTTACCAACTTCGAACCCGGCAGTATCGTTACATGTTTGTAAATGATGATCGTCCAGGTTAATAAAGTCCTGAGAAGGACTGTTTTTGTTGTTGTTGACTGACGTTTCGACAACCTTAGCGGTAGTCATCTTCAGAGTCAAAAATTATGACCTTTTTGACTTTGAAGATGACTACTGAGAAACGTCAATTTTCTCAGGACTTTATTGGACGATCATCATGTACCAACTTCATCGAGCAAAAGATTTTTGTTTTCAAGATTTACACTCTCTACCTTTTGATGATTTGATAACGGTTGTCGTTCTGTACAAGGCCTTTTCACTGTGAGTGACGTCATTCTCCACCAGTTTTACATTGACGTCATCATCCAAAAGTTTAATGCTGGCGTCATCATCGTCGTCGTCATCTTCATCCTCACTATACTCCTCATTATCCTTACGGTCGTTGCATCTGTTCCTAGGTGACCACGTCATCTTGTTTTCTTTCTTCAAACGTCTTCTAGCGTTTGCAAACCACGTGGAGACTTGGGTCAACGTCATTTTCGTTAAAATGGCCAACATTATCTTTTCACCCTTGGTAGGGTAAGGATTTTTACGATGTTCATAAAGCCATGCCTTGAGTGTGCTCGTGGTCTCTCGTGTTGCGTTTTTTCGTCGTGCTCCAGATGCAAGATCGACTGGAGAGAATCTATTAAACGAAAATCTATTAAATAAAGTCTTCCATTATCATTGGAAAAGTCCTCATAATTATTGGCGGGCGCGTATGGTCATTCTGTCCCAAACCCCCGTCTCTCTCACTTCAGTCCTCTCTCACGATCTCCGTTCTTTCTCTCTCTCTCCCTCTCACGATCTCCGTTCACATTATCAGTCCCAAACCCCCGTCTCTCACGATCTCCGTTCACATTTTCTCTCCCAAACCCCCGTCTCTCTCACGATCTCCGTTCACATTTTCTCTCTCTCTCACGATCTCCGTTCACATTTTCTCTCTCAAACTCCCGTCTCTCTCACCATCTCCGTTCACATTTTCTCTCCCAAACCCTCGTCTCTTTCACGATCTCCGTTGACATTCTGTCCCAAACCCCCGTCTCTCTCATGACCTCAGTTCACATTTTCTCTATTGTTTATAAGATCACGTGGCTTTATCACACTCCAAACCTGCCCCTCCCGGTAAAGTCATTAAAATTCCATTTGCTTTGACAAGGCGTGTCTTTCCGTCCGAAGCGGAGTAGACTTTTAGGGAGAACGTCTGGGTTCTCGGTAAAAATCTCGGTTAGACAATGTTGGAGGAGCAATGACCGATTTTGGAAAGTTTTATTTCAATGATGAGAATTAGCAGCGGTTTCCAATCTCTCCTGACCAAACTAATGAAATCTCTATTCCGCTCGAACAGGATTTTAATTGAACTGTGTTAATTCATAAGTATGTCAGTTTCCCATGCTGGGCAAATTAATATTTGATCTTAGCCCTCTCGTGTTCGCAGTCGCATTCCTGAATCGACCTCACTCTTAGAAATCAGACAAATTTAATCAAAATTAATTTGCTCCATGCTGACTGCACATCTGTCTGTGCATCTTTTTGTCGTAGCGTTTGCTGTAAAAACAAGACATGTTTCTATCTATAAACAGCTATTACAAGTTTTTAAATTAGAAAATGGATACTTTCGTTAAAATTCAGACAAAGACGTCTGTCATTTCAGTCTGTGTCCTATAAAAATGCCAATCATCGCTCAAGCATCTCAAGAGCACTCTGACACACACTTCTTCTTCATTTACAATGATCGTTTTGAAATCCATATTTTCATGCATACAAAATTATTGTTTTTGTATAGTAATGGCGAGTTTTTTTTTCGCCTCTTTGTTTTTATTCAGCTTCAAGACGAACTTGTAAATTAAATTGAGTGGATTCACTTCTCTTCAAAGGAAATAGTTTATGTTTGAGAAGTGTTGCCAGATCATCTTTGTCAACGAGTCTGTATTTTTATGGTACAATTTCCTATCGACTAAAAAGCTTTTTAGTTTTGTAATGTGTGCCAGAACTGCATGATATGTCGAAACAAATAAAGCCTCTTAATTCAGCTGTACATTTAAAGTTAGAGAATTACATTAAATTGCATTAAGATCCTATTCATCTGCATGCAAGGCCACTCAAGTGTAAAACCTTACGTGCAATCGTAAATTCACCCGTATACTCCAGACAAATATGGCACATACGTATATTCATCGCGTGTGAGTTCATTTCAAAGTCATAATCCTTGCAAGATTTCATTAAAATCTTACATGCCATGCATTAACTTATCATTCGACAACGCCACGATATTTAGACAACATTAATAGTTTCGGGAACTTTCAATTATGTGACAGCTTACAATAATCTCTCTTTACAATCTAGGGTTACAAATGGCTTTGATAATTCCACTTGGGCAACATTCCTGATTTGCCTTTTATTACAAACTGAATCGCCACGCCTTATTAAGTCATTTGAGCAGTGACTTTAGTACTCTTTTTTTACCGTCACATTCCGACACTTAAAATCAAAGTGCAACTCAAGTTTTATGTCATTAAACATCGACTATAGCATAGCCTGTATATATACTATTTTCTAATTGCTCTCTTCTTCATGTTTGCTAATTTATATGACACCGACGCCCACACTGACAAGCAAGCATCTCTGACTCCCTTCATGTGATTGTATCATCAGTTTAATTATCAAGTACATCCTGCCAAACATGATTGTTTTAGCGTGTTTTGCCAAAGAACACTCAAGTGGTGTGTCTGAGATTGTCGCTAGATCTGCACGCGATATTTTTCACTTATACTACAATGGAGATATTACCATCTCTGACGTACATTTTCACAAGAGGTGTAGATAGTATTATGTAATAGGGAAGAATTGTGGAAAAAAGCTCCTTTTGTCTTTCACATCAGCTCTTAAAAGTTAAAACTGTAGGAATAGTTAATTTAGCCATGTCTGCATAACGAAGAGCAATATGAATTCATTCACTCATAAGTGTTATTCTATAAATCTATTTGCGATGTTTCGTAAATTTTTACAACATACATAAGATTTCATTATTATTTGTTTGTTCATACACTTAAGTTATATTTTTGAATGTTTGTCAGTCAATGGCATTGGGAATTTCACTCATAAGTACAGAACACCTTTCTTTGCAACTAATTTCATGTGTTCTGCATGCATAGGTTATTGAATCAACGGCTTTCTTGTATAATCGTGTCTTTACATGAAAGAAAATACTAGCAGATTTCGCAAAATTTCCAAAGCAAAAAATTGTTTCAATTTTCCGTCTAAGTTAATAATTGGCGAAATTTCGTAAGTGATTTAACATATTTCTAGAAGCTAAATGGGAAAGCGATTGCATCTTTCCACTTGATGGAACTATTCTGAGCCCTAATTGTGTTTATTAGCGGTACGCCTTTCAAGTTGCTATGTTTTGTCTTGTATTCTGTATTACATTTTGAACAAAGACGAGCGAGACTTAACAACCTCAAAGAATTCGCTAAATCTTGCACATCATCATAACTCATAAAATGATAGCCAACGTCTCAGATGTTGTGATTAGGAGAGATTGGACGAGAGATTTTTTATCGCAGATTTCTATTGGCATTGTTGAATTTTTTGACTCGAGCCTTCGCGTTTACTTGCAAAGTAATGATTTATTAATTTAACGCTGTAGATTGTCTGGAATATTTGAAATTCTATCACGATTCTTACAATTAAGAAAACTCAGCTTAGAAGGTCAAGTTCATGTAGTGTTTTTGAACAAAACGCTTTTTGAAACACACCAATCAGGAATATTTTTTTTATTTTGTTTCAGTATTTTATGAATAGTGAAATACCGCAGGGAGTCATGGACTATATGATTATGAAACGTTTTAAAAAACTTCCTAGCTTTTGAAATTGCAAGCGTTCCAAATTAACTTCAAAATCATGTTTCCTAAAGTCACCTGAAATGGATTTTGATAACTGAGAACAAAACTAAAATTTCGCTTAATAATTCAGCTTAACAAATATCAAAAATTCACGCCAATGACCCTTTTCAACTTCATCCATCCAAACTTTTGCTATTTCTGGTTTCGATTTATGGTCAACAGTGTTCTGTCATAGTTTGGCTTGATAACCCACTAGTTTTTTTTTTCAGAAAGGAATTCTATTTCAAATCAACTTGAAAAACGGACGCCATGTGTTGAGCGTGCAAGCTCTTATCGCTTATCTGTTTGTGCGATAGTGGATTTACTTTAAAACTTGCATAAGAATCTCATATATTGCTTTGATTGTCTGCGAGTTTTATCTTAAACGAAAGGACCTATACAATTACTTAAATATTGGACCAAGAAAGTGCCGACCACCTTGTTTTCTTTTCAATATCAGAAAAAAACGCCGGATAACACTTTTATCAGATTTATACCGTGACAAAAACGTATTTTTTTTGGTCTGAGAAATAGAACATCAATTTTATTGTCTAGGAAAGTAATAAATGCCTATATGAATTATTTAACTCTAGCGACACCTCTTTGTAGTTACCTTTCACTGTATCCATGACAAGCGAGGTAACTGCGTTCAAAAGCGTTCGGGTGATGGCTTGGATATACTCCTGAGTTAAGATACCAGCCTGGGTTTAACTGTCTTGTTGTAAGGTCTTTAATATCGTGACGTATCTGTAAGTAAGGGAACGAAATAGGTTAGATCAGACATGAGGAAGGAGTTGCCGCTTCTTGTTACATAATGCAATCCAGCTTCAATAGACGCCTGTTCTTTTTGTGTATTTTTGCTAAGGTGAACTGATCGAGTGTACAATTTTGACTAAAATTTTTGTGTAGCGTGCTTTAGAAATAATAGAAATTGCAATATTTTTAATAAATTACTCGAGTATGACCGACTATAGACAGAGTAATAGCTAATGTAAATTTGTAAGAGAACACTAACGATCACAAATCTAGCGAATTTATACATTTTTTCCATCTGATTCTATATAATTATTGGCTATTTTCCCACTTGACCACAGATTTGGTTTGTAACTTACAGTTGTCGTCATTTGTTAAAAATCCATCATTTACCTAAGCAAAAATACATTCATTATATGTTCGTGTTTATTTTATCTCTGTATTGATCAGACAAATACACATCAGGTTTTGTCTGTCCTTTTGAAAATTACCTAGTCTCCCGTAGTCAATACATGTGTCAATTACGAAAGAATGTTTTACACCAGTATTGAGCAGTTATCAACAGTCCTAGGGGTTAACGAGAACGTTATTTGCCTTGCATGTCTTTTGAAAATGAAATGACTGATATTTTTTTATTTGGAACCGTCTGCTGTTGGATTTTAGCATTTTCTATCGTGTTATTATTAATATATTTGGTTACACGGTCATCGCTTCTGTGTTAGAGCTCTTTTAGCAATCTTTAATGAAACATTTCCTTGTGTTTCTAGTCAAAATAACATCATTTGTGAAAGTGACTCACTCGATTTAACTGACATGAGCATTGATTGAATTAGGAATTGTGTTATTTCGTTGAATATGTGAATCAATAACTATACATAGTCATTCATAACTTACTTTTTTAAAACATTGTAGGTATATGTTTCGACTCTGATATGAATTCAGTAGCAGTTAAGTTTGAAAGCAGTTCATATCTCTTCCGGGAACATGTTCCATATTCCGTCGCTTTTTATATTGTGTTTTATTTCATTCGAAATAAAAATTAGCTAAACTTTCGAAGTATATACATCAACGTAGATTGTTTGATAAAAATTTTCCATCAACTTGCCCTAGCTAGATTGCTTCATTTTACAAAACTGCGTCTATATAGTTCGTCTCTTACCTCCAATGGGGAATAGGGTACATTTCTCATCTCACGAGCTCCAAGCAGAAGGCTTGTCTCCGGTATGGAGAAACTAGGTGCTGTACGAGGCATGAGGCCAATTGGCATTGCTGAAATTTTTTGTTGGGCTTGAATCATTTGCTGAAAATGACATGAACAAACACTTGACGATGAATGGGATGTCAGCTGTGTCGATCCGCCGTTGCAACAGGCTCGATGGCTTGTCTGCATGAGATACTGTATGAAATAGACAAGTAAACACTTAGAGAGCGATGCTTTTATATTATATATTGTATGCTTCTCTATTGAATACATATCATCTTTGTTTAAGCGTTTACACAGTGAAAAAATTGCAGATGTAAAACCTAACGCTCTTCTTATGTAACTTCAAGAAAAAAGATTAAACTATTTCTCTTTTATTTATGCAAAATATTTTCCTATTTAAGACATTGGATAACACATTCATGTCTTCGCACTTGAAGTTTTCACGATATTAACATTGGATAAAAGTGAAAATCATCAACATTTTTATAGAAGGATTTTTTATACACTAGCTATGAGGTACATTGGGGAATTTCAACAATATACATATAAACTATACTGCAAGCTTCATGTTCAACAGCTCCCAAATCGCTTTATACACGAATGCGATGTATAAAAGCATCTTTTAAAAAACACTTTCAGGATTTTGTCTGTGAAGTGATTAACAAAATACTATTATACCGCGATGATATGGTTTTTCTTCAGTAACGGAGACGAAGGCCAGACATGAATACGATTGCAACATTTTTCATGTTTAAACAATTTTGTTCGGCAATACGAAATATCTCTCGTTTGGATGTATTTGGCAATAGTTGTGTAATAGATTACATGATTGTTTGCAGGCTATATATTGATTTATTATTACACAGACCCGAAATTGAGATATTTTTACAAGTATTCTTTATGTTTTAATCCTTGCTGACAATTATCTTCCATTCATGATGCAGTTGTAGGAATAAAATTCAAATTATCGTTAAAATAAGTATGTTTGTCTCTAGAAAATACCTAGAAATAAGGAAAACCGCGTGTATGCATTTTATCGCCTTATTTCAATGGCAGTCAATGTTAGAAAAATGTAAATAAAGTTTACATGCTATCCCGCGTCCAATACAGCTAGTTTATCCTTTTTCTAAAATTGAATGTTGATGTTTGAAAGACGTTATTTTGGTAAGGAAAAATTAGTTCGGGGAAAATTTAATTTGAGTTGTATGTTGTGTCGACGATGTTTAAACATGAATATCAGCTAACAAGGATAGACATGTCTAATTGTGCATGAGTGGCGAAAATTATTTTCATTCACTATATTTATCAGTATGATTGTGATGGAAATATTATCTATATCTTTATTACTTGCATAAAGTTGTTGAAGTTGTGCGATGTCATTTCTCGTTCCATTGCATATGCATTTTGTCCATATTTCAATTTTTCAGACTTGACGAGATTTGCTTTCTTCATTATGGGGCCAATAAACAAATTTAGGCTGTTCTTGACACGTTTTATTAGGCGCAAGACACTCGACAATTTGATTTCGGAAAATTAATTAGTTTGTGAAAAGTACTTTCTTGTACTCCTTGCAGTATATTATAGCAGAAAATGTACAAGAAAACAGATTTGTGTTTTCCCATGAACTTGTTCTTGACTAACAAAGTTTTTGTGATGTATCATTAACAACTTTGTACTGCATTTTACTTGAGCAAGATAATTTTTGTGGACAACTTTAAGTCGCTACATTATTGAACTTCGGATTTGTTTGAAATTTTTTATACAAATCTACGTAGGGTATCTAAAATGGCGGTCAAACATTCAACGTCGGTATCTTTGTGGTTTATATTGAATGTTTCATAATAAATTTTTACAATATACATCACATTGTTATGAGAAAAAGCTCGAACATTCACTTATATGTTGAGCACAATTCTTCCGTAATTCATAAAACAACTGTTTCTACCTGCCAGTTTTGTTTGCAAATGTGAATGTGAATGCCGAAATTTAGGTGTGAAAGTATGTGAGTTAAGCTTAAACCAGCGTTCATAGCAAAATAGTGTTTTTTATACTTCCAAAAGTTACTATATAGAGTGCGACTATTGCTTCGCACCATGCCATAGTAAAATGTATTTATACCTGTAGACATTGGTTTTATACTGACAGTCATGAACACACTACCACTGATTTATAGATATTTAAAAGTTAGCTCAGACAAAACGTTTCAAAAATAAAAGTTATAATACATGAAGAGAAATAGCAGTTGCACATTGTAAGTCGTCTGGTAGCTTTTACATGACCCTGTATAGGAAATTGTTTAATTGAATTGTGCTTGTTCATAATTCGTGGTTGTAATAGAACACGATGGATGGCTTTTGAAACATGCTAATAGAAAAAAATTTCTCAAAAAATGGCCAGTCGCTGAGCTATTGAATTATGTGGTTTTAGTTCTCTTTCTCGAAATTTCTAAATACGTGATTTAAACAGCCATCGTATGATAATTTATATGAAACTTTGGACTCGCGTGATTATATTTTTATCTATGCTTACACTCTAAGCTTTTAAGAATTGTGTACATTTCAAAATTTATTCCACTGGTGTTGAAAACCTTCAGCGTCACGTCTTCGTATTTTCAATTTTTGTTGGGTAGATTTATACAAGAGAATCGTTTTATAGTTATATAATCATATTTGATTTTCAATTTTACTACAAACGATTAAACACTCGATTTAGGTGATTTATTTAATATTAAAGAATTCGGAGAAAATGCTTTAGAAGTATTTAAAGCGTTAGCTGTCCTTTTTTGATAACTGTGAAAATTTAACGTCGAGTGTCAGACTGTAACCTGTGAATTTCATAAGATTAAATCTATGCGTTGAATTCTTCAATCATTGATGTTAGAGAAATGCATGGTTTTGATTAGGAATTTGCTTTCAATTAGCCAGAGCCCAGATCCAGATAATTTTTATGTTTTTTGAAACTACATAAAGGTTGATTGGCGATATGTTTATCAAAATATAAATACGTCGGCCTTGATATAAAGTATATCGCTAAAAGAACGTGTCCATATTAACTTTATTTATGCGAGCGCATTTAGAAAAATACCAATGAGCCATTGAATATTGACTAAACTATTCTGTGTATCCTTGCCATAAATTCTCACATCAATAATGTGCTATATGGTTGAGATCATGAAGGCGCTTTATTTGTAATATTCTAAACGTTGGGCCTCGCAATGGAGCAATGCGTTTACACTATCTGCATTTCCGTATTTGTATCTTTTAATTGAGTAAGATTTAAAAAGGTAGAATTACTGACCATCGAACCAATTATTCTTCATGAAAGTGTTGGTGAAACACTCCGTTTGCAGAAGTGTCTGCATTATGCGTTTGTACGTCGCGTCTTACACGTTGCCCAAACGGTTATGGTAAGAGAATTTTATCTGAAAATCTACTCTAACTTTACCTGTGAAGTATATGGATGTCCAAAAGTTGCTGCAATGCTCGCCATTGTCTTGAATAAACCAAATTCCCAATTATATATCACCGAATGTCACTCCTGAATGCGATTATTTGAGATATTTAGTGAAATCGTAATCGTTCGTACTCGACTCTTCAATGGAATTATTTTCGATTACAGTATGTAACTTCTGTGTTTCTTGGTCGACTTTTGATGCGAGTACGAAGTGCTTGTATTGTACAATGGAGCACAACGTTAATGCATGAAGCAAATTCCTCTATTTGCTAGCGGGCACCCACGAAATCAAAACAGTCTTCCCAAAACGCGGGTTTCTATATTCCAGTGTGTACAATGAACACAAGCCGACACTGAGATATCTCTCCACACAGATGTTTAAACCTCGCTCTATCAGGGTAATATGTTCTTGTGGAACCGTAAGAGCATCGGACATAAATCGCAGTCAAATATGACACTCCGTGACATGCATTGGACCAATAGCAGGGAACAACGACCGTCGTGAACAAGTTGAGTATTGAATATACGACATGTTGATTGACAGGCGATGAGTTGTTAACTCGGCTAACATTTATTATTGTCTGGTTGCGCATAAAAATAGACATTGTTTGACATAGGCTCTCCGCCTACCTGGGTTCAAACAAGCCAACGGACTCCTCCCAACTGGGTCCAATTCTCTCTGTTATGTCTTTGTTATTCCACGAAGCTGAGCACACGAAACCACGATCCATCAATTATATTTCCATTTTGATATACATGGGCTGATTTTGAATTGTACAACTCGATATAATCGAGATTTTTTTCTATTTGGAGAAGCGCTGTGTGTCCTAGTCGCCATTGCCTGAAGCCACCAATGTGCATATTTGATAATGGAATTAGCGACTTTCTGCTTTTTTGATGAGAAAATTCATTCAATAACAGCCTATCTATTATCTTTATCTTCAAATGTGCGCCTTAATTTAATGAGTCAAATTTAAGAGCATTTTTCTTTTCATTGTTATTTGAAACGCAGAAATCCATCAAGGCATGGATGACTCATCAAAGAAAAAACTATTCACCATGTGCCTTATACTGTAATCAACCATCTTATTTACTCGGGAATTAACAAGCGAATATTTGCATTTGTCTGGCGTTAAGAATTATTGATTTATCTTTTCCGTATAATCAAATACTTTGAAGTGGATTTCTGGTCTATAATAGATACGCGAGACGCGTATTGTGTTTAATTTGACCTATACATACATTGTCTTTTTTGTCGACACATTCAATTTTGCAATAACTACAAACTGCGTATAGGAACTAGATTTGTACGTCGGCTCAACAAGCATAATGAAGCCATTCTCATAAAACTTTTATAGTCTAATGCAGATGCATTTATAGTTGGAAAAGAAACTTGTTTTGAGAAATCACATAGGCAAACAAAGCAGCTGTGTAGGGATTCAATGCCAAAAGCGTTGACAATGAAATATCTGCTTCCATGGCTAAATGGATCTTGTAAAATAAGAAAACCATATGATTCGGCGCCATCGTTAATTTACATGTGTTTAGAAACAAAGCGTTTTCTTGTAGTTTCGACCTCCAAGTGCGCAAACTTACATATATGGCTGTATATTAGAAGATTCTCCCTGTGGTTCCGTTGATATTGCTGTCGGTACTGCATGATTGTAAAGAAAGCAGTATTCACATGTATTTTGTCCAAGACGCACATTTAGTGAGGTGTACACAGCTAATGCCTCTTTTTATAACTGCAAGTTTGTGTATTTTTCTGGGGATATCAGTAAAAAAGGGCAATAGTTAGAAAAGGAAATGGCTTCGTTGAATGGAAGAAGTTGAGAAGTGCTCCTACATATTTCCTACTTTTTTTCACTTTTTTCCCAACATATTGCTTGCATGCTTGGTAAAGGAGTTAACGCGTGTGTTGGTCTTAATTGATATTTGGTGCATGTAATCTAAAGTTTACAATCGGTATTTCCTTGTATGTTCACCGAAAGACAAAATATTAACCACTTGAGAACCGCACGTTGGCGTTTGTAAAGGACATCGTTTCGATGGGAACTTACATGCATGCCACGAGGGCAAGGGAACTTTCAATTATTGACGACTGTATATATATGTATGTTTATGAATATACATTGTATGTGAAGTTGCAACATAACTCGATGCTTGAACCCACTTATGAGATTCATGTGCACAAATAGATAAGAGTCTACGAATTTTCGTTATCTTTCAGAAATAAAAGTCATGTATCCTGTTATTCGGATTACGAGCTATGGGTTTGGCAAATAAATAACAAAGAGGTGATACATTCATGCTTCTGCCAATAAATCACAATAGCTACTGTGTTGATATTGCTAACGTGGCGTAGCCGTTTAGAAGGAAACAAAATCCGCATGACATGAACTCGTGACATGGGAGTGACACTTTGTGGTGTTCTCTTTATAACTGTAGCCGCTGTGAAGCCGCGTTCTCCTGCTTTGCATGTGTGAAAAGCTCTTATTGGACTTTGCCAACAGACATGTTTTTGTTGCTTGCCCTTTGTTTCCTGTGTGATAACACAATATGAATGTGTGACTTTTGTGATGGATTGGGGAATGGATAGCGCAGAAACAAAAGCTCTTAATGAGACAGATATGCAACGTGGACAGACGTTCAGACGATGTTGAATGGACCTTAATTATATAATTACTTAAAATTCCTTTTACAGCGATGATAATGCGCTTGAAAAGAGCATAGTAATGATTTAGCATGTCTGAAACGGTATAAGTGAAGAACACGTGCAGATGTGTATGGGCAGAGAAACATGTATAGGTTAACGGGAAAATATGACAATATATGGACAATTGCTCACGCAATAGATTGAGTTGTTTTACAATGATGAAGAAGAGAAAATTCTTTTGTTTAGTTGATTCCTAAAATAGGCTCGTATCACAAGTCTGTACTGGACAAGAATTCTTATCGAAATAATCGTTGAAGAGAAAATTAGAGAAATTTTTATTCGTACGGCCAGATTGACAATCTCAGAAATCCCGTAATAAACATCAACTGGCCTCAATAGAGAGAATAGATTGATCAACCAGCCCAATAATGTCAATCTTATAGACGTCTCATGATATAAAAATCTTAATAATTTATTTGAACTCCTAATTCAAAATGTTAAACCATTCACCAAATTCATGTCAGATTTTTATGAAGATATCATTGGATGTTTTGTTCTGCATAAGACGTAATTTTACGATTCTAACAATTTTTCTTTGTCATTCTTAAAGAAAGTGAAGACTTCGATGCCTGCACTGTGCGTTTTTCTTTCGGCAATTAGCTTTCAATGATAAATGTTTTAGAATTTTAAGCAATGTTTTTAATGAAGAGCATTAGATGGCGAACACAGCCTAAGTTTTCGAGACTACTCCCAGAAAATCCTTTGAAACGTTTTTTCATTCATTCACCGTAAATTTGGCTGTGAATTGTTTTTTAATTTCCTAGCCTAACAATCTTGAAAAGTATGCGATAGTTTCCTTTGTAAAAAACGACTTGGAAAAAAGTCAAACGACTAAAAGTTTGTTTTGCATCGATTTTTTAAAGATATTTTGCAAACTGTTCGATGTCCAGCTGGCGCGCTTTTTGTTAGTCATCGTACTTAATGGTTCCAATCTCTATCTACATTATACAATCGTAATATCGCCATATTTTGTCTTATTTGTAATACAGACATATTCGGTTTATGGTGTTGAACAGTTCTGCTTTATCTTTGTCGGTGAAATCACTCGATCAAAGGTTGACGTAAAAGATCGCGCTGTAACCAAAAGGTTTTTTTCGTATTCAAAAAGAAATCTCCGAAAATCGCCTTAATATCATCAATGTAATTACTGTGACTGCGAAAATACACTGTTGCTTTGTAAATTGACTTACGCCGCACGTATTTTGTTTCAATAAAGGTAGTTTTTTGCTTTTTTTTCGAGGATAAACTTCTAATTCGTCTCTCTAATGCATCGTACTATTTAATCTGGTATTTATGTAATGTACTTCGAAAGCCATGTGACGAACATGAAGCACACGAACGATGAATTTGATATGCAGATATGCGCTAATTATATGCTTGTCTGTTAGGAACACTTGTTTCAGAGCGTGAATTCTCGGAGAACCGGTCTACTGAGACAGCTTTGTGAATTTCACTGACATATCTCATTTTCATCAAAATTTTCTGACGTTCATAGGTATTTTGAATTGTCTGACGGATTTGACCGGATGAGTTAATAATGCGAGGCTGATTTTGCGATACAGAAATGATAAGATCATAAAGGATTATCCTTAAATGTGTCTATGTAGTGATGTAAAGTTTTCGTGTAATCTTGGGTGGCCTCTCTGTTCTAGTTCACTCGACAATGTCTTTTGTCTCTTGTCTCTTGTCAAGTCTTTGTCTTTATCTTAAGAATTTATCTTGGTGTATGAAAATCCAACAAACGACGAGTTGAGGATGATTGTTCACTCACGGGAAATGCTTTGGTTTTTAAATCAGATCAACGAATTCCTTGCAATTAAGTGAAGCCATTGAAAAGGACAAAATGCGAATGTCTGTAAAACAAATGTTTTATGGCCATTTATTAATCGATATGAAATTGCAACATGAGCTGTTTTCGAGTGTGTAAATTAACGGTCATTGTTGTTTTCTTGTGCCTTGTAACGAACCATGTGATAGTCATACAAAGACAGTGTTAAATTATAACGCTAAAAACAAACAAATCTTTGTAATTTCAACTTGACATATATTATAGCATTCGGACTTACTCGCTGAATTGATCAAACTTAACTTTTTGCCACTTTTACGGTCAACTGATCAATTGTACATCAATTTAAAGTTTTATGCTGTATGCGTACTTCGTCCTGATTCGAAGCTCGAAGCTTGTTCCACAGTTAGCTCTTATTGGAGGGTCCTCGTGTATTACAATTAGACAATACATTACCACGCTCAACCGAGGACATTGTATTTGAAACATTGTTTCACTTGTTGTAGCTTGTATTTCGATGGATATTTGAAACAGCGTTTGAACAACAAGAGTAACTAACTAATACTTGGAAATATAAGCTCTAGGTCTAGTTATCTTTGATCATGGAAAAAAACATACTTGTCTCATGACAGTTGCTATGTGATGTGTACTTAGACATGGAAACTGCATTTTTCGTGGTTTCAACTTTGTTATTACAAACATTTGTCAAACTTTGCAGCAAAGTTTTCTCAGAATTCGTGACGAGTTGAAAGTTTAGAAACATCTTTATTTTTTAACCCATTATTTCATTGGCTTTTTTGTACGAAATCAAAGCTATGTTGTAAGACCTTTGAACTTCACAGCAAATTTGTAAAGTTCGAGATTTTTCTATTAGAAATCATCTGAAGCTTGTATAACTTCTTCTTTTGTTCATCTTCCAGCTTTGAGTACTTTTCGTTATGTAGCCGTATATTGCTATTGAAAATTTTTTAACAAACGCTTGTTAGCTCTAACTTAACGAAGAACAGTCACCGCAGTCAAAATAAATAATGTTTTGTTTTCGATAAAATCATCCACGTCAATAGATGCAACAATGCTTACTGATAACAACTGAATTAGCTAAATAGCTACTATATTTAAAACAGGCGTGTAGAGAACTCGAAAGTTTTTTTGAAGTAAAGTTTTTTTTACTTTTTTTTACTGTCGCAGTGGATGTTATTTAGTGCAATAAATAGCTCCCAGCGTAGGTAAATGAGTCGTGAAATAATAAAAAAAAAATTTAAATCCAATGAAATCGGAAAAAACTAGACTTCAAAAAATTCTTTTCTTAATACCCGTAACTTTTCCCGTAATGATTCAGGGCTCTATGGCACAACTTTTTCTCGGACTTTTGCGTGACTCAAGAAATGCATACCTTTCTGAAATTTTTCTTTCTTCGTCGGCAATAAACTCAATGAAACAAATTACAGACAAATATTTGTAATGCGCCGTTTGAAGTAATGATTGACTTTTAATAGTCAATGACGTGTCAATAATCCGTCTTTGTTTTGTCAATTCACCAGTCAAAATATACAGTTTCCACTGAGCCATTATGCCGAAAACCCTCCTGGCGAAAAAATTACAAAATCTCATGGTTGGATACCTCATGGTCAAGGTTAAACGTTGCTTCATCGATTCTCAATGACGCATACTGTAATGTCGGGAGAAATTTGCACTGCAATCGATGAAGAAATATTTTCATGATATGGAAATCCTAAATCCTTTATAAAGATCTTCGAAAAATAGGATTTTTTGGAAAGATTCTTGGAAAACAGAAAACATGAACACCATAGGAAACAGCTTGAAGTGACCAAGAATTAGAAATCGTTATGTGTTCATTAATTGAGCACATATAATGGTTTTCAGTCTTTGCCTACCTGAGCGATAATTACTCATGCATCAATACAAGCAATTAGACAACTCTCTGACACTTACTGTTCAATCGTAATATTCGCTGTTGGGCTCTGCGTGGTTTGGCAAACAACGCAGGCGTGGGGTACCTATCCTGTCGTGAACGCTGCGTGGAAACCACGCACGTCTAACTCCCCATATGATAATGTTTCTCAGCACGTTACCGGTGTTCCTACAGTTAAGGCATGTCATATATCATGTAAGCCACTATTTATCAATGTTGTTGAAAATGTCCTTCATTTGATGTCTATGGGAAAGGCCAGTCTGCTGTTTCAAATAAAAACTTTGGATGTTCAGTCTTCAAGTTGAAATGAGAATGTGATTATTTTTTGTATAAAAATGAAAACATTTTAATGTTTGGATACGAAAATACGTGTCTCTAGGCCCAGGCTATTGAATGTTATTTTATGTCATATTACCTCAGCCACCTGCCGACTATAAAAACCACCACTAAAAATTTCAAACCGAAATTTTTCTTTTCTTATGAGTTATATCTACGCGCACATTTCCTCATCGAATTCAAATCAATCTTTTCCCAAACTTTTTGGAACATTTAAAAGTCAGAACTATTTGACAAACGAGAAAGGAGAAATTTCTTTGAAGAAATATTGCTGGGCGTTGAAACATGCGTGTGTGTATTTCTTTTCAAGTTGGTCTTAATTGGATTTGCATGACCGTCGCGATCGCGCTGTGCTTTTTTTTCAATATCAATGTGATTGAAAATGGCATTAGTTAACGACACGATGACTTAATGACACTTTATGCACAGATTTTCGAGTATTCGTTCCGACTTCTGAAAATACGTTCAACAAAATGATGAAACCCGATTTATGGCTTATGCAATTACACACAAATGTAGATTTTTGTTTGGCGTTGCTAGTTTTGGATTAGGAATTTTTGACAGTGTAGTCTGCCGTATTTTAGCACTAGTCCCTAATAAAATGCTTATTACACATGCAAACCTTGCTCTTCAATTTGCTTTTAAAGAACTTGTATGTCCTTGTTGTTATTTGCTCTGAAAAATGTGTCACTTATCAAAATTGTTTTCCTTATTAGTTGATGACAACAAATGCACTTTAAATATGGCAAAAATGAAGATGTGAGGCTTGTCTTGTATTAATGATGAGTGCAGCTGAAAGATATTTGAGCAAGTCCTTTCTTATTTGAAACAACGAGCCTTGTGTGTTTGTGCGCACAATAGAATTTAAGGCTATTCCTTTTTGTGCATATTTTTATGCAATGAAGTTTTTGCCACAGTTTCTCTTGAAATGTTTGCATTGTAGTTTTGGAAGAGTTTTAAAGCCAAAAGCCAAGCTTGCCGAATGGAACAAGTTCTAACATGACTCACGACAAGGGATAACAAATGCCCATCTTGCAACGAAATGACACTTTGAAAGATTTTAAATCGAATTATCCCTCTCAATGGATATTTATTTGACAAGATGGCGACATTGAGAGGCTGGAAAAACAACATGCTTTTTTCAGGCGGTTGTCTTGCCAACAATGACGCATGCACATATTTTCTCAGTAATTATGATGTCTTTACGTTGTATTTAGCTGTTGTATGCTTACAAACTGAATGAGGCATCTTTTATCACTTGTCTTGTGGTTCTGATTGTGACACGAAAAAGGTCACACCTCCCCGAAGAGGGCATTATATTCGCTGAAGCACATGCTAAACAACATGGTCGTCTATCAGCGACAACATAAGTTATTTTGAATTGTCGTGGAATGCGACTTGTTTTATTGAACAATGAAATGCTTGTCCACATGTCAATACAAACAAATGCATGTGGGAGCAGGCGTTGAAATGTACAAAACAAATCCGAAGCATTTATACTGTAATGGTAAAAAAAATCGAGAAATTTTATGTTTCGTACGTATTTTATATATGTTCGGTGCTTTTGGTTTACCACAAGATGAATGGCGGTAAAATTTTATTGACATGATCTCCTCACGATTTTGTAGCATACTCTTATAAATTATTTCCATTTTGTTTGTTATTGCAAGGCCTCCTATGATGATGATGATCAACTATATTTTTTCACAACATTATATTTCAGCACTTAGCTCCATTATTACGAAACTTGTTTTAAGAATTCTGTTTTTTGCCATTGGAATACGAAATTTAGTTGAAAAACCTCTTAGATTATAATCAGTAAATTCTTACGCGTTTTGAAGTAAATCACGCTGTCTAATGGAAACTGTAAGTTAATGACTGTTAAATTCGTGATTCTAGCAACTAACAACATTCTTTTTCTAACAAATAGTTCTATTGCCTATTTCTCGTTAATGATTTACTTTGATTGTCAGGATTGGATTTTGTCATGCGCACAGCAAGTTATACGCCATGACTATATACAAATACAACACTTTTATTCAATCCTAACTTAAGTTATTTTCACGTGTCCAAAGTATGAAACAAAATAATAAACACACAAATCTTCTCTTCTTCAGAACCATAGATAGACACCACATTTAGTAATTCCCCTCTAAGTGCCAACAATCCTCCTTGTCTAACTTAGAACATTTGCTGTCAGTGGATATGTATAATTTTTCATGGGATAACAATATTAGCTTGAATGTATACCGTATTAATTTATTTAAGCTGCAAAGCTTTCTGCAATCTTTACCCCCACTCTTCTGACCTTCCTTCTAGATTCACGCAAAATCCACGAAACACGCAGGGGAGACATTCAGCATTCGGAAAGTATTTCCGAATTTACCTCCTTTTGGTAGATGTTTTTATATGTTAGATAGCAGGGGGGAGAAAAATATAGAAAGAAACATGAAAGAAACTGATGAAAAAGTTCTTGTTTTTTAGATCACATAACCTTGACAGCTGAGCCAAACGAGTTAGATAGATTTCAAAAAAGTTACACAAAGTGAAAATATCTTTCAAACATTTATCAACCGTCAAATTAATAATTTCAACAAGCATTAAATATTTTGTGTTATGGTGCAAGAGCTTTTCATCTTTTTATACATCTCCCCCCCCGTATAACCTTACTCCGTATAATGAAGATGGCGACCCAGACGCTTTGATCGAAATTTACAACAACAAAACACTAATTTTACGCACTTCAGCGAAATGAAAGTGACTCTATCAACCCAAGCGTATTCTAAAATACTTCTCCACGCCTGCAAGTACCCACATAAAGCCGTTTGTGGTGTTGTATTGGCTGGCAAAAATTGTGTCAGCAATGTTGAAGTAACGGACGCAATACCAATGTTTCATCTTGGTTTAGGTTTGGTGCCAATGATGGAAGTCGCACTTACACAGGTTTGTTGTAATCTCCACTGTACATAGTTTTCATTCAACTATGAAAAAATTATCTTTTTTGAATTAGGTTTCTCTAAATCACATGATCCTAACCTCCCCCTTCCCTCCCCTCTCCCGTGGACTCCAATAGAAACTTGCCGTATTTCAACAGTGTTGGTGGTTTATAAGATTGTGCTGTCATTTTGATCCTTGATTAAATAAGTTCAATTAAGATTTTACTGTACCAAATTACAAGGGGATAACCGAGGATCAGAAAGTATTGCTTAAGGACTACTGGACTAGCTCTGCAAATATCCAACAAAGTTTATTTGTCAATAATCTTTTACTGCTGTATTGCCTTTGTAATGAGATATCCATTTCTCCATTACCACCAAGATTGGAAAGTTTGTTATGCACATTTCAAGAAAACCAAGCTTTTGTGCATGTAAATTTTGAATCTTGAGTGCACATCTTACAAACTTTCCAATTTGGATTACCACTTTTTATGAAATATTTCCACAATATATAGGTTGATTCATATTGTAAAAGCAATGGTCTACAGGTAGTTGGTTATTACCAAGCAAATCAATGTCTGGATGACAATAGGTATATCAAATTTTGAGTTTGAAAATTCATATTTCCATCAGAAAACCTGAGAACATTTTCAATTTCTTTTCAGCCCCGATGTTTTTACTTATAAAATTGCAGAAAAAATACTGGAAAATTTTAGTTCTGCTTTTATTCTGATGGTGAGTGCATGAAAACTTCTCAAAGCCTCCTTAAGTCATCACTGTAATTTTTGTTTTGGGTATTTTAGGTTGACAATACAAAGATGGGCTTTGAATGTGAATTTCAGGCACTCAAGGTTGTAACTCACTTTTATTAAATAAATGTGATTTTTCATCTACTAATCAAGTGGATTTTTACCTTTTATCACACAGTTGTATCATATTCAAGATAATAAATGGAAATACAATGAGAAAGATTTGTAAGTGCTTTTTAAAATAATAAATGGTTTCTAACAAGATTTAAAAAAAACACAAATGGGTTTTTAAATACTCAGAGTTTGAAAAAACATGTGTAGAAAGATCAATAAAGACGGGACTCAAGTTCGTATATTTATGCTTAATCCTTCAAGAACAATGAATTTCAAAGAAGTTTAACACTGCATCTTATGCATTTAATATCAATCTTCCTACATCCATCAAATTACTGCTGTTGGAACTGCTTATGTAGTTAGTATAAGATGTAAATTCTAGATTTAGATTATTGATGTTTACAATATGGTAATTTGGAATTTTTTAGATCATTGGCAGATGATGAAACATTGAATATTGTTTCCCAACTGATGATGGGCAAAGTTTATCCAAGTCTGGTGGATTTCGATAATCATTTAGATGATATAACCTTGGATTGGCTCAATCCCGAAATAAACAAAGTTATTGAAATTGCAACGACAAACTTACCTGAATAATTAATTAATTGTTGTGGGCTTTGTTTATGAAGAATTTTAATTTGATTATCTGTTTATTAACTATTTATTTGGACTGGTTAACCATATTTCAAATTACACATTTTGATGCCTTTCTTTCATGAATAGCCACCCCCCCTTTAGTGAATTCATTAATTTTTATACACTCCCCTCCTTACCACACTCCCATCCCCTTATTCCTATAAAATGCCTTGCATCCCCTGAAGTAGTTGATAGGTTAATTTGCCAATCCATATTTAGCCCCCCTTTGACGTCACATAAATACATCCATTACCAATCGCCGTTACCCCATTCAACTGCACTAACCCCACTTCCCACGCATGAGTAAGCTTCCTGATACAATTACGTCATTTTCACGCTGACCTGGCATGTCACGGGCTCACTAGCAGCTTCGTCTTGTCCGAATGAAAAATATAGTGTTATTGTAATTATTTTCTGTTTTTCTTCAAATCTTTCTAACAAATCATGGCTGGTGGGACTTTTCAGGTATGTTTTTAAATCATAATCCTTTCTGTAAAAGTCATTAAACGCTCACTAACTTATTTAATCAAAAAATTCTCAGTACAACAAACTTTATGCAGACGTCAAGTTAAAGATGTCAAAATTCACTTTGTTTTTCTAAAAGAAGGAAATTACTTTAGAAAGCTATTGAGATTGTAACTAAAGCGACCGAAGAAGACAAGGCTGAGAATTTTGAAGAAGCGTTGAGGCTTTATCAACACGGAGTCGAGTATTTCCTTCACGCTATGAAATGTAAGATTATTGATTATTTCAATTTTCTTTCAACTGAAACTGTCAACACAGTATTTTAGCTGAATGGAAACATGGATGAGGAAGTTTAAAAACAGTCAGAAAGTCTGAGAGCTTTGAAGATTTTGTCTTGACGTTAGATTGTTCATGTTTCGTGTTTTTATGATAACGTTCGATTTCTAAATCAAGAGTGTATATTTATTAACATGAATTTGACTTGACTAACCTAAAGAGGACTTGTCTAGTTTACGTTTTTCTTGCTGGCCGATTAACACTCAATGGTTAACCTCTCCTTGTTTTAATCTGTCTGTCAGCAAAACATAAACAAGACAAGTCATCTGTATATTCCTCAGTGATATAAAATGGAGTTTCCTGTCCCAAGTTTTGCCAATTACTACTGTTTTTCCTAGCTTCTACAAAACTTTAATGTAATGGAAAACTGGCTTGTACAATAGTGCATGACAATTGTCATTATTTAAAATACAAGTTTCATTTGGGAAACCATAACATATAAGTATGTTTGAGGATCATTAGTCCAGGCGTATCTTTTGTTTATGGAGGAAATTTCTCTAGATTGTGGTAAATATGAGAATACCTTGAGCCTTTTTCTTCTATATTCTGAAAATTTGTCGAGCTTTGCATGGAAATCTTCTATATTTATAATAGTAAATTACTTATGCCAAAGTACTTGGTAAATGGTTAACTGAGTTTAAGCCATCTCTGTTGATGACTGTATGCTTGATGTAAAAGCTTGCTTGAGATATTTTTGTGCTAGATGACAGATGACAAGCTGTATGTAAAAATGCTCATTAAAGGGTTATGTAAGAACTACCTAATGATTTGTAATATCTGCTTCAATATTCCCATGTCATAATATTGTGTTTTTTATATTTTTCTATAGATGAAGCACATGGTGACAAATCAAAGGAAAGCATTCGTGAAAAATGTGTGCAATATCTGGAGAGAGCAGAAAAATTAAAGAATTATATCAAGAAAGGACATAAGAAGAAACCAATGCCTGCATCTGGGTCAGGAAACAAAACGTAAGTTATGTTGTAAGGATTTGTTTTTAATTTGAGTTGGACCATTCTTGTTGTTGTTGCATTGTACCATTTTTATTTTGTTTGAATTATTTATCTTTTTTACAAACTTTGATGTATCTTTTTACTTCTGTAATACATTTTCTTACATCATGACTACATCATTATACTATCATCTTACACCCTCAATGTATCCTCACACATCATCTTGCATCAATGTATCCTCACACATCATCTTACATCCTTAATGTATCCTCACACATCATCTTACATCCTTAATGTATCCTCACACATCATCTTACATCCTTATCCTCACACATCATCTTACATCCTAATGTATCCTCACACATCATCTTACATCCTTAATGTATCCTCACACATCATCTTACATCCTTAATGTATCCTCACGCATCATCTTACACCCTCAATGTATCCTCACACATCATCTTGCATCCTTAATGTATCCTCACGCATTATCTTACACCCTCAATGTATCCTCACACATCATCTTCCATCCTTAATACACCACCCACATTTTTTACATCCTGTAATGAACTATTTTACATCCCCTAATGCCATATTTTTCATGATTAATTAATTGATTAACGTTACCATAATTTACAATTACTAGCAAGTTTAAAAAACATTTAAGAAAAACGACAATTTTTTTGAGCGCAAACATGTTTCGACATTATCAGAATGCAATCTTCAGTGCATAATGTTTAGTGTCAAAATGGTTAAAAAACATGTTTGCTTAAAAATTGTCATTTTTCTTAAATGTTTTTTATACTTCAAATCTTCTCACTCTCTGTACATCCTCATGCATCCCTGACAGATCAACTACAATCCTCTTATATCATTCATGCATTTTAATGTATCCCCATGTCCTCTTTTACTGCCAAATTCATTTTCATCACATCCTAAATACACCCAATTACTGTCTTCATTTTCTTTTTATCCATCAAACTTTGAAAAATACATTTTTCAGAACAAATGGTAAAGATTCAGATAAAGAATCAGATGATGAAGATGACGGACAAGCGAAAAAATTAAAGGGTCAACTGAACAGTTGAGTTTTGTTGCTCATTTTTTGTTGCAATTACTTAAGCAACATAACATTCATGTTACAAACTTTTAGGAAATAAAAATGTGTGCGGTAATTGAACTATAGCTGAGTTGGCATTAGCCAACTTGTGAAAACAGATTTGTGCTCAATCAATTACATCTATCAAGGAGAATATGCAAATCAATCATGAATACATGTTTGAGAAAAACTAAATGTTTGTTTTAAATTTGTCTGTTTTGCATCATTGTTATTTTATAAAAGAAATAAAAGATGTTTTTCCTATTTTCACTGGTTCATGCAAACCTTGGAGACATTGGATCTGTTTTGTTGTGAGACTTTTGTGAGAACTTTGACCATCAGTCTCGGGCTAGCACTGCTTTGCTCTTGAGTTCTCCCAAAGGCCTTCTCAGTTTGCCAAAACCTTTGCTAATGCAGCAATCATCTTTAATTTCTTAATGAAAGAAAGTTTGTAAAACTAATTGTTGAGTAAAAATTATCTGGCATAGTTTGTATGTCTTTGTGTGTTTTACATAAAATATCTTCGAGGCTTTCTGTGACCAGTATCTGTTTGTTGGATTTTTTCAAAACATTGTTATCGTTTTTCTCAATAATATAATGTATAATTTAAAGGTGCCATTGTTATGGAAAAACCT